ATATTTCTAATAACTCATCATTTGACAAAAAGTAAAATCTTGGAAATGCTTATCTTTTTGTCTCTAGATAATTATCTAAACTTTTTTATATATCTTCCAAAATTTTATTATTAATCTAAAATTTCTTTAATAATTCTTCTGAATTACAACAATCTTATACTAAAGGTCTTTTAAATGTTTTCAACATTATATCTCTCCAAAATTTATCAACTCCCATAAATTTAGTAGTTTCTTAAGGCAATTATTTTTGAATATCATCTGCACTGAAAATGTTTTCTAAATACATCCATTATCTTTAACAAGATAACCATTCGTCGATAATATCTGATATCAGAACCAACTTTCTTTCCCACTCTTCTACGACTGGTCGAATTTCAGCAACAAAACGAGTTCCTAACATTGTTTGAACTTTTAATTAATGGTCGTCTAATGCAGCAATAATATCATCCAAAGAACCAATTATAAATTTATCTTTTGCTTCTCTATAATGATTAACTATAAATGATAGTTATGACCATTTCAACTTAATATCTTCAATTTATGCTTCAATACTAGCTTCACCTGATGCTTTAGCTGATATTTCTTCAATTTTTTCTCTTTTATTCATTACACCATCAGCCAATAATTCTTAAAGTGTAAATGTTTTACCTGGTTACCAAGAAGAACCTAAATCTTCAAATATTTTCTTCCAATGTCTTGGTCTTAAATCCTTATTTCCTAATGCTTAAATTACAGGCATTATAGTTGAAACATTACTTACTCTAGAAGCATGTTGATCTAATACTTTATCTCTTCCTTCTTTTGATAGATTATTAATATTTTATCTTAATTTCAAGATTCCAATTTCATAACTTTTCATTTCTTTTTCAATTTCTTCAACATTTAAAGTTGTAAATATGTTTTTCTATAAATCTTCATATAATTTGTTAAATTTATCAGAATGTGTCCATAACATCCTACGATCATTGTAAGTTGCTTCTAATTCTTGTAAATCTTTATTTGTTGAAACACTTAATCCCATTAACTTAGCATAATGTAAATAATTTTTATCCATATCTTTGAATCTGTCTAATGATCTTGTTTTAATTTCATTTAATTGTTAAAGTGCATCAGCAGGCTAAGTATCTTCTAAAATTAATTTTCCTTTATTAACTGATGCAGTTGTATTTTAAATATTAGTAATAAATTTACCAAATTCAGCTTCATGTTTTTTCATCATTTCTTATTTTCTTTCCTTACATAATTCTTCAGCTTCTTTAATTTTCAATGACAATCTTAAATATTCTGCTTGAATATCATCCATCATTACAATATCTGAGTTTTTGAGTGGATTCAAATCAAATTTTGATTTCAATAAAGAATGCATAGCTTCAACTTCTATTTTTGCTAATTCTAGTCCTTTAACATTTTACTCAGCTTCTTAGATAGCTTCAATAAATTCTGCATATTCTTTAAGATTCTATGGATTCTTAGATAAATTTGATGTATATGTTTATAATGTAGTTAATGTTTGATTAGCTTTCTTTTACATTAATTTGTATAAATATTCTTTAAAATTTTCTAATTTAGTAATAACTTATGGTTAAAGTTTATTTTTAATTTTTTTGCCATCAACATTAAGAATTCCTTTTGCAATATCTTTAATATATTAATTAATATCTGACAACCATTTTTTAAGTTCCATGACATGAGATTTAATGATATCGAGAGTGTGTTCTTCTTTTTCAAATTCACCTTAATTCCATGTATTTAAAAATTCATAAATAGGTTTGCATTTCATGTAATTTTAATTTACATATATTTCAGCAGCTAAAAAATCACTAGTGACTTTCTCAAATATTTCATTTTTGATATTTTAATATTCAATACTATCAGTAATTATACCTTAAACATCTGCAATACAATCTTTGTTTTCTTTTTATTCAGATAACAATTCTCCTAATTTAGTATTTTTGATATATCCAATCATACTTTAATGAGATATAACTCTGGCAGTATTTCTCATTACTACAATCATATCATCTAATAAACATTTTAAATGTTCTGAAATTTCTTTTTCATCAGGTGTGAATATTTGAACATCAAAATTAACAGCTGTGTTAAATAATCCATTTTTTCGTTCCTTTTTCATTTCTTCCAATAACATACTCATGGAAGTTTGATTAATAGAAACTAGGGTTTCAACAGTCATATAATCAACTAATTTAATGAACAAATGCAATCTTCCTTTGTCCTTTTCAGCTAATTATAAAAGTAAGGCATTTTCTTCTTTTTCTTTTCTTTCTTCATTCATAGGTTTTTATTTTACTTGTTGACCAAATCTTGCTTCTTCATTTTCTTATTAGTTATTTTAATTAGTTCTATCAATAACTTCTTTACAAACAGTATCTAATTTTTATAAGACTTTATCAATAACAGAATCATAATGTTTAGATGCATCAGATCTAGCTTTCTTTTAATCTCCTTTGAAGAAATCGTCAGCTTCCCATGTTTTATTAGCTTATTAAATACTATTGCTCAATGTTTTTTGAAGTTGTAATTCATACATCATTTGATTGATGTCCATTAAATGTTAAGCAAAAGCTGGTTTAGCAACAAAGGATTCATGAATCAATCTTTTTCTAGTCTTACTAAATAGATTATATCTCACATTTGATTTCCAAATATTGAATATTTTGGCTAGAATTATAGAATATGATAATTACTTATGGCATAATTTTTAAAAAATTAAATATTAGTGATAATATTGAACATGGTACTTTCATGCATCCAATCTGAGAGTGAAATCACTTCAGTACTAGAATCTCCTTGCATTCTTTTCTTTCCTTTATCTGTATAGACATGTACTATGCCATGAGCAGATATAGTATAGTATTCTCTTAAAGTTTATTCTTTCTAATTTTCTCTTGTCTTGACAACAATTAGATCATAAGGTCTAAATGGTTCTTTACTTTTATTGAATTCCATAGGTAATTCTAGTTCAGCACCATCATTATTGTTTTGACGTCTTAATTTATCTTTTTTATTATAGGCCTCACATTAGAGTTCAATAAATCCCGCCTTACTTACACAATTAATAAATTTAATTGGTGTAGTGTTACCATACTTAGCAAAAAATTTGATGGCATCTTCACCAGTTTAAATTAGTTTCTAATATTAATGAAACACAGTTGCATCTATGTAATTGGCTTTCTGTATTTTAGATACTTACACCTTCTCCTTAAATAATCCTTTCACCATACCAGTATATGTAACATTGTCTGGTTATGCCTAACTCTATTATTTTTATCAATACTTGCTCCTCCTCTTCAATTGGCTCTTCTTATGACTATTCTATTGGTCCTGCTTACTAAATAGGTTATTCTTCATTCTTAGCTAGACTATATTCTTGTAATTCTCTCTATTTTATTTAAGACTTCAATACCTCTGGATCAAAGCGATATAACTGTTTGTACACCTCTTCATTATTTGAAAGTGAATCTATGTTCTAAATAGGCTTAATACTTGTAGCAAATTGATTCTTCTTCTTTCCAATAACTAGGCGTTTCTCCTCCCTCCTCTTTACCAGATCCTTATAATCAATTTGATCTTATCTGAAATTCATAAAATAATTAATTAAATAATCAAGTCATTCATTGAATATTTCAAAATGCACTTAGTAAATTCTCTCTATAATTTTTAGGTATAAATCTTAAATTCTAAATCAAACCTTTTGAGATTTGTTGACTGTTCTACTTCATATTCAAACGACATACTTTAATTTAAAAAATGTCTACAAATAATATACATTTTTTCTAAACTTTATATGACCTGAGACATGCCACGAAAACAGACCTTATTAGTAATCATCATTCAAATATATCTACATTCTATTCCATCTTATATTAAATTTTATATTTCTTGTTTAATTAAAGAAGCGTTATCCTATATCTTCTTACAATCTAATTTCTCATTATTTTGTAGGAACTTAAATTTACTATTGAAATCCGTTTCTATATCATGCTATTATATACTTATGTCTTAATTCAAATTGTTGAAATGTTAGATAAAATATCAAACATTCTATTCCTCATTTTATTCATCATTTTATTATCTTTTTATCAATTTCTCTATTCTTTATTTTAAAGATGAATCCAAATTATGAAAAGTTTAATTTATGATTCTTTCTTAATTTTTATTTTTCAAATATTTTCCTTGGCTAAAACTTTTATTTCCCATTTTTGTTATATTTAACCAATATAACTCTTCCTTATGCTCCTTTAACAAGGATTTTTATTCTCTTAAAATCTTCTAATTTCACAATAGATTTCCTTTCCCTTTCTTAAATCGAAATAGCTATTGTTTGAAGATCAACTTCATTAAATTGTAATTTGACTACATCATTTTTAACAAACTTTTCTTTAACAAATATTTCTGATTATTTTCAAAAAATATTAAATTTAACAATTTGAGATATGCTGTTGCAATTTTACATAAAAATTATAATCTAATTGGTAAGTATTGATTTCCAGTTGAAAATAAAACAAAATATTAATACTTCAAATAATTATATTAGTAGTTATTCAAATCTGATTATAAGATATTATTCAATATACTACTGCTCACTTAAATATTAATTAAATATCTTTAAGAAATTTTTGTTATGAATCGTTTTCACAATTTAAGAGATTAAACGAAGTATTTTATAATCAATCCTATTCTATAATGTTTCTTCTTAAAAAAACTCACTTTTTTAATTTTTACATTAATTTATACCAAATAAATCTTAAATTTTATAAGAGCGTCTATTTTTAACATTGTATGATTTTATCCAGTTACCATAAAAAGACAGTAAATATAAAAAGTGAATGAAATTTTAGTAATTCACCTTTTCTATTAATAAAAAACTAAAATAAATTGAACATTTATTATGTGTAAATATTTAGATATGGATGGTGATCCTTATTTCTTAAAGAATGAGGAGTTTGATTGAAACTTTTAGATTTGAATAAATCATATTAATCTCTTATTTATATATATATTAATTTTACATCAATATTTTCGCTCTGTTCTTAATTGTAATTTATCTAGAGTTGCATCACCATATTAAAAATAACATTCATCAGCTGACTTTTAATCCTTGAAAAATGCTTTTAGAATAATCTGTTTATATTATAAAATTATACTCTAGTCTCAGCCTCATTTTCTTAAATGTTATTTGCAATAATATGAAGTTTTACCAATTCACCACATCTAGTCTTAATATCATTCTAAATTAACTAATTTATTACAATAAGATCTGAGATCTAATTCTTTGCTAAAAAGTTATAGATATCTATTTCATATAATTCTGGATTATTTGCGCTGTATTGTTATTGTTATTTCCATTCTTTTTATCTTGGTCGATCTCTTTCTCTATCTCTATTTCTATTTCTGAATTAGAAAGAATTATTTTATCTCTTGAATCTTCGAATAGGTTTTCGTGTTTTTCCTAATTAAGCTTGCTATCTTGATTATCTATTCTTTGTATTATGCTACTCTAAATTAATTTCCTCTATTTCTGACATAAAATATAAATTATATAAATTTTAATGATTTTTTTAATTCAATATGAAGTACTTAAAGTTAAGAAAATGAATAAATAAGATTTGATCTATTCAACATACCCTTATCAATATATTATTTAATATTTAAATTCAATTATTATTGTTTGCTATTTTCATACTTATTGCTAACTTCAAATAGGCTAAAATGAAATCTTTTTTACATCCATCATTAAATAGATCAGTAGCAAAAATTAATTAAAATTTTAAAATTAGTTTCTTAAAAAACTATCTTTTCGACTGAAAATGAAAAATTTTAAACAAATTAAATTATTATGTATTATTTAATAGTTTATCAGAAAATCAAAAGAAAGTAATGAATTAAAAATAAACTGAAATAAATTTGTTAATATTTATACCAACCAATTTTTATATTTTTTAATGATTTTATAGTTTATCATATAAATTTGTCATAATTAGTATTATTTATATGCCTAAAGTTGAGTGAAAAAATTAATAATAAGTTTTTGAGATTTTTTGTAATGGAGTTAAATCTACCTTTATATTTTATTTAGAAAAATAGACAAGATAATAAATCATTAAAAGAGATAATTAATAATTATCATTTCAAGAATAAGAACTCAAGATTTTAGTATATTTAAAAAAAATTAAATAGTTCAAAAGAAAATTAATAAAGAATTACAAGAATATTAATGTTTCAAAGTTAATAAATAGAAACAAATAATAATAGATAAATAAATGCATTAGGAGAATGAGACAACATATACTTCATATTCTAAGGAGTTAAATTACAATTAGAGTTTAATTTGATATATAATTGAAAACATAATCTTATTATTTAAATAGAATTTACTAAAGCTTAGTAAAAAAAATAAGTTATAAAATTTATTTGGATGAATATTTTTTTTTTAAATTATCTTTTGACAATGAATACACAGATGATTGATTTGAAGATTTTAGCTAAATAAAATATAATTCAAAAAATATAACAAAATAGAGAATCACTATTTATTTATATTTAATATTCTAATTCCATTAGCTAATTCGCAAATTTCTTTAATGTCTTCTTGAAAAAGGGTTAATTTTTTATATTTGTTATTAAATGAAAAAAACTCAAGGGGAGTTTTTTTATTTTGGTTATTAATGATTGAAACTGTTTATTTAGTGCTAATTGGACTAATACTAATTGGTGTGTAATTATTTTTCTGATTTTGTATTCTAGTTGATTTTTACTTACATATATGTTTATAAATGCAAGTCTAATTAGAATGAATAGCACTTTCTTCTGTGATTTTATTTTTAAACTTATAAAAATTTTCAATTTAATCACAAATTTTGCTGAAAGGTAGAATTTTAAGATGAATTTATTCTAAAAATTGTTGTACCTGGGATTTCTATTTGATAGTTTTTTAGATTTAATGTTAATTTTCAGGCTAAGTTCTTTTAATATTTTCTTTTTCAATTTTTTTAACTAATTTTTTTGCTTTGGGTATAATATTTTCTTCTTAAATTTTAGTTGAGTTTTTTTGGACTTGAATATTTTTTAATTTATTAGATTAAGCTAATATTTTGTTCTTTCTTTCTAATCTCTTTTAGCCTCTAACGAATTCATTAATGCTTTCTAAACAAACTTTTAATTGTTCTTTAGACATAGAAAATAAATAAAATTAAATAAAGTTCAATTCTTAATAAGGATTTTTAGTTCATAAATTAAATTTAATGGGTGAAATAGTTCCTAATCAACTTTTTGTTGCTGGTTATAGTCGTAATAAAATATGTGGTGATAAAGATATAAAGGATATCTTTAAAAAGTATGGAATAATAAAAGAAGTGGCATATAAAGGATCTNTAGGAGAATGAGACAACATATACTTCATATTCTAAGGAGTTAAATTACAATTAGAGTTTAATTTGATATATAATTGAAAACATAATCTTATTATTTAAATAGAATTTACTAAAGCTTAGTAAAAAAAATAAGTTATAAAATTTATTTGGATGAATATTTTTTTTTTAAATTATCTTTTGACAATGAATACACAGATGATTGATTTGAAGATTTTAGCTAAATAAAATATAATTCAAAAAATATAACAAAATAGAGAATCACTATTTATTTATATTTAATATTCTAATTCCATTAGCTAATTCGCAAATTTCTTTAATGTCTTCTTGAAAAAGGGTTAATTTTTTATATTTGTTATTAAATGAAAAAAACTCAAGGGGAGTTTTTTTATTTTGGTTATTAATGATTGAAACTGTTTATTTAGTGCTAATTGGACTAATACTAATTGGTGTGTAATTATTTTTCTGATTTTGTATTCTAGTTGATTTTTACTTACATATATGTTTATAAATGCAAGTCTAATTAGAATGAATAGCACTTTCTTCTGTGATTTTATTTTTAAACTTATAAAAATTTTCAATTTAATCACAAATTTTGCTGAAAGGTAGAATTTTAAGATGAATTTATTCTAAAAATTGTTGTACCTGGGATTTCTATTTGATAGTTTTTTAGATTTAATGTTAATTTTCAGGCTAAGTTCTTTTAATATTTTCTTTTTCAATTTTTTTAACTAATTTTTTTGCTTTGGGTATAATATTTTCTTCTTAAATTTTAGTTGAGTTTTTTTGGACTTGAATATTTTTTAATTTATTAGATTAAGCTAATATTTTGTTCTTTCTTTCTAATCTCTTTTAGCCTCTAACGAATTCATTAATGCTTTCTAAACAAACTTTTAATTGTTCTTTAGACATAGAAAATAAATAAAATTAAATAAAGTTCAATTCTTAATAAGGATTTTTAGTTCATAAATTAAATTTAATGGGTGAAATAGTTCCTAATCAACTTTTTGTTGCTGGTTATAGTCGTAATAAAATATGTGGTGATAAAGATATAAAGGATATCTTTAAAAAGTATGGAATAATAAAAGAAGTGGCATATAAAGGATCTTACTCATTTGTAGTATGAAATTATTTTGAATATTAAGACATTTAATAGTGAATAAGAAGCATAAGAAGCATTGAAGGCAACAAATGGATCAACCTTTAATGGATAGAAATTAAAAGTGGATATTGTAGACAACAGAAAAGGAAGAAAGGCCGGTCCAAATGATGAAGATAAATGTTTTAAATGCAGTAAAGGTGGACATTGGTATAAAAAATAATATATTTTAAAGGGCTCGTAATTGTCCTAATGAAGGATCACCAAGACGTAATAGAAGAAGATCGAATTCACGATCTAAGTATATAAAGTTATAATAAAGTAGGAGACATCATAGAAGATCTGATTCTAGATCTTATTCTTCACATTCATCATCTAGATCAAGAAGAAGACGATATCAAAATAGAAAAAAGAGACATAGTAGAAGTCCAAGAAGTCCAAGAAGAGATATAAGACAAAAAAAAAGAAGCACCACCCCTAGAAGATCACCCTCCGATTCAGGATCCTCTAAAAGGAAAAATTCAATATCTTGATAAAAAAAGTGGGAAAAAAATTTTATTAACAAAAGATTATTAAAATTTAATTGAATATATTTAATTCAATTCTTTCTCATTAAATATAACAAAAATTATGAAAAAAAGAACTCTTTAAGAACTCTCCCAAGAATAAGAATAACTTAATTCATCATATAACGATATTAACTCACTTTAAAAATAAATTTATCTTGAAAATTAGTAGAGATTATAAAATCTCAAATAAGAAAAATAAGAATCATTAAAAATTAATGATGATGAAGTCAAAAAAGTCGAATAACTACAAGAAGATATTAATCTTTATTTTCCTGTTGGTAAATTTTGTTTAAATCAATTATCATAATATCCTAAAGAAGAAAAATAAGCGCACATTTTATCATTCATTAATATTTTATAAGAGAATCCATATTCAGATGGTATAAAATTTATATTTAAAATTAGTACAAAAATAAAAACCTAAAATTACATTAGAGGCAGCTTTAATGACTTGTTATGGTTTTGAAGATCATTTACTTTAACCTTTAGTTTAATCAGGTGTTAAACTATTTATTATAAATGATAATGATAATAATGACAAAAAATTAGAAATTATTGAAAATTTTAATGGACATTCAAACTGGACTGTCATTAAGCCATCAAAATTAAATTCAATAACATTTGGAGGATCTTTTCATCCAAAAATTTGGATACTAAAATTTCCAAAATTTATTAGAATAGTCATAGGAAGCTAAAATTTACATGTAGGGGATTGGACTGTTTGGTCACAAGCTATGTGGATTCAAGATTTTAAAATTGGGAATACTGAATTAGATTTAATATCAAAAGATTTTAAAATTGTTCTTAAAGAATTTTTAGATTAAATTCTTCCAAACTCTCATAAATTTGAAGATCTTCTTAAAATTAGATATGACGATTATGATTTTCAAAATATTAATATAAGGTTGATTACATCCATTCCTGGAAGATATACAGAAAAATAGTTACATAAATATGGTATTATGAGAATTTAATCAGTTCTCAATTAAGAACTTATAAATAATAATTTCGAAATTCCTAAATAAGTAAGTATTACATATTAAACTACAAGTATAGGACAATTAGATAACAATTATGTAGATTTTTTTTAATAATGTTGCTCTGGATAATAAGTTAAATAACCTTAAAAAATATTATAAAATAATAAATCTATTGCTTAGATGTTATTTAATAAATAAGAAGATGAAAAATCTACTTTGAAATTAATATATCCAACTTCAGATTATATATAAAACTAAACTAAGGCAGGCCCAGAATTTGCTAATCCTTTATTTCTAAGAAAGTAATAATTTGAAAATCCAAAATTTCCAAAAAACATTTTCTATAAATATCAAGGTTCTAATTACTATTTTTGGCATAATGGAAATATACCTCATTTAAAAGTGATGATAATAACAAGTTTAGACGATAAAATAGATGATAATACATCAATATATATTGGTAGTCATAATTTTAGTTAAGCTGCTTGGGGTAGACTAGAAAAAAATGCTACCCAACTTTTTATATCCAATACAGAATTGGGTGTTTTATATCCTCCTAAAAAGGATTCAGCTAAATTTAAATAATAAATTATTGAGTAATTATCTTTTAAATTTCCCCCTGATAAATATGAAAAAACAGATTAACCTTGGATAAGTGAAGTTTATTATGAATAATTACTATGATATTCTTAAAAAATGTATATATTAATAAATTTATTTATAAAAAAAGAATTAAATAGAATAAAATTAATCATTCTTTATTGATTAATTTTAGTATATTTAAGCATAATCTTTACGATATATTTATTATTAAAGTAATTCTGAATAACGATTTGATAGATTAAAAAATACTAGAAAGCTATTATGATAGATATAAGATTTTTCTAAATGCTATATAATGAAATTAATGCTTTTGCAAATCTATTGCAAATCTATTTTTTGTAAAATGGACTAAAATAAAATTGATGTCATAAAAAAAATAAGCTCTATTTTTAATGAATATAAGTCTGTTAATCAAATAGTAAAACAACAGGAATTTTATTCTTCAACTATTGATATTTAGTCTAAGTTTATTAATTGTTTCTCTAAAAATAATAAATTTTATTATTAATAGAAAAATAATTTTACTTTATAAATTTATAATTAATTAATAATGAAATTCTATTTATTTATAATAAAATTGTAATAAAGAAAAAAAAAAAACTCCGAAAAGGCGGATTTGAACCACCGACCTGGGGATAACTGGATAACACTACAGTCCCTCGCTCTACCAACTGAGCTATTTTCGGATGTTAGAAATTATTAGGTTGTTCGATATATATGCAACAGGGTAAAATTTTAAATAAGAGAGTTATTTTTATATAATTAAATGTAAAGCAATAATAAGCAATTAAATTCTATTATTAATGATTATGATAGCATATTAATAATTATCTTCATTTAAAAATATAATTAAATTGATTATTAATTTTTGATTAACTCTTCTCAAATCAATCTCCATCTTTTAATTAATAAATACAAATTATTTAGATATTCATCCGTTTATTATTATCTTTGACCTGTATTCTTTTCTTATTCAAACCTTTTTCTTTCGATTTTTAATTAATAATAATAATGGATTATTATTTATTCAGTAATATTAAGATGAAGTTGCAATTTTTTTGAATAATTTAAGACATCTTAAAATATAAAAATAAAATGTTTTAAATATTTGTTATATAGAGAGAATAAACCTAAAAAATATTATTTCAAATAAATAATTAATCAATAAGGTCTTTCATTTCAATAATCTATGTTTTCAATTAAGAGCCTTCACTTTATACAATTGTAGCAGCAACAACTGGTCTGCTAATTCCACAGGCTCTTCCTAAACTTGCTTAGGTTGAAACAAAACAATATGAAACATTCTATTTATATTTTACTTAATTACTTTCTCTTCGCATTTAATGGGTATGTTTGCTACTATTTCTATAGGATCACAATCAGCTGCCAAAATTACTAATTCACATATGCCTTTATCAAGACTAATTTATATAATAAATCATACTTTTTTAAGACTTCATTAGCTCCCTTTTTTAGTTGCTTATAATTTAATGCCTAACGAAGAAGATCTAATATTTTAGTTTATAATTTTGCATCTGCTATTGGAGATGGCTTAATTCTGGGGACTTCTATTTTCTACATATATAAATAATTTAGTATTAATATAATTCATAATTAAAATAATTCAAATTAGTGAATTTCAGAAAGTTTAGAATGTTCACTAAACTTATAAGTAAACTTAAGTAAATATTCTAATGTCCATTAATCAAATCTTTATTTTAAATAGTTAATAGATGATGGCATTAAAATTATCTAACAAGTAGAAACACCTTAATCTATACTTTCTAAATCCTTAAAGAACATTGATTCTTATTAAATAGAACTTTATTAGTCAGAAATTATTTCGCATTTTAAGAAATAATCTTAGACTATTTATTTAAGTATTTCTTAAATAGCATGATCTTTCATCTAATTGACTATATTAATCTAGAAATTTAATTTAAGTAAAATTATTAAAATTTCTTCCTTTTTTGATAAATTATCATTTAATATATATTCACTTTTAATTGATAATGATTATATAAATACTTGTAGTAAGCTTAAGCTATCTATTTAATTTTTGAATTGCCTTTATTATTTTCTTTTTCAATTTCTCCACTATATGATTCAATACATAACTTAGGAGCATTCATTTCATTATTGCAATCATATCTACTCCAATTAACAGGTAATAAGCCTTTTGTTTCTTCATGTGAATCAATTGAACTGTCAGAATATTCTATTTGATCATTATCTCCTTCCTTCAATAAAGGAGCTTCTTATATTTAAAAATAATTATTAGGTGATTTACTCATCGTAAAGTAATTAGGTTAATTAATTTTCATAAATGAAGCATTCAATTATTTTATTAAATTGAAACAACAAGTATTTTAATTTTTTGGTTGATATATTAATTTTTTAGACTAATAAAACTTATTTCTTGACTTCTCAAAGTATTCAAATAAAATTTCTTTATTATTTTTTTAAATAAGTTTCCAAAGACAACAATAAGATTTAGGTTTGCAATTTATATAAAATTAGCTATATTGCAATAACAAAAAACACATTTAGATTTAATTTGATTGCATACAAATATCGAAAACACTTAAATGATCTATCCCTGTTACTTAAGTTATTTCAAAAGGATGTGAACATCTATCATAAATATCAAGCTGTCCTTTATATTATAATGCAAATTAAATTGCTGAAATAAATCCACGTTTTACTCCTATATGTAATGGGCTTAAACCTTATGTATTTAATATTAAAGGACAGGAACTAATTATCATATTAATTTTTACCCATAATATAAAAGGAGAGCAGCATATTTTTCAGGAAATTAAAAACTTGGCCACTTATTCATTAAATAATGTAAAGCTGTATTTCCATCTTTATCTTATTCATTTGGATCAGTCCCATGTTATAAAAAACCTTGCATTAGATTTATTTGTTATTTTATCAGAGATATTATAACTAAATTTTACTAGAATAAAGTTATTTTTACTTAATTTAGATTAACATTTAAAGATAATAAACATTTAACACTTTAAAATTTATCAGAAAATAATGCAACTTATATTGGAGTCTATTTTTGATTGTTTAATGAATTTTTATCAATAACATTACTGCATCCCAAAATAACACCTAAATGCTATTTTAAAGCTGCCTAATGTAAAATATTATTTCCATTTTCATCAATGTTTTGATAATTAAAATATTATCCTAAAAAATATTTTATCATATTTTAAAATGTTGCTTAATGCTCTATCGATAACCAATTTTAAAATTATTCTAATTAATTCCCACATATTCTTTCAGTCCAGCCTAAATAATAAACCCAGTCAATACTGAACTCTTTTAATTAAGAGTAGTATTTTAATTCATAAATTGGATTTCCTGATAGTAGTAAAACTTATATTGAATTCTTCAGTAGCTATGGAAACAAGTGTATTTGATTATATTCAATATTTAATTAAACAAGTTCTTCTGGCATTTATGGTAATATACTGAGATAATTATTTGAAATATCTAAATTCTATAAATGAGGATGAAATTTATTAAACTAAAATAAAATCAAAAACATTACATTAAAAGGTAAAATTTTAAGATTATTATTTGAAATATCTAATATTCTTAAATTTTATAATATCTTAAATTCATCACCATATTATCTAATACAATTATGTGACAAATCTAATTTAATGATCCATATATTATTCAATTTTTCTTTATTTATTTCACTTAAACCCTACTTGCTTAAGTCAAGTTATTCAATTCGTTTACAAAAAGGTATTTGCTTTTTATTTAATTAAGGAGAACTTAATATCACCTCTAATTCTTTATTTTTTTAATTTTAATGCTGTTTCTTTAATGGGTTTTCACTAAAAATTGCTAACTTAGCACAATTCATTTCACTCATAATTATTATATTTTATATTATTAATTAAATTGCTTTATATTTAGCCAAGAATTATTTATTTAAATAGTTACTTATACTTTTAGAAATTGAATGCTTATTGTAATTTTATATGATGTAATGATTGTCTAGGATAGAATTCAATAAAATTAATTTAATAAAGTGCATTTTTTGAGTAATTTAAGTGTATTGCCAAAATTTATGATTTCATTGATAATTTCCAAATCTCTTAGATATTCGATAAAAATTTAAGTAATCTAAAATCATTATAATTTATTTCTAAAGAAGAAGTTAATTTTATAATCAATGCTGTATAATCAAATTAATCAGCAATTTAAATATTTAAAACTTGTAAAAATGCTTTTTCGCATTGTTTAGAGTAATTTTTATTAAATAATGCATTTATGACATCTTTTTGTTATATAAATATTTATTATTTCTTTAATATTTGATCTTTAATAAATTAATAAAACAAAATTTTTCATAATTATCTTCATTTTTGTTAATCTTGGATTGTGAAATTGTATTGTTTCACAATTTATAAGGAATGAATTAGTTTAAATGAAAAAAATACTTATAATAAATAATAAAATAGATTTTATAGATATATAATTCAAGATTCTTTAAATTACCTTAATTGTTGATAACAAATTTCACTTATCCTAAATTAATCTATTTACATCTTTCCGAGAAATTAATAAATAATTAATTAATTAAATCAATATGATATAAATGCTCCTTATTGATGTAGCACAACTTTAAATGTCAATAAAATTCCTAATTTTTTTAATGAAATTATGAATCTTTTAAAAATATAAGATTGGAGTTAAGAAGGACTCTCACATATGATAAAAATAATTATATATTTTAATTTATTTTTCATAATATTTTAGAAAAATCAGGTAAATATTTAGCTTAATTCTTTTGGATTTCTTTTTTTTAGTTAGCAAGCAAATTTGAAAAAATTGGATTTGCTGGAGCATCTCCTTCATTCCAATTTGGGTTATGAAAAATATGTTCAATAGCCTATAATATTTCATATTCAACTGTAGTATTCTTCCAATATGTAAATAAAGGAATGCATAAAGAATGATCTTTTGAATTAATTATTTAAATTACCTCCATATATATTTTCATGCTATATAACTTCAGCTCCTTTTTCTGTATAAACTGGATCAAATTCAAATCTTGGAGCACTTTTTGGATGATCTGGTTAGAATTTTAATACACCTATTTCTATCAATAAACAAAATACCACTAATGCATTTTCGTTCAAAGTTTCCTTTTCCTGGAAATTCAAACTTCCAGAATTGGAAAATTATTGATCCATTCTCTTATAATGGTTGTATATTATATTAGCTTTCGTTGGATAAAATTTCTTAATTAGCTTTTGTTAAAAGTTCATCAAAAAAGCCAGATCGCTAAAATTATAAAAATATCTACTTCTTATAAGATTTTAACATCTTATTTTACTACTATTCTTGGTTGTTCAACTTGTTCAATTCTCTGTTAATTAATGATTGTTATTTTCGGTTTACTATTTTGCTAAGGTTGATTATTTTGCTAAGGTTGATTATTTGGCTGTCCGATAGGCTTTAAGATTTTGATTTTGGGATTGTTATTAATCATATTTTAAATAATTATTAAATATTATAGATTTATGCTATAAATGAAGATACATTTTAATACAATACTAATAAATTAAACTCTGATCAGCTTTTATTTTAAAGACTAAAAAATATAAATGTTCATTATTTTAGATCAAAAGAAAATTGTTTTTCTATTAAATATTAAAAATTCTTTGATTATGGTTTTGATAATATAAAATAAAGTCTAATATTTAATTTAATATCTCTATAATAAATATCAATATATAAATAGTCTATGATCTATGAAAATGAAATTATAAACAAATCAATAATGGTTAAGAATCAGAACTTTTTGATTCTTTCTCTTGCTCCTTTTAAAATATCTGGAGTTTAACATTTTTAATAATTAAAGACTCTAGGTAGGGAGTTCCATAAAATTCTATTATTAACTGCATTTAAATATTCTTAAAGTTGATATGATTCACTTTTTTAATTCTTTTCTATAATCTTTACTTAATTCTATATTATGTATAATAATTACATGAATACGTTAAATTTGGGATACTCTGGATGCTTATGATTTGTTCATATTTCCTATCCAGTTCCTGAAAGGTGATTCTCTTGAAATATAACCTTCAAATTTTAGTATTTTACAATTATGCTTTGGTTGTGAATGGAAATGATATGAATTACTTCTCTTTGGAGATTACTTAAGTTTCTTAACAGGAGTTGAAAAACCCTTTTAAGTATGTTTTGGCATTGAAACATCATAATAATCAACTGCACACTTAGCATACTATATAATGTACGTAGTTTATTTATTAATTGAAATATCCATACGATTAATCTCTGCTTGATTATAAATCAAATGTATTGTTATGTAAACTTCTTCTTTTTGTTATATACATTGTGTTTTTTTTTGAATCATATTTGTGATCATTACATTTAAAATGCCTTGTTAAAACAGGATCCATAATAAATTTATAAATAATAATAGATTTAATGTTTATATATTTATATAAAATAGTCATTCTGATATTTAATCTTTAACCTTTTTTTTAGGGGATTAAGATTATCCACTAAGTACATCTAATTGACTGTCAAATTATCGAACACGGTGATTTTCTTGCTATTTAATTTATTTTTTCTAAAAATAAAATTGAAATTATTCTTATTCACATTCTTATACAGATGCCTCATTAATAGGAGGTTTTTCTTATTTAATTTTGTCATTCTTTTTAATTGTTTCTTATGGTTAAAGAAGTGAATCTTTTTCATAATTTTCATCATAAAATTTCAGAATTGAATCAAAAATCTCAAAAAGATTTGACAATAAAAACTCTAAAGGAGAAAGAATCTATTCTTAGTACAAACGTTTTTATAATTTATCAATTTTTTTAATGTGTTTGGATAACACTTTTAATGATTTTCTACCACATAATTCATCTTTTTTTTCTAAGATTTTGATTTATTTATAGATCACTAAAACAGGTTTAATTTTAGATTTAATTTCCAACCACTTAGAAACATAAGAATATTATTCAGTATTTTTTTCAATTTCATTTTATAAAAATTCTATAATTCTATTATTTGTATTTTTTTTCTCTTTTAATTGAATGTAATGATTAATAATACCTTAAAAATCTTTAATGAAACAAGAATCTAAAAGTCTGATAGTCAAATTCACTACTTCTAATAAATATTGATATTTTTTTTTTAAGTTTTAATTGATTTCTAAAGTAGGATGAGCTAACAAAATAAATGATGAAAATACCTTATTTAAAAACTATATGTCCCTCTTTAAAACATATTTGAACAGGGTTAACATTAATAAAAAATATTTATTTTTAAAGAGATTAATCTTGTCTTGATTCTTGAAGATGTTTATCATATTTGATAATTTATTCTAATTAAGTCTAGTAATGTCCATTGACAAAATTAGAAATTTTGCAGAGTCCTGCATTAGTTAGTTCTTGGACAATTTAAATTGCATATAAATTATCAGCAATATATTTTGGATCATCTTTGATTAAAGAGTTAGAAAACTCTTTGAGTCTTTTTTTTCTTTAAGAATTTTGATCAGGGGGATCAATAAGTACTGAATATTAATTTTAAACTTCAGGAGTAACAATGTGATTGAATGGGTATAATTGTGATTAGTAAAGTTGATCAGGCATATCCATAACATTTTCCTCTTATGAAATGGCATCGTCTTAATAAAATTGCATTTTATATTAATATATATTTTTTTATTTGCTAATAAAGATTTAATGTCAAGTGAGAAAGGAGAGACAACAGATCCAAAATTGAGAAATGGACCAGTAGTTGAAAGAGAATGTACTGATATATTTTGCTTATTACTTTTTATTGTCTTTACAATTGGTATGTTTTTTATAAGTGGTTACGCTTTTAAAAATGGTGATCCTCATAGAATAGCATAACCATATGATCCTGATCGTATAATTAAATTAATATAAAGATCGGGCGTGTGGAGTTGATGGTGATGTAGCTGATTATCCCTACATTTATTTTGCTAACCCAACGAATCCCAAGTATTTGTATGTGACAACCTGTGTAGCAGAATGCCCAAGTAATTGTTATAATTTATTTAGTAGAAGAGGATAGTTAAACTCCTGAATAAGCTCCTGCATAAACACCTGAATAAACACCTCCATCATCCAGACATACTAAAATATCTCACCTAGAAGAGACTCAAAGAAACTCAAAATTACCTAGTGAATTAAAGTGTTAAACAAACTCAATTGTTAAAAGTTGTAAATAGAATGTATTAAGCACAAACTAAGAAGAAGTCGTTGTAATTTACAATTCAGAATTATGTATATAAATAAATTTTATTTAAGTTATGAATACTGTCTGTTTACCAACAACTAAATAATATTATGAAACTGTAAAAGATAAAATTGATATTGAAACTATGGAGAAAGTATCAAATGATATGATAACAACCAAATGGCTAATCTTTGGATCCATAGGTATAGCTTTGGTTCTTGGATTCATATTTTTATTCCTAATAGAAACATTGGCTGGATGTGTTATCTGGACATTGATATTGTTATTATTAAGTGTATTAATAGCAGGAGGTATTTATACAACAGGATACTATTATGCATTAACTGATCCTTCTAAATTACCAGCATCAGCATAAGCAGAGATTGATGCTTAAACTCTATAAGAATAAGCTTAAGCAAATAATGTTAATCCTAAAAATTATTTATATATTGGAATCACATTGTTTTCTTTAGCTGCCTTGGTTCTATTAGCTACCTGTTGTATGTATTCCAGAATTCGGCTAGCTATTGCTATACTTGAAGTATAAAATTATTTAATAGTATTTTATAGACTGCATGTGATTATGTCTAAGCTAATTTCACAGTTGTTATTCTACCTTTTGCAACCTTTTTTATTATGCTTACTTATTTCATTTACTGGTTTGTTGTAGCATTGTATTTATTTAGTACTGGAGAAACTACAAATAAACCTAAATAATTACCTTTTGGATAATTTTCATTCACTCAAAATTAAAAAATATTTGCTAACATTCATCTATTTGGATTACTCTGGAATTCTTCATTTATCATTGCTTCTGTTGAATTTATTATTGCTGGATCTGTTTGTATATGGTACTTCTAATAAGGACCTAGAGCATAAGAAGGAGGTCCAATTCCATTACCAACTGCTATTTCTAGATTCTTTAGATATCATTTAGGAACTGTTGCCTTTGGATCTTTAATTTTAGCTATTATTGAATTTATTAGAATTTGGTTAGCATTCCTATATAAATAATAAGAAGAATTAATTAAGAAAAATAAATTCTTTGAATACTTGTTTAAATGCTTAATGTGTTGTATGTGGTGTTTTGAGAAATGTGTTCAATATATTAATAAAAATGCTTATGTTGTTAGTAACATGACAGGCAAAGGTTTCTTTTATTCAGCAAAAGAAGCTGTATTCTTAATTGCAAGAAATCCTCTTAGATTTGCTACTGTTGGAGGATTTGGAGAAATATTCATTGCTCTAGGTAGAGGTTTCATTGCATTATTAACTGGTCTATTTTGTTATTTTATTATAACAAGAACTGAAAAATTCAAATATAATGTAACCTATCCAGAAGCACCTTCACTTCTATGTGGTGCATTAGGATTAGTTGTTGGATCTTTATTCATGTCAATATATGGAGTTGCTTGTGATGCAATATTAATTGTTTTTGTCATGGATGAAGAAATGGAAAAACAAAATGGCAAAGGAGTTGCCTTATGTTGTCCACCTAAATTGGAAAAATTTTTAGAAGACCAATGATATTATATAAAGAACAAAAATATTTCATTATAATATTTTGCAAATATATCTCTTAACTAATTTTTGTTCTTGAAGTCAATCAAAAGAGTCAAGTATTTATTTTTTTAACTATTAATCGTTATTATCATAAATGATTTCTCTTTACATATATTAAATGACATCTCTGCCAGTAATTTTTTATTCTAATTTAATTAATCATTATATATTAAACAATTATTACATCATATAACCTTTCTTTTAATTAGACGATTATACATCATACCAAATTCAAATCATTTAAATAGAATGCTATTTAAATCTACACTATACATATTTTTTGAATAATGTAAATTTTCAGTCATAAATTTATAAAATTATCAAATAAAAAAGCAACAGAACAAATATAACCAAAAAAAAGAAAGAAAACTATTGAAAACAAAAAATTATAAAAGTTTATCTAAACCATTTAAGTAATCGCATTCAATCAATACAAGAAAGTAGTATATTCAAGAATATTTTAATCAAATTTTTCATTAATTGTGTATCAAAACAAATTGAATGGTATCATATGATTCAATAGGTAAATATTGGAGTAGATTCAAAAATTCTTATTTTTAATTTATAACATTACTTTATTAAGTTTCAAACTTAAATCGGCTTTCTTCTAAAAACTTTTTTTCTTCAATACGAAAAAGCATAGTTCCATCATATGAAAAATGAATTGATCGAAGAATTTAAATAAAAAATAAAATTTAGAAAAACTATTTTCTAAAAAAAGCAAATATTAAATTTACTTGAATATTAATTATATCGAAATATTATTATTTTCTTTATAAAATAGCTTGAAAATATAATTATTTAATAAACTCATTATAAAAAGAAAAAGTTAATCAATATAGTAGAAATTATTTCATTTGCTTAATTTTAGAAAATCTTAAGAATATTTTTATGATGTTCAACTTTAAATTCTTACCTAATTAAAATTAAAAAAGAATTCATTTCAAAAGAATGATAAGGAAATAGTTTTTGATGATCTAGCCTGTTAAATAGAAGGAAAAATGATATTATAGAATTTGAATATTTTCGACTTTATAATGAAAAAGAAAATTCATAAACTAAATAGTTTTAATAATAATAGAAAACAATTTTCTGATGAATTGATAGATTTTTAAGACAAAATTTTATTTTTTTGATTAAATCAAAGAATATATAATATTGATAATATTTGCGGCATATTTTGGAAAGGTAGAATTAATATAGTGCACAATAAATTAAAATGTCCATTTAAATATAGAATTTATAATTAGTTAATGGAAATACTGCTATTCAAAATTCATTTACTCTTTTGATATAATAATATATATTATAATTTACTTTTTTTAAATGGAGAGAAAGAAAAAAGAAGCAAATAGAATGCTTGAAGTTTGAATCAATAAAAATCAAAAATTTGTTGAATATTTAATTTCAATATAAAAAACATTCGTTTATATCTAAAATTAATTAAAATTATTGAAAAAATCATAAGAATCTACAATCTGGACAATAATTAGTGTACGTAATTTTATAAGTTTTAACTGGAGAGTTTGAACGCGATTTGACTTATCTTTATGGTTTTTTATTGATCCAAAAAAATTCACAATCTTTGTTTGCACACTATTTGATATTTTCATAACGGGATTTTAAATAATATAACTAATTTAACATTAATCTATTTATATAAACATCCAATTCTATTATTTTTTACCTAGAGATTTGTCCGTTGCTGATTTAGCTTTTGCATAAGCATTCAAATATATTGCATTAATTGGCGAGTTGTTATTTCATTAAGGTAGCTAAACAATTTGAGTGATAGTTATGATGAAATTTGTTGTGACAAAATAGAGTTACTTTCTTTTCAAAAATATATTTTTCACAACTTAGACAAATATTTTATTAATCAGTAATATTAAGATGACTAANAATATTAATTATATCGAAATATTATTATTTTCTTTATAAAATAGCTTGAAAATATAATTATTTAATAAACTCATTATAAAAAGAAAAAGTTAATCAATATAGTAGAAATTATTTCATTTGCTTAATTTTAGAAAATCTTAAGAATATTTTTATGATGTTCAACTTTAAATTCTTACCTAATTAAAATTAAAAAAGAATTCATTTCAAAAGAATGATAAGGAAATAGTTTTTGATGATCTAGCCTGTTAAATAGAAGGAAAAATGATATTATAGAATTTGAATATTTTCGACTTTATAATGAAAAAGAAAATTCATAAACTAAATAGTTTTAATAATAATAGAAAACAATTTTCTGATGAATTGATAGATTTTTAAGACAAAATTTTATTTTTTTGATTAAATCAAAGAATATATAATATTGATAATATTTGCGGCATATTTTGGAAAGGTAGAATTAATATAGTGCACAATAAATTAAAATGTCCATTTAAATATAGAATTTATAATTAGTTAATGGAAATACTGCTATTCAAAATTCATTTACTCTTTTGATATAATAATATATATTATAATTTACTTTTTTTAAATGGAGAGAAAGAAAAAAGAAGCAAATAGAATGCTTGAAGTTTGAATCAATAAAAATCAAAAATTTGTTGAATATTTAATTTCAATATAAAAAACATTCGTTTATATCTAAAATTAATTAAAATTATTGAAAAAATCATAAGAATCTACAATCTGGACAATAATTAGTGTACGTAATTTTATAAGTTTTAACTGGAGAGTTTGAACGCGATTTGACTTATCTTTATGGTTTTTTATTGATCCAAAAAAATTCACAATCTTTGTTTGCACACTATTTGATATTTTCATAACGGGATTTTAAATAATATAACTAATTTAACATTAATCTATTTATATAAACATCCAATTCTATTATTTTTTACCTAGAGATTTGTCCGTTGCTGATTTAGCTTTTGCATAAGCATTCAAATATATTGCATTAATTGGCGAGTTGTTATTTCATTAAGGTAGCTAAACAATTTGAGTGATAGTTATGATGAAATTTGTTGTGACAAAATAGAGTTACTTTCTTTTCAAAAATATATTTTTCACAACTTAGACAAATATTTTATTAATCAGTAATATTAAGATGACTAAATTAATTAGAAAAACTTCTTTGAGTTGTTGTTTACTTTTGAGGATTATTTTGAGAAACAATTGAACTGTTAATAATTTAATTCAATCTATTTTGTTGTTTTTATTTAATGTATTTGATTTGGAAATTGATGTCAACAAGTTTTAATCTCTGAAGTCTTTCAGGCAAGACTTAGCGAGTTGAATAAATTTCCTTAAGTTGAAGTAACTATTAAAATTTATGCTAAAACTTAAAATCCATCGAATCCATTATTATATTATTAATTTATAATACGTTCTTATTTATGAGAATTACCTTCCTTCTGAATGTTATTGTTTTAACAAGAGGATTCTTAAAACATCAGATCCTTGCTTGACAGTAAGAAATATATTTTAGAATTCAGATAGCAAAAACAAGCAATATCAGATGGAAAACACAAAATTCGAGACAATTTGAATGTGATTACAAAAAAGGGATGTAAATACAACTTTGAATCATTTATAATAAAGAATACAGAATAAATTTAAAATTACATGAGCTCTTTTGTTGGGTATGTTATCTCTAATAATATAGAGTAAATTTAGTGTCCAATATTGATATTACACTATGGGCATTTACAAAATCATCTGAATTTAATCATATGTAATAGAAAATAGAGTAAAACTCAGTTACTTTTGTGATTTCTATAGCTGCATGTTAAATAGCTCAAATTACATAAGTTCCTGAATTAGCAGAATTTAATTAAAGTTTTATTGATTAACTATCTACTCTACCAATTGAATATTCAGTACCTTAATATTTGGAATTCCTTTTTAATTTTGAAACTCATTATACAACTGATAAAGTTCTTGGATCAAGAGTAGATTATGTATATACTTTCCCTCCTGGAATTGTTGACGATTTTGATTAAAAAAAATCTTAAGAAATTGACTTAAAAAAAGCATCAATTATTACATTCGCTCTTTTAAAAAGAGTAATAAGTTTAGCAGATATTGCCAATAGAAGAGGAAGCTAAGGCTTATAGTGATATATCAAAATTAAGTACATCCAAAGATTAGTTAAGAGAAACTGAATTAAAACCTAATTCTATTAAATATACTTTAAAAAGCATAAGTGAATTAGTATTAGTAGGAAAAGGATAAATTTCATCATTCAAAGATTGATTATTAAAAAACTGGATAGAATTTAAAGTAAATTATTAAATTGGCTACCCAGAAAAACCTTAACAGATTATGCAAGTTATTGTAATTATAAGGATAAAGAAATGGAAAATGTGAAACTAATAAAAGCGAAATTGGATAATGGGTGGAATCTAAAAAGGTTTGTTTGAATTTTTTAAAAGATTTTGATTGGAGAGGTCCTTGTACTTAAAAATGCTCTTTTTATAAATTTAAATCAAAAATGCATAAGAATGCTTGAATTATTTTTTTATAACTAAAAATTATTATTTACAAGTAAATTGTTTAGCAGAATTTTAATGATCAAAGGATAAAGCATTATAAACAAACCCATTTCCAATGATGACAAGTTTTCTTTAAAAAGTCTATAGTAACCTGAATAAGATATTGCAAGTAGTAGTTTAAAAAAAAAAATATTAAAATTTTTTGCAAATAGACATAATTTAATAGCTAATTATAATTTCAAATTGGTAGAATGAATTTTTAAATATTTAATAAATCCTTTAGATAAAAAATTTAATTTTATCAAGCATAATTGATATCATAATTATTTTATTTAAATAATAAATTCTAATTGTATTCTTTTTTGGATGAATTTCATCTAGATTGAATATAATTAGAAATTGCTTTAATTTTAAAAAGGACACTATTTAAATTTAATACAGATAAATAATTTAAATACTAAAAAATTCATTGACTGTTTAGATGAGTTTTAATTCTTTTTGTAGCTTTTAATTCTTTTTCTATACAATCATAATATAATCCAAAAGGTTTTTAAAGACTTTTACCAAAAATAATTAAATTTTGCATAGCCTCTTCAAAGTTATCAGTATACATATAAGTTGGTTATACTGTTTATATTGGATATTCTCTATCAGCATGAATAAAAGGATCAAATTTTTCATAATTAGCTTTTGGGAAATGCTAAATGAAATAAGTAATAAATTTTTACATCACATTCACCTATAGAACTTGCAATTCCTGCTCCATAACCTTTTATTTGCCCATTTTCTTTACATGCTCCGAATTCAAGTGTAAACCAATATAATGTTCCAAGTCTTGATAAATCCTTTTATTAGGCTCCACATGATAATATTCCAATTTCTTAAGATAAATCAGCTACTTCTTTATCTGCAAATAATGGTACATGACCCTAATCTAATCAATTTTATATATTACTACTAATTCATGAACAATATCTGGTTCTGGAGTATATTCAGGTGTGGAATGATGTCTAATATATTAAGTGCAACAAAAAACTCTATGTCCCAAAGCGTTTAAGAATTCTCTTTAACTTAATATACCATGTGTTGCTTTTAACCTAAATCCTGTTTCTGCTTTTAGATAAGCATCAATATCTCTCAATTATGGAATTTTGTATTTAAATCCCAAAGCATTTTCTATTTTTTATAGATTTCTTAGATATCTTTATGACATCACTTGCTAAACTTTCTCTCTCAAAATTGTATATATTTTCTTCCATGTTTCTTCTTCTTATTAAGTGTAATTTATATAAGGAACAGGTTCTCCAACCATATGAGCTTAAGATATCTTTGCTATTTCTTCTCTTCTTTTTCTATATTCCTAATCTTTGAATTAAGGATGGTCTTAATTGTTTTCTTCATTTACCTACATGATTAGTCCAACTTGTTATATAATAAAAATAAATACTTGTTTTTAAGTCCTCATCGTTTCTTGGATACCAAGGTACTATTGGAACTTACTAATCATTATCTATTACAACTTCATCATATCTCTACTTTAAGTCAAAAACCAGCTCATTGAATTTATAGTCTTCAACTTTTTCAAAGGTCAATTTGACTACTATTTTTTAACCTCTTTTATAGACCTAAAAAAATACTTTGTTGTTCTATTTAATTTTAATGTTTCAATGTCATATAGATTAATCTTATGATTTGAGAATGACTTTAAGATATTTCTTAAACTGCCATAATAATCTCTTGTAATGATTTCTACATCCTAGAGATACTCTATGTTGAAATTCCTTTTTGGATGCACTGTCGAAAACCTATTAATTGAACGTAGGATTTTATTTAACATTAATTAATGACGTACTTTTTATTCAATTAATTTATAAATCTCATTAAAATACATTTTATCATCATTAAGATTCAAGACTTTTTAAATTGTTCATTACTTTATTTGCTAATTTTTAAGTTTGAATCTGTTGATTTTCATCATTTTAATTACCCTAAATTAGTTTTCTTGAAGTCACTTCAGGGGTATTCTATTTTATTAATAGATATTTTAATTACCAAAATTATTGGGGATCCATATAATGATGAGGTTTTAGAAATAGCAACTTAATTCAATTTACTTATAATTTGATATTTAGGTAGAAGATGTGATTATGGAGATTCATCTTCTACCTAAATATCAGTAATAGTGTTATCTAATAATTTTATAGAATTGTTGTTATCATTTAAAGATTCATCAATTTGTTGCATTACTTTTGGAGTAAATAATTATGATTCTTTACATTTATGAATGATCTAATGTTATTGAGGAGTCGAGAAATTATTTTTAGAAGCTTTTTTCTAATTTAGATGTACAAATGGTATATCACTTAAACTTGATTTAATGGTTGAATCTTTTGTATCTGAAAGATCACAATTTAATTCTTTAAATCGAATTTCATCTAAATTAATTTAAAACCAATTATGTTTCAGTGCTATTCTTGCTGAAGGTCTAAATTATGGTTTAGGATGAAGAAGTTATTTTAATAAAGATAAAGCATCAAATGATATATCATTATCAATAGATTAAAAATCTACTTAACAATGATAATTTTTCATAACAATTTCCTCGTAATTTGATCCTCTGAATGGTTGTTTATGAGTTAGAAGTAAGTACATTAAACAACCTACACTGAATACATCAATTTTGTGATCATATATTTTATCTTATAATACTTCAGGAGCAACAAATCCTGGAGTACCACATCTTGAGAACATATAATTTCCTGATGAAGAATAAATATCAGCTAAACCAAAATCAGTAATAACAACATCTTCTAAGATACCTTTATTTCTTAAAATTAAATTATCAGGTTTTAAATCTCTATGCAATATATTTTTCTTTTATAAGTAATCTAATGAATCTAATATTGTGGCCAGAATTTTGGCAATTACTTTTTCAGGGAATTTTTAATTTTTTTAAATGTGATTTTATAATTCTCCCCCTTCTAAATATTCTAAAATAAAATAAACATTTGAATCATCTTCATAAACTTCATGTATTAAAATAAGACCTTTATGATTTATCTTCCTCATTATAGTCATTTCTTTCACTAAAGCTATTCGGTCAGTTTCTGAATTTTTAATTTTAGGTTTTTCGAATACTTTTACGGCATACAATTTCTTTGTTTCTTTATTTATAGTCTAATACACTTTTGCAAAGTTGCCTTTCCCAATTATCTTCTCTAAAGTGTAATCCTCTTTAAATTAAGTTAGAATAGCACACTTTCTTAATTTTTCCCAAAGTTATTAATTAAGTTCTTTTGATCTACTATAGAGCTCTCTGTATTGATTATTACGGATTAAACGAAACCCATATTTCTTCTAAAAAAATGAATAGGCACTTAAACCTTATTATAGCTTTCTTTTTCTTATTTATTTTCGTATTTTAACTTTTGAATTCTAGACAAGTTTAGATTTATGATATGGTATTATTTTCCGTTAGGCTAAATAGAAGATAAGAATTACTTTGAACTTAATTAGTTAAGAATCATAGATAAAGTAATTTCTGCTAACCCAGAACCCAGTTTTATAGCTCTTCTTGAATAATAGACATTAATAATCAATTTTAGATTCTTCAATGATTATTGACTATTTTAGCCAAAAAGAATCATCAGGCTTTGAATCATCAAAAAATGATTTCGTAAATTTACAATTCATAAGAATAATTAATCAATTAAATGGAGTCACGGTCAAAAAGAAATGAACATATTGGGCTATATCTTCTGAATCTAAACTATTTAGTCCATAAAAATGGCCTTTCCTTATTAATTATCCAAAACCTATTTTATTATATTGAAATAACTTCTTACTGGCATTTGAATAATTAGCATGAGGATTATTATAATTTTAAAAGAATTAATCACATAAAGGAGATCCCTTTATTACTATAATAGGATGATTAGCCATAACAGCCTATTATAATTCATTTAAGAATCCTTCCTATTCCCCTAAAAGAATATGAACAACCTTTAAACTTTCTCTTTAACCATTTTTGCCTATCTTCCCTTCAGCTAATCTAAATTAATTTATTCTAATAAATTACTTTTTACATAAATTTATTTTAAAGACTCCTTCCAATCCAAATACCATCATTTTTTCTTTATTATCTACATACATATATTATAATAAAATTACTTAAAAGAAATATATGCGTATGTCCATTACTAATTTCATATGGATCAATAAATCCAGTAGTTTAATTAGGATATTTGACTTCTTATTCTGGAGCAACTCCAATCAATTTAACTCCTCTTCTAATTACATACTTTTCAATTCCTGTTGAAATTCCACTATCAACTATTACAGCATCCTAAAATCAAAATAAAATTAATTAAATACAGTATTAAAACAAGCTCTTGCAATTCCTGCATAGAATTTACCTTTATTAGTTTCTTTTGCTCCAATCAAATTTACAACTGGATAACATTAATTCAACTGTAATTTAAATAAAATATCTTAAATGGATAGATTTTTAGCATTGATATCTGAAATTTTTACTAATTTAGCTACTCTTCCAGTAGGAAACAAAAAATCATAAACTTTCCAAAGAGGTTCTTCCTTATTTAATAAACTTGTTTAAGATTTATAAGTTTAGGATTATCTTTCAGGACTATGTGGAGGTTTTTCAGATTATTTATTTGATTATTATGTTCTATATGATTATTATAAATCTCCATCACCTTATGGTGTTGTTATTGGTATTTTCTAACATATAATTTATTTTAATTACATCTATAAGCATATCCATATTCTCACCTGTCTTTACACTAACTTCCAGATATTCAACATTAGGATAATCATTTATAAATTCAAATGCTTACTCTTAAGAAATCTATCTGTTATTAGAATCAATTTTACAAGCTACTAAACATACTTACATTGAATTGTTTATTTATTTTTTTATATCATCCAACCATTATAAAGTTGAATCAAATGAATCAATATTTTCAACATCAAAACATACAAATACTATATGAATATTCTTTAGTATCTCAATTACTTATTTTCTTTCTGCCACATTTCCAGGAGTGTCATATATTGTTATTGTTTCATTATTTTGAATTGTAACATCTATACTCTCTATTTATTCAGTTGGACTATAATCTTCATCAAATTCTAATCCCTTCAAATATTTGATAATCGAAGTTTTTCCTACTTCAGGATCACCTACAAAAGCTATTTATTAATTTTCCATTTTTAATACTTATTATTTTAAATATATAATCAATCCAATAATCTCTTATATTTTACTAATACTTTCTTTACTTTCTGATATGGTAACTATTGATATGTCGAAGCATCTAGAGATAAATTTAGCCTTTCTGTTTATGTGATCTATCTATCCTCCTAAAATCTATTCTTTTTATTATTATACATTGCTATTATTATATTATTAATCTTACTCTTTAATTCTCTACTTGTCTCTGTAATAAACTTCTTTTTTTCCTATTAAAATTCAAATGTATTTTGCCTTTATTTTTTTATTATAGAATGATTGACATTTATTGTTTTCATCAAAAGCTCCACTTTTGCTATCTTATTGTTTTAATATGATATTATTGTTTTTTCATCTTATTAAAATGGTATAAACTCGAATTTAAATCCGTTTCCTATAATTTTTGCTTAAACATCTGTCCCTATCAATTCATTATGTAAAAGTAAGGAGAAAATTACACCAAAATACTAATTGAATTATTTTAATTATTTATCGATATCTTAAAGTATTTAATCTGTAACAGTTTTTTGTTTTAACAATTTGTTCATTTAATTTTAATTGTATTATTATTCATTGTAAAAATCTGACTTAAGTTTAATAATATCATTCTAAACCTTTGTTTTTGGAGTTAAAAGTATTTCCTATTAATTTTAAATCAAGTTATTTATTTAATTCGACTCAAAATTTTTGGTTTCTTCTTATTTTATAATGTTCAAGTTTTCTATAGTTTACACTTATTAAGATTGATCTGTTTTTATAATTTTTTAAGTTACATTACTATTTTAAATTAAATAACTATCAGAATATTAGGAATCAAATTTTTATGATTGATAGCTTATAATTTCATTTTAATTGTTCATATATTAAAATGAGGTTTAATGCACTTGTATTTCTTATTATTTTTCTTAGACATGAACAACCTTTATATGTGTTTCTGCCATCCGAAGATCCAACCCAGTTATATTAGTTTAAATAGTTTATATATCTTGAGAAATCTTTTGAAATTATAATTTGTTTTATTCATCAATTTAATTAATTAGTTACTTCGAAGCCATTTTTTATTCTTTTATGGAAATTACTGCATTTAAAACTTTTTCATTAATATCTTTCAAATTTGAATTTATCAACTGATGTCTTCTTTAAAAATCTTATTTAAGATTTGATAATGCAACTTTTAATTCTTCTATTTAGGTTTTATTTTATCCTGAAGATTATTAAATTTAAATATCAAACTAATTTGCTAAATCTTTAAACTTTTCATCAACAATTCCTTAAATTTATTCTTTATCAACTTAACTAATAAAAATATGATTAATACTTTGTAATTTATGGAGAATTAGTAATGATATTTGGTATAATTTTTAAATTTGTCTATTCCAATAAGTCAGTTTGATCAATTGTTAAAAAGTATTATGATTTTTACCTTAATTCTATAATCATATCCTGCATCCACTATTTACTACATTAAATTTTATTGAGTTCTTATTCGTTACTTTGAATTTTTGATAAAAGACTTTGTGTATGTGAATTTATAGTTGATATTTCTTCTTGATTCTAATAAAAAATAATAATAAAATACTTTTAAATTCATTTCAGTTAATTTTTAGATAATTTTGGAATTAGAAGTGTCAAAATTACTAATAGTAAAATCTTGTTGATACAATTTCTAACTTAAATAGTTATTATAAATTTCCACTCTCTCAGTTAAACTTTATTAAACATCACCTAGTATAGTTATTTCTTTCTTTTAATTTTCTTATTCAAGTTTAATAGTTCCTTATTCTAATCTTATTTTATTTAACTCGAAATTAAAATCGTTTTCAATTTCAATTACTTTTGATTAATCTTCTTAAGTATTCTTTCTAAGATGCTCAATTAATTCATTAATCAATTTGCTATATAATGACACTACAATACATATCAAAAGACAATTGATCTGATTTATCTGTCAAAATATCTATTCTTCTATTATGTTAATGAGTGAATAATTAAATTTTTTCAAGTTCTTTTTCAACATTTGCAAGTCTAATTTATATGTTTTGAATACCTCTCAACAACAGGACCACATATATGAGATATTAGTTATCGAACGACAGTTTCCTCCTAAAAATTTTGCATATTATAATTTATTAATACAATTAACAGACTATTGCTCTAGTATGAATTACAATTGAAATTGTAATTAATTTATGATTTCTGTTGTGGGCTATGAAAATTAAAATAATGTCATATACTATGTTGTGTAATTTGAGAACACTGTTTTATAAAAAAGGTACTAATTACTTTAGAGTGATAGATTTTCACAATTTGAAGAACTTCATCAATAATTACTTCCTTATTTTCCTTTACCCAACTTACCACCAAAATAATATGTGACAGTACTTATTGGCAAATCAATTGAGTAATTAGAAAAACGCTAAAAAGCTCTTGATATTTACATAAAAGAGTTAAACAAGAATCCTCGAATAGTTAAATCTTATCAATTTTAATCATTTTTGGGATTAGCTTAAACTATATAAATGATTTATGAATTTGAAGGAGTGAGTTAACCAATCAAAGATTTCACTATTAATTTTGATATGGGTTTGATGTTAGTATTGGGAAGTGAGAAAAAGAGTATACCATCTATTTTTAATAAAGTAAATCAGAATTCATAAACATTGGGAACTTTAGAATGTTGGCTTTAAAAAGAAGAAGTTTTTAAAAAAGAATGGATACATTCGTTCATTAAATAAACTACTTGTTTCCATCATGATGATTAAACTGTTATAATTGGATTTGAAGATGGTTCACTTACTCTATTACTGTTAAATCAATAAAATGAAATAGCATCATTAAAAGAATATCATTAACATTCCTCTAAAGTGCTTTCAGTTTATTTAGCCAATGGATGTTTATGTTCTGTAAGTGAATCAGAATTTAAGTAATATTATTCTTATTCATTTCAGAGTATTCTCAATGAATAAAAATGAATACATAATTAATTCATCCCTAAAAGAAATCAATGGACTTATGATTAGTGATCAAAAAGCTTATGTTTATGACTTATTAGGCACTATTTATATTTATGATCTTTAAAAAATGTCCCTCTTACTCAAATTTGATACATAATTAGAAAACATTAAGGGAATTACAAAAAATAACAATAAATTATATTTTGTTAATTAATTTGGAATTATTTTAATCTTTGAAACTGAAACTTATACAGTTTTATAAAAAGGGAAAGGAAAGGTATAAGTAAAATAATACATTAATTATGAGAGAGTAAAGAAATAAGTCATTCAGAGAGTAGATAGGTGATATATATTGGTAATAAAGATGGTTCAATAACAGCATATGATTCTTCAGATTTTTCATCTTTATGTAAATATTCTTTGATTATTTTAGATATTATAAATGCTCATATAAATAGTGTTAGTAAGATAAGAAATTTTGAAAATGAAAATTTGCTAATTACAGCTGGCGAAGATAGATATATTAGGGTATAATATTTATATATATATAGGCCTGGAGATTACCTCCTGTTTTGATAAACGAAGGATTGAAGTAATCTTCATTATAACAATACTGATTTGTAAACAAGATAGTTTAGAAATTATTTTATTATTAATTATTAATAAAATATTATAAAAATATAATCGAACAATTCTATGGGTAGTGGTGCAAGTGTAGAACAAGAATAATAATTTTAAAATCAACCAGCTCAAAATAATATTTTTATTGATGAAGGAGTTGGAATTGAATAGTCTCAATTATCAAGAAAATGGACAACTAAAATGACTATGTTTAAGAATTTAGAAACTAAAACTTTTTTAGAATCCCAATTTTAGAACAAATCTCCTAGATAAACTATTAAATTAGAATAAAAACCTTCTGTTGTTTACTCTGAAGATAGTGATTAAATAGTTAAATCTTCAAGTTCATCTGCTATATCAAGTAAAATGCATATTTCACATTAAAAGAAAAAGAAACCATATCATAAGGAAAATGAAGAAGGCAGTGAAGAGGAAGAAGAGGAAGAAAGTGATATTGAAGAAAAATAATTACATAATGATAGAAGATAAACTAAATTCTAGAATTTTTAAAGTGATGATTCTTTTGAAGAAAGAGATGATGGTACTAAATTAATTAAATAACATATATAATAAGCTGAAGAAACCATTACATCAAGAAAAAGTAGTATAAATTCTAAAGCTGATTAATAATTTTTAGCTACTTTAGAAATTAAAGATATTGCTGAATAAATTCATTTAGTTAAATAATGTTTACCTCAAAATTATCCAGCTTGTTAATTATATATAAGAACTATTATTAGTGAATAAAAATTATAACCAGGAAAAGATAAACTAGTCAAATTAGCATGTAGATAGAATCTTGATGACTCAGAGTTAAGTGATTCTAATAATAATGAAAACAATGATGAATCAAAATCAGAAATATAGACTGATTATTCTCCTGAATAATTATTAAATTAAATTGGAATAGCAATAACTAGTAAAAAAGGTAATAAAAATGATGCCTCACCTTTGGCTTCAGATTATTTAATTTACAATGATAGCTATCAAAAGGTTATAATTTTAAGTAATGGTCATGGAGAATTTGGTGAATCAATTAGTAATTTAACTTATAGAATGGTTTTTCATTACTTAATCAGAACCCCAACTTTTTATACTAATCCTATGAGAGGCTTAGAAGCTGTCTTTAAAAGGTTATAAAACAAACTTAAAATGTACATCGAAAAAAAAAAATTAGATGATACTCATAATATTTTACTAAGTGGTTGTGTGATAACAGGTATCTTTAAAAATTATAATTAGTAATTATTTAAAGAGATTCTAAATTATATTGTGCCTAACTTGGAGATAATAGAACTTATATTTACAAAGAACATATTCATAATACCAAATAAAAAAAAATTATAGCTGAAATATTGCCTATGCATACTCCGAATGATAATTCTGAAAAAGCAAGAATTTTTAATAGTGGAGGAGAAGTAAGAAAAAATCCTTAGGGAGATGAATATGTTTTTGTAAGGGGGAGGTTATATCCATAATTACATGTGACTAGAAGTTTAGGTGATGTGATAGCTCATGTTATAGGAGTATCTTCCTAACCATATTTTTTAGAATATGATATCACTTATTAGGATACCTTCTTAATTCTATCTACATCACCTGTCTTTTCTTATCAAGATGAAAATGATATAATAAATCATTTAAATGGATTTTCTCTTCATGATATTAAATCAGCTTGTGAATCATTATATAAACAATGTAAATCTAGTTGGATAGTATCAAATGGAATATTTGAAGATATGACTATTATATTATTATGGCTTGGTTAATTAAAAGAGCCAAAATGATTAATTTTAATTTACGAAAACCTCGAATTCTCTCACCATTGAAAAAAAATTCTGATATTAAAAATTTTTAATATCTATGTGATAATGAACAAATGGAATAAAGTTAAATCTATCAAGAATAAAAATTTGGATAGAGGGTTCCAAAAAAGTTTATACAAACTTTATATGAAAAATCAATTTGCAATCAAGAGATTGAATCTCCATAATTAGTCGAAATAATCCCTAAAATGTAAATTTGTTTTTCAAAGGTTGTGCTCACTGATACATATGCTTTAATATTCACATTTAATACTTTTACGATTAAATTTGGAAATTTTATCAGAAAATTGAATTTTGAAGAAACTACTCAATTAATGCATTTAGAATCAATTGAATTGATTAATAAATATCTTTAAGAAAATCTGTAAATAAATTAGAATGAAAACATTCATATTAAAATAGAAAAGCATCAAGATATGTTTTCAAAATATTAGATTCCACTTTCTCCTATTGTTCTTACTTTATAAGACATAGGAGTATTTGAGATTCATTATCCAAAATTAGAAGCTTACTTTTAGTTTTCAAGTTAAACTGAAGAAATATAATTAACAAATTCAGATGTACTTCATCTAATTGGAAATAATTTTTCTACAATTTAATAATATGTAAGAATCATAATAAGCATAGAGTTAAAGAATAAATTTTGGAAAATAAAGATCTTATGTTCGATAATTTCATGATTTAAGAATCAAAGAAATAGGAGTTGATATTTATGATTAGAGTACTTTTAAACAATTGTAAATTAAGTAATCAAGTAAAATAAGATTTATTATTAGAGCATATAAAAGATTTAAATCAAAAAATTTTAAAACAGGTTTGTGAAACCGATTAAAAATATGTTATCTTAACATTACATCCTCCTTAATTGGTATTGAAATAACTAAAAAAAACAATTTTCAAACAAAGTTTTACTCTTTTAGAATTTATACATATGTGTTTTATGCTACAGAAAGTATAATTAGAAACGTTTTTAATAATGATTAAGCTTTAGAAATAAAATGGAAAATATAGATTTGTGTATAACTTGAATGAATATCCGATAGGAAATGAATTAAGTTAAACTTGTCTTCGAAATGGTTTATTTGCAAAAATAAATAAATCTATTTAATATGATTTAAATTATTTTAAACTAGAATATGTACCATTTAGAATTATAATTTATGATCCTTTAGAAGTGAAAGAATATGAAATGCCTGTAGATTTTAATGTTATTGAATAAATGATTACTCTTAAATTAAATGTAGAGTTTAAGATTTATTGATTCAATAAGAAAAGAGTTCAAATATGATATAAAATTTATATAATGAATTATTAATAAATCTCAACTTAAGAAATTAGCAAATACAAAGACACAATTACTTAATTTTTAAGAGACAATACTCTTTATGATTGTTTAGCTCATCATAATTAAGTATGAGTATGATATTAATAAAAAGTTGATTGTTTTAGATTAAACATTTACTTGTTGGGAAGTATTTTAGATTTTTGTTGAAGATAACATAGAAGAAACGTTATTTTGGAATTCAGATGTTTCTAATTATGATGGAGTATTTACACATTCAGATTTAATAAAAGTACTTTTGAAATTATACGAAAATGCATTTCACAATAAATCTTCATGTATAAAATTAAATTTAATTAAGTATAACAGTCTGGTCCTTTATTTAATGTAATAGAAGAGGAAAGTGAAGATTAGGAGGAAAGTATATAGAAGAACCAATATAAAAAAGAATAACCATAAGAATTAAATGATGATTAAAAACTAAGATTAATTTATGAAATGAAAACTATATCAATTAGATAATGGAATCGCATATTGAAAGATGATGTAAATTTATAACTCTCTATTCGAATAGTTGGAATCTTCAATTGGATTTGTTTAAGGAAGAAATGATGAAAGATTATATGATGCTTGTGTCAAAATAGTTAAGTCTGGAACTAGTCGTCTTTTTGTTGTTGATCCAGAAACCTTAATGTTTCAAGGGGTCATTCATCAAAAGGATATATTATCCTTTTTAATTAAAGGCTTTACTTAATATTTAGGAACAATATTAAAGTAATAAAATAATATTCTATCTTAACATTAAATAAGTATTAAAGCATTTTTTTCTACTTATAACCAATAAAAGGAAATTATAACTTGTAAAGAGAATGAAAATGTTTATTAGTATCTATTTAATTTTAATCAAGAGTATTTTATACAATGATGCATAATCATAAATCATATATCATTCCTATTGTTAATAGCGATGATTAATATCTTGGCTAAATAAATAGAAGAGATATCATTTTAATCATTAAAAATGGGTTATTTGAATTGGTATATTTTAATAATTAACAAATAGTTCTCTTAAACTGCTTCTTAATTATTACTATTTTTGTAAAATGAAAAGGCTAAAATCCCAGCTTATTAATATTATTCGAAGCAGTTCTTTAGTATGGATTAAACTCTAAAAGAAGTAATCAAAATTACATAATTAGGTTGTTGAAAATCTAGTTTTATCTGATAGTTCGGCTTTAATATGTTTATCATCAAGTAGATAAATTTAAGCAATTATTACAATTTCAGATATTTTGAGATACATTTTAAAAGATGCATATTGATAAAGAAGTTTATTCATTCAATTATTTACTAATTATACATTAAAATATATATTTTTCCATACTATTTCTAACAATTTTTTATCAAAACAAAAAAAATACGAATTCAATTCACCATATATTAAAACTAATAAAAACTTTATAAACATATGTTATCAATAATTTGGATATCCTAATTTAAATATAAATTTTTAAAAGTAAATAGATCTATTTTTAATCATTTCATTATTTTTTATGCATATTGAAGTCTTTTTGTTTCTTTAATATCAAGCATATTTTAACATCCTTAACATTTTAATTGAATTTACTTATTTTCTTTTAAAATACCAAATAATTTTTATACAATCTTTATGAAGCGAATCCTATTTAAGAAAAAATAATGTTAAAAACAGGAATAAATACAAGAATTAAAAGGTTCATTTATTTTTTTACCTAATTGATATCTTCATTGTATAATCTAATAAATTAAACTTAGAAAGTTTATGTAAAGCTTCTAAGCCTTCTCAATTGATGTGAATAATATGATATTTGTATGCTAATAAAAGATCAGAGGAACGAGAATTTTAAATATTAGTAGTATAACCAATTTAATTATTTTAAATGATATGAACAGTACTTCCATTAGAATAGTTATCTAATAATGAAAGTAGATGTTTTCATTTACAATTTCTTAACCCAAAATTTAAATCGATATATCTTTATAATCAGCTGAATTACAATTTTATTACATTTTTATAATATTTCAATTTTATGATGAAAAAATAAAAACACAATACTCAAATCAGAATAATTATCTTTATTACTCAGGTTGATCAAATATTTCATGATTTATAAATTGAGGTTTCTATGCTTTTATATAACTTATTATTTTTAAGATAAATGGGCTTGTTATTTTAAATATATCAATAAATAAAGTAATGCTTAAAATAAAACTCATCAAAGCAATTATAACCCATCCATAATATAAAATCTTTTCTGTATCATTTCGGTACACTTCATTTATTAAAAAAAATAAATTAATTATAAATAGATTAAAATGAAGGAACTATTTTTTAAATGATTCTAATTTATCTAATTATTTCTTTTATTAATATAAATAATAAAAGTAAAAGAATTCATTTAAAGTGCATAATTAGATTTATATTATTGCAGATTTAAAGCACACTATTAAAATAATGCCAAATAACATCTTTTAAATACAAGAGTAAGTAAATTAACTATATGATTTCTATTTTTAGTATTCTTAAGATAATAAATAATTAATTAAAAGATACTGCATGATTCCATTTGCTATAAAACTCAATCTTCCTTCTGCAGAATTAAAATCTTAATAGATTAAGGATAGGAATGAAGAAATAATATATTCATAAATGAGGGATTAAAGTAATCCTTTAAATTAATTGTGAAACTTATTTCTACAATTTTTAATGGAAAATTTTGTAATTTTTAACAATCCATACAACTAATATTTATTGAAATTTATAATGTTCAAACTTTTGATGTGATTCATAAAGTATTTGATCAAAAGTTAGATGGATAAATGTGTAAAGTATGCAAAAACAAAAATTGTTAAAATTGAGATAAAATTACTCAAATAATTTGCATTACGTCCATCCTCTTCAAAAATTGATTCTGACTTCTAAAAGGAGAAATTAAAAAATAAATCATTGGAGGGATTGAATCCAATAAATTAATAGAAACTGGCAAGTTAAATAATTTTGAAAGTTCCAAAGAATTTAATTAAATTTTATCCTTTTCTAGTATTGATATATTTTAAATAATAAAGCTATTGTATTAAATCAATTTGATTTTAAATGATTTCAAATTTTCCACTTAAAGATGAGGCTAAGATTAAGCCTGCTATAATTTATATTTAGTATGTACTAAACTTAACAAGAGATGCTGTTAATTATTATTATTTTTGAGATAAAAAGTTTGGAGATGGTAATTGTATTGAAACATTCTAATGATTTGATGTAATTCCAAATTCATTAATGATAATATTAAGGTCAGAAAATTGTATGGAAAATATTGGATTATTACTAATTTCTTGAAAGTTTATGATAATTTAGATTTAAAGATTAGATAACTATTCTTAATTCAATGTACTAATTTCATTAAAAGTAACATTGATAGCTTTATCATCTAAAAATGTATTAATTGATTTTATGAATAAAGGAATAGAATAATTGAATGATAATTTGACTTATTAATCAAAAGTCAAATAAACAATTTATGAATTATCTATTTCTTTTTCAAATTTTAATAAAGGTACAGGATATTAAATTGGAACACATTGATTATTCACACATTAACTATCCTGAGAAGGTTGACAATTTTAATCACAACCATCTCCATTGATAAGATTACCATCATCACATTGCTCTTTATCAATAATTATTCCATCTCCACAAATAGGTTAACATTCATTTTAAATTATATGATAAGTAAATCCAATGGAACAAGTAATACATTAAGTATCTTCACAATAATCACAATTATCTATTTTACATAGATGCTAATTAAAATCCTTAGGGTAACATTTTCCATCTAACAATTCGTAATTTTTCTTACATGAAATACACTAATTATTTAAATTACAAACTTAACAAGATTTAGCACATATAATTTTACAATTTTAACATTGATCATCTTGAATATTAAAAAGTGTTCCATTATCACAATCTTCATCAGGTAATGATAAGATTCCATCACCACAAATATTATAACACTCTGCTTTTTAAGTATCAAAATAGTAACCTTCATTACAAGTATTACCATCATCAACACATTATCCTTAAATACATAATGGACAATTAGGTAGACAAGAATATTAACATTTGTAACAGCCATCATAAGGATCATCATTATCATCATCGCATAATTCTTGTTTTGATTTGATACCATCTCCACAAATATCAAAACACAAATTATTTTCTATGTCATAATATAATCCAATATCTGTACATTATTTTATTGGCTCACATATATTGTTAATCAATTTTAAATAATATCCTTCTCCACATTATAGACATATTCCAAATTAGCAATAAATACAATTGTCAGAGCAGACTAATTAACATTCATTACAAACTATATTATTTTAAGTAATTGAATCTTCACATTATTCATAGCCACTAATTATATTATCTCCACATTGACTCTAACAATTAGAAATCACATTTAAAGAATAAAATTCTTAGCATACTATACAAATATCATTAATGACTTCTTTACAGAATTCATAAAAAGCATTACTTGGTTTATTTTATATAAATTAATCTAAATTTATACTATGGCTATAAATTTTGAAAATTTAATTAAATTAAATAGTTTAAACACATAATCCATTATATCTGATATAATTATGTTAACACATTATGCATTAGCCATTGTAACATGTATGACAATGTTAAGAACAAGAGTATTTACAGAAATGACAACCATCAAATGGTATTAAATTACCATCATCACAATCTTCTTATATTACAATAAGTTTATCTCCACAAATTGGTTTACAATGAATACCAACTAATTAATATCCTTAAAAACAAGATAAACATCCATTAATAGTACAATTAGAACAACTTGATTGACAAGATAATTGACAATTATAACATCCATCATAAAGTAGACTATTCATATCTTCACAAATTTCAGATCCAATAATAATATTATCATTACATTATTCTATACATTTATTTTGATTTTAATTTAGATAATAATTATCTATACATTCAATGCATTTATTATTTACACAAGTCTTGCACACATTACTTTAACATTAGAATTTACATGTACTACTACAACCATCAAAATTAGTTAGATTAAAATCATCACATTCTTCTGAATTTCTATCAAAAGGATCAATTGCTAAATAACCATCTCCACATATATTTCGACAATAATAACTAAATGGTCTAAATCCAACAATTTTACATTCAAGACAAGTTTAACCATTTGAACTACAAGTTAAACAATCATTTCTACAAACTCTTTTACATTAATAGCAACCATCATTTTAGTTATCATCTAATCCATCATCACATTATTCTCTCCCTATTGTTATTAAATCTCCACAATTTTCTATACAAGTTTTAGAATCAATTTCTACTATCCATCCATATGTTTAACATTAATAACACAATCCTCTCATACATAATGTGCATTAATTTTAACATTCAATTTTACATTAATAACATCCATCAAATTATATTGAATTGCCATCATCACATTCCTCTTCTCCACTCAATATTCCATCACCACATAAATTTAAACAAGGAAATGTTGTTAATTCATTACATGTTAAACATTCTTTTGGACATTGAAATCTACAATTATAACAACCATCATCTAAAATGTTATTATTATCATCACATTCTTCATTCCCATGTTTCAAACCATCACCACATATAGGTAAACATTAATCATTTTAATTTATGAATCCTATTTAACAGTTAAATGCTAGGCAAATTTAATTAAACCATATTTTTTAATTATCTCCACATTATTTATAACATTATTAAAGATTTAAATCATCTATGTTTGGACAAGAAACGCAAATATCATCCTATTCAAAATATCCAATATCACATTAACAATTTAGTCCATCCAAAATTCTATTTTCAAGTGAGTTACAACTTAAACAAGAGTTTTCAAAAGATGCAAAACAATTTTAACATTTTTTATGACATTATACACAGGATAAATTAGAAATCTCAAAATAATAACCGCTTATACAATCACACGTGTTACCAACTTTTTCAACATTTGATATTGAAATACATTCATTACAATTCATTTTAGATGCTCCAAAACATGTTTTACACAATATATCACAAACTTAACATTCTACATTAATATTGTCATCATAATAACCATCATAACATAAACATTAATTGTAAAATAGATATCTGAATTTAGATTACTCACAATTTATACATTTATCTCTCAATTTGCATTGTTTGCATACATGATGACATTCTAACATTTTATTACAACTTTTACCTTTGCAAATATTATCTTCCTCATCAAAATATTCATTTATTTGACATTAGATTAAACACTTATTTATAAATATTGTATATGGACTTTTGCATGTGATACATTCAAATTCATTTAGACAAGTTTCACATTCTTAAGGACAATCTTCACATTTAAAATATTCATAATCTAAATATTAAGATGAACTGCATTCAGATTGATCCAATTTTATAATTGTTGTGTCATAAGTATCCATTAATAAACAAGTATTTTCATCTAAACATTAAAGACAATATGGACTACAATAATGAACAACTATATAATAATGTTAAATTCCACAATATTAATCTAAAACATTGTTGGTTTCTCCATAACATTAGAATGCTATAGTTAAGGTAGGAGAATAATTTGGAATATTAATACTAACAGTAGAATTTCTATCAACTGATTCTTCAGTTTAATTATTTACTGAATATCCCAAGTATCCTAAACTGCTGTCGAAATTACATCCAAAGACTGCATCAAAATATATTGTTATTGAATGATGTGCTTTATTGATATTATAAATTTAAGAAAATCTGGCTGTAGCCCAAACATATTTACCCCCAAAAACAACATTTGTATCAACATATGACCAATAAATTTCATTTCCTTTTTAAAAATCTTTAATTGTTGAAGATTCCAATATAAAAGATTACTTTATATCATCAGGAACTGTAAAATCATAGAATTGTTATAAAAAGTATTATGAGTCTAAAATTAAATATTAATTTACATTTAGTTACATGATTATAATAGACACAAATATTATTTAATAGAATAGAAGTCTTTGGACATATTCTAGTACACCTTCCATCTGATAATTGTATATATCCTGAAATACAATTTGAACAAAAATAATCCTTTTCACATTTTAAACAATAAAGGGGGCAATGCGCACTGCTCATAAGTGTATATATCAAATACCACCCAGAATCACCAGATCTATATTTAAATAATTATTTCTACGTAAAATTGCCTTTTATTGAAAAAGTAAAACTGCCTTAATCTACGTATAGATTTGCATACAATAACAAAGCCTTAGCAGATTAACAACCATTTAATAGTATATTTGGTTCATTGTATAGATATAAGTTATCAGTAATATATTATGTTCCATTATGATAAATTGACGAAAAATAAGTATTATTTAAATATAAGGATATACCTGAATCTTTTGGGGTTTGGTTGCACATATAAATATATATTTATACTCCTAATGGATATACAAAATATGTAGTATTAACAATTGTACTTGTTCCTTCATTATATCGAAAAATTCCAAAATAGGGAAGTGTTTTTTTATTTTAATTAATCAAATATTTTGGATCATAAATGATATCCCACTTAAATAGTTAAGAATAACTTTTTTCATATTGATACAAATACAAAAAGTATTATGGCTAATAGTATTAGCAATACCTTTATCTCCTATCAGTATAACCTAAAAGGCAGTAATCTAAACATCTTGAACCATACTTTGTTTTTCCTTAAGGACATCTACAAATTCCATCTTAGAGATTTATAATCCCAAAACATGATGTGCATTAATTATAACTTTCACCTGTACATGTTCTACAAGTACTATGACAAGATATATAAGAAAAATGAATGTTTTTGATTAATGCTGTAGTCTATGAATTTGTTATACTGAACTTTAAATTAGTGAATGCATTAGTATAAGGAAGTGAAATCTGATAAGTTCTCACCTCATGATCACTTGAATTGCATGCTCCGTTGACAAATTATAATGGATTCTATGTAGAATGCTCAAATAAATATGCCTAATTTATGTATTCAAATATCAAAATATCGTTATTCCAACGAGATACATAATAGACATCAAATACAATCGTATGATTAATTGAATAAGGATTCTAGGAGTAGTATTAATAATTAGAAACAGCAGTCATTTATTATTATGATAGGATTAAACTTGATCCAATAGGATTTGTGCAATTCACGTAAATGGCATTCTTTGTACTTAAATCTTACTTAAACCCATATGGACATGTACTATCTGAACAATATATATTCTAAGGTCTATGAAATGAGCTATAATAAACAACCCATTAAGCTATAACAAATTTTAATTGAATTAAAAACCACATAATAATTAATAGGTATCAAATTCTTTGTTCTATGTCCAAAAATACGTAAAATCTAAAATGAATATGAATATTTTAATTATTAATTTATAAAGATGAAAAATAGAATTGAATTGAAAAAATAGAACAATTTTAGGAGTAATAAATAAAACTTAAAATTACAGGTTGTTTTAAATTAGAAATAATTTAAAAAAGCCAACATTAATCTCCTAATTTTACAAAATAAATTTTATTTAAGAAAATATAAATGTTAATATAATTATAATTTATCTACTTTCATTCATATCAGTTAATTATCCATTTAAATCAGTGCATATTGTAAATTAAAACATTTATTTTAATATCTAATTTTATATACAAAAAAATTCATTCTGTTTCTTAAATCAGATTAATTTAGTCTTATTAAAAAAAAAGGAAAAAGATGGTTTGATACAATTTTTTAGTAATCTTAGTAGAAAATTATTATTTAATCTCATATATTTTATCTAATCTTTTTAAAAATAGTGGGAATTTTCACAAAAAAATCAATGATTTTTAATAATTAGATGTAATAATAATATTTTAGTAAAATGAGTTATTCTAATCTATCTCCTTCAAGCTAATCAAGTGAATCTAATTCTTAGAGGAGTAGAAGTCATACTGTCAATTTCGATGTAATTCATGATCCTGTTTTGGAAAATAAAAATTAAAAGAATTAAAAAAATCAGAGAGCGTCATTAAGGAATTTGAAAATGGAAAAAATGGTTAGGACTGTAAATTAATACTTATAAACGTATGAAATTTACTTAAAATTATTGTTTGGAAGGTAAATAAAGAGCTAGGATGAATAAAAGATGAATTATAAATTTGGTCAATTTATTGAATAGATAGATGTAAATGTCTTACCAGAAGCTGTATTAAAGTAAGTATTGACAAATAATAAAGGTTTCCAAATCCTGATTGTTAATAATGTGAATAATTAGAAATAATGTCACCTATTGATACTATACTTTTTATAGAAAAAGTCCTAAAATTGGATATGAAGAAGATTGATAATCAAATATTTATGAAAGCTGTTGAAGGTGTATTTACAAAGCTTAGTCCTTGTCTAAAAAGAAGCAAAAGTAAGTTTGGTTTCAAATAAAACTCAAATTTAAAATCAGAAACAATTCTGGATTAAATCCCATTAGATTAAGAAAATGTTTAAACACCATTTGAAAGTATATAACAGAGAAGATGGTATAGATAATCAAGTCATAAAAAAGTGGATCCATTAACTAATTTAGTAATGTCAATGTAACATAAATTGATGGGCTCAGAAACAATAAATTTAAAATTGTATAAATAAACTGATACCTTTGATTTAGATTATTCTTTAATAAAAGAAATGAAACCTAAAATTATGTAAGGAGGAGGATATTTTGTTTTTAAAAATGGAAAATGGAATAGAAGTGATGAAGATACTAGTGATGTTTTAACCTTAATAAGATAAATTATGCTCATATAAATTATGATTAATGGTTTTAGTGTTAAAAGCTGTATTACAGATGATGGAAGATTCATTTTATGTAGATTATATGCTCATGAAGAAAATTTAAAAACTTTGGCTCAAAGATAAAAATTAAAAAAAAAATTAAATTTTTGGTTTACAGATCTATTTTCAATGGAACCAGTTGATAATTGTTATAGACCTTTAAGATTGAATAATAGAATTTGGAAACCTAATGATTATGATGATGTTACAGAAATGTTTTTATATCTCAGACCAAAAATTATTAAACTTTTAGATGAAATTAATTTCAAAAGAGTTTCTAGAGAAACAAATCAAAGTAGAATTAATGGATAATTATTTTAATATGGAAAAATGGATTTATAAGATGATGAAGATTAACCTACAGATGAATAATGGTTTGCTTTCTATCAATATTTAGTTCATTTGGAAAAGGAAATATCAAAACTTAGGAAAAATTTCAAAATTGATAGTGATGTTTCAGCTATCATTAATAAATAATTAAAACCTTATGATCTTTACGTTATTAGAAATTAAAAAAAAGAAGAAATTAAGAAATTAAATAAAAATAATATTAAAGATGAATCAAACAGAATTCATTAGATAGAAATTAAAAAAATTCAATAAAGAGTATTTAATGTTATTTAAGAATATTAACATTTTTTAACAGAAGATCAAGTTCCCCACACCAAATTAATTAAATTATTTAAGAAAGAAAGATTAGCATCTAATTATTAAAGTATTTTTGAAGAAGCTCTCAAAGTAGCAAATAGTTAAAAATAATTATTATTTACTATTTGGGACTTAATAGATGTATAAAGATTAGAACCATATGTTGTATATTCTAAACCTAGCATGCTTATTTCTCCTTTAATGAAACTTTAACACATTATGTGTTGGTGTAAGTATTAAATAAACGAATTTAAAAAAATTTCTTTATTTTCTTCTTCTGAGAGATTGAAATTAACAGATTAAGCAATTAATAATATGTTTTTATTGAATGATTTGATTAGTAAGAAAGTTGTTTCATAATTTTTTTGTGTAAATGATCATTATGAACTTTTTGGACATTTAAGTTGTTCATAAAATGATTTTATGTTAGAAGATGATTTTTATAGAAAAAAAATTTATCATTTAGAATTTGAATGGTCATTTAATATTTAAAAACCTTGGAGTGCTCCTATAGTTTTAATTTGTGATTATTATGGTTAAAAAATAGGACTTTATTTTTACTACTAAACTTATTACACTAAAATGTTATTAAAAATAGCTTTTATTGCTTTGGGTTGTAATTTAGTATAATGGGTAATTTAAGATGATAAAACTGATTTAAATTATTTATTAAGAATTATATTTGCATTTGTATAAATTTAGTGGACAAATTTATTTGTTGTAATTTGGTAAAAAAAGTAGCTTATTTTTAATTTATAATTTGGTCAATCAGGAAAAGATGAGATTTAGGTTTAAAGAAGTAATTTTATAGGAAAAAATAGAAGATCAGTTGAAAATGATTAATTAAATAATGTAGGAATTGATGAGTTGGAACTATATTCTAGGATGGTTTTAGCTACACTCATATTAATTTTATTGATTCTTCTCTATAGTGGAGTTGTTATTTGTTTGTATATTTTGACTATCGCTCTTAAATTAAAGATGTAAGAGGATAAAACAGTAAGAGACACAACTTTTGAAGTAATGGTAACAGCTACTATAAATATTGTAATCATATAATTTTTGGATAAGGTTTACGATATTATTGCAACTAAATTAACTGATTTTGAGAATTAAAAAACAGTTAAAGATTATGAAGAAAGTTTTGTAACTAAGAAATATATTTTGTATTTTATATCATATGTTGGTCCATTAATCATTATAGCTTTCTTAAACGAACCATTTAATCTTTATTGTAAAGAAACTAATTGTTAGGAACATATTTAATATCATTTTGCGACAATGATTATTTGGGTATTTTTTTTTAAAACTGTCAAAATGTTTTAACTTATAATAAATGTTAAAAAAATTCCTATATTTAAATATAAATTTGAAGAAATCAGCATCTCTAAATATATTTAAGAATAATCAAATCGTTAATCCTATGCAATAAGTTAAGAAAGATATGGAACTTTAGAAGATTATATGGAAATCTTTCTTTAAAATACACTTCTCTCTATTTTTGGATATAGTTTTCCGTTTAGCTTTTTCCTTTTATGGGTCCAAAATATTGCATAAATGTAAGCTGATAAAGCTAAATTCATTTATTTTTTATAAAGACCTTGGCCATAAAACAATTCGTCATTAGGAGTATGGAATAAAATATTAGAACTAATTAATTATGTTTGTATTTTAACAAATACTGGTTAGATGACTATGGAATATAATAAAAAGTATGGATATGAAATCTTATTAGCTTACTTAATGTTTCTTATTTTTAATTTTTCTATGAATTTTATAATGAATGGAACATTTGGTTAAATCCCTTATGAATTAGGTCTTTTTATTAAGAGATAAAAGTATTTAATTAAACACACTATAGAGTAATTTTCAAAAAATCAAACTAGTGGATAATAGTCAAAACATGATGATTTAAAAAGATTTCCAATCTTTAAAATATATTCTACTGTTAATGATTAATTTTCTGGAGAATTTGAAACTGTAAGTTCAGAAGATGATTTAGAAAGTCACTATGACTTGAATTAAATGAAATTTTTATGCAAAAATGATAATAAAAAAGAGTAGTAGATAGTTTAAAAAAAGTAAGGTGTTATTAATAATGATAAATAGAAAAAAACTACAATATAAGAAAAGTTAATATAAAAATAAAAAATAAATGAAAGGAAATAAAGAGATATTTTAAAGGATGAAGTTATGTCAGATTAAGTGATGTTAAATTATTTCTTAAAAAGAAAGTTTAATTGGGCTTTTGAAATTAAATCATGGAAAAGAAATTTTCATAAGAAATTTATAAAAACTATGCAATTTTTATATCAAAAGCAATTATTAAATTTACACAAAACTTGTTGGTGTGATTTAAGAGTATCACATAGATATTTGTACATGAAGAGAAAGACTACATTGTTAAGATAATTGGAATTAAGAAAGTTAATAATTTTCAAAAGAAATGAGAAAAAAATCATAGAATAGTATAAAGAAAGAGCAAAAATTAAATTTAGGAAACAATTTAAAATGTTTGATCCTAAAAGTAAAAGATTAGAAGAAATTCAAGAATTGGAAGCATTACAGAAAAAATTTGACACTTATGTATATAAGCATGCTTAGCTTGATAGTACAAAAGTAGTTGTAATTAAAATGAAAGGTATTTGGTTTAGTCAATATCGTAAATCAACAATAAAAACAAGATCATTGAGCATGGTCAAAGATTTCTTTTTTAAAACTAAATTAATAGATAAATTAAAAGGAGATTCAGGATTACAGGATTAAGTAGAAGCTTCTTTAGGAGATCCTCATAAATTGGATTCTATTACTTTGGAACATTTTATCAAAACTTTTTGGTCTTTAGGAAATGCGTAAAAATATTTATTATTTCTAGCTCTAAAGAACAATTTGAACTTCCTTTATGCACAAAAGAATTAAATATTATGGATTATTATAAAAACAAAAAGAAATCAGAGACATATTTTTAGATTGTAGATAAATTTAGAGATACCTATGTATTTGATTACCAATATTAAAAATTACAAGAAATTACTATGTAATATTTTGAAGAAGAGATGTTTCCTATAGAACCAATAAAGTTATAAAGACAATTAAGTGAAACTGTTTGGATATGCACAGATAAATATAAAAAATAATGTTTAATTTAATTTTTACAGATCAGACATGAATAATAATTAAGAATAAATCCTGACTGTGCTGTTAACTATGGAGTTTTTTATGTAAAAGCTTATCCTTAAATCAGACTCTCAAATATAGTAGATTAAGTGGATGATTTTTATATTAAAGGTTATTGTGTATTTAAATATGAAATTTTATCTTAATACACATTAAAACATATAATCAAATATCGATATACTTATAGCTTAGAATATTCATTGACAGATTTGAATGAATTTTTGCATGCTAATCTGATTTTATTAAAATAATAGAGTCACGGGAATCTAAATATTAATAATTATTATCTTTTTGGTAGAAGTTATGTATTATTGTAATCAAATAAATAAGAAAATGATTTAGTGAATTTAGCGTAAGTTGTGATTGAAATGATTTTGTTGCAACCAGTTGAAAATGCAATTAGAGGTTATTAATAATTAAGTACTTTACATTCCTTGCGTCCAGTACTTATGTTAATGATATTTGAATCTCCTTCCATAGATGAATTGATAGATAAATTAATTAGTAAACATTCTTTTATGGAATATAATATAAATCAAGATGATAGACATAAATCAATAAAGCAAGAAGATACTATTCTTGGACAACTTGCTTTGGCAACACATTAAATAAATTTAAATTTTCGTATGAAACAACATTAAGAAACACTTAAGGAGATTTCTGTGATAGAAAAATTTTTAATGTCAAAAAAATTCTAAGAAAATGAAGAATTTTTAGATTCATTTTTGTCATATTTGATTGTTCATTAGAATCAAATAATTTCTAAATAATCTGAAATTAAATTATTATTCAACATTTTACTTATAATTTACATTAAATTTGCAACTTTACTTTAAATGAGATAAAACTTTTTATTTGAAATGGAATAATTATATCACACATTAATTCGATCTGTTGAGAATATTAATGATTTAATAAAGTAGTTGAGCTTAAATGTCAAATTAGAATAGCTTAGTACAACAGAATAAAAGATCCTTTTAAGAAGAAGATAAACAAGATCAAAATCCTAAATAGATTTAACAGCTGCTGATAGAATGCTTTTAATTTAAAAAATAAGAAAACATCCAACATATATCAAAGTAATTTGCTAATTAAAAAAAGAATTGTAAAGATATTCTCTGTAATTACAGGCATTGCATTCAATATATTTATATTTTAATAAAAACTTTTTATATTCTGCTTAACTATTAGAAAATATTTAGAAAATCTAAACTGAAATAATTCATTCTGATCATAAAATTTAGTTAGTAATTGAAGAACCTTAAGATCTTAGTCCTAGTTAATTTAACTTTGATTAATAATCCCCTACTTTAGATGCCTCACTGAAATAATATTAAGATTAGACATTTGAATTGTAAAAGGAATTTAATGACTCTCCTAATTATTGTTTATAGTTGCTTTTTTACAAATATTTGTAATTATTAGTCTGGTATGATGGTGGTAAAGAAAAATTTTAAAATGATTGTATAGATTTCATTTAAAATTAAATTGAATCACCAGTTTTTGATTATTTTAGTTCATAATTAAAAGTAATTTAAAAATTTGAAATACCTGGAGATTATATAGAATTTAACAAGACTTGTCAAATTGGTAAATTTATTGTAATTAATATGAATAAATGGATTGAATAAACTTATTTAACTCCAACAAAATATGAAGCTTCAAATGACTTTCAATTTAATTGGAAGTAAGTATTAACTTTTAGTACAATAGAATAATCTTTAGAAAATAGACTTTTTTTAAGTAAAATAATAGGATAAACTAAAACCAATTTAAACTATTTATTATTAGAAATTAGAGCAATTCATCAATTATTACATTTAGATAATTATAGACCATTAGATCATTAAGTCAATCTCTAAAACTTGGATACATCTAATTTAAAACATGATTTTTTGAATAATAGTCTAATTAATAGATTAAAAGTGCTTCATAATGAAATATCTATAGAATCTGATTCATGGTTTCATTGTTCTGGATTGCTTTAATTTAGAGTTTTTTATATCCATTCTTTGTGTTTCTCATTTTCTAAGAAACATTTCGAAAATATGTATGGTGAATCTAGTAATCTTTTATTTTTAGCTGAAATTGCTCTTAAATAAATATCTTTTGATTCTTAAAGTGACGCTCACCGCATGAAAGCTTATTAGATATTATAAAAACCATATTAATTGTTTGAGATGAAATCAAATGTTAAATCTAATTAAATAAGTTAAATCATAAGTTCATTTTTCTTTATGTCTCAATATTATAGCATTTAAGAAAAAGAATAATACTTCAAAAGTATTCTTGATTTATATGGAGAATAAGTAAAGCCTTCTTTGGTAATATTGGCATTAATACATTTTTATCTATCAAAAGGATAAAAAGAAATTGTTCAATTAATAATTAAGACAGTTGTTAAATTAATCCATTTAGATACATAAATTTTTTAAAATGCTCATTTATCATTTATAGATGATCTACATATAAGTTTGCTTGAATGCAATCAAGATGTAGTTGAGTATCTATACCCTTATGATTGTTTATTTAAAAGAACTACAGATATTAGATCTTTCTCATCAAATGAATAAATTTTAAATCTCAAATATCTCATTTATAATCAATTTTTTCATCAAGATCCAGATTTCAATATAGACATACTAGAAGATCATTTGAAACTCTTTTCTTCATATACATATATGATAAAGTTGAAGAATATTTATCAATTATTTATATTAGTCTAAAAATCAATTAAAGGGGAGGCCACATTCGAAGAAATGGAAATGTAAGTTGTTATTTAATCTTAGATTTCTTAAAATGCAATTTGAAAAGATAACAGTTTATTCTTCAATCATTAAAAGCCTATTAGCAAGATACTATATTAATTTGAAAAGCTATGAAGAAGCTAAACCTTTATTAGAAGAACTTATTTCTTTTCTTTATTCAATCTAAATAAAATCTAATTTATTACTTTTTGTTGATAAAACTAATTTTGTAAAATATTCAATAAATATTAAAGAAAATTTACAATAATGTGCCTATTTTTAAAATGCTTTTTGATGTTTAATTAGAAGAGATAGCAGCAGAAGATACTGATAATCAATATTGCCATTTAATTGATGAGTAATTTATATAAGAAACAATAATATATTATTTAGAAGTACTGGCTAATACATAAAATGAAACATTGAATATGCCTAGTATTTAAGTTATTCTATCATTTTTTTTCTAAGTAAAAAATTTTGGAACACAACAAAATTTATTTAAAGTATTATCATAAATATTTTTATGTTATTCATCTCCTATTGGAGTTGAAATGGTATAAGAATAATTAGGAACCACTTATGAATAATAAGTATTAATTAAAATCTATAAAAGATCTAAACTTACATTTAATAAAGGAGTTAATTGAAAGAAAGATTAAATCATTTATTTTTAATAAAATAATTAAGTGTTGAGGAGAGCAACAGAATAAATTCTCAAATAAATTTATATAATTTTGCCATAGGAATTTATGAAGGAATAAGTAAAGGAATCTCAAATAAAACATTGCTGACATGGAGTATTTCAGCAGCTGAAAAAGCATTGATAGGATTCAGAATAGTCTGCAAATCTTTTTAAAGATCTATTCATTATTAGATTGCAGATCTTCACTTGACATTAACAGATTGTTTTGTATAGTTAGAACAATTATCCACAATTATTTTTCACTTAGAAGCTGCAGAAGATGAATTGATGACTTGGTTCAAATACAATAAACATCCACTAAAAGCACACTTTTTAATGAAGCAAGGAGCTCTCAGACCATGGATATAGGAACAATATATTATATATATTTCATGGATGAATGAATTACCTAGACTAAATAGATTAAATATATTCACTATTATTAGATAGTTATTACTTCAAAATAGAAAATTATTATAAATATTTGAATAAAATAATTAGGATCTTATAAATCTAGAAATAAATCTTCTTTTATATCTAAAGGGCTTAGATGAGAGTTAATAGGTTTATGTCGATATTTTTGAATTGTGCAAAAACAATGATCCAGAGTTATTATTAAAACAAGTGACTACATTATCGGCTTTCGATTTTAATGGAGTAAATATTTTAATGGATGTAATTAATCTAATCAAATTTAGGCTTAAGCAATATTTTAAACTTTCAATTAAAATAATTGTTTCACTTAAAGATTATAAATTATGATAGATTAAATGATTTCAAAATAAATAAATTGATGTTTGAAATTAAATTTGCACATTAGTAAATAAAAACATGATTTATTAATTATATAAATATATTAACCCAATAGAATCATTTCTTAGAATGGTATTTATTAAAACTTACTCTAAAAGAACTCTTATCAATAATACTGAAAAATTATTCTGATTAAGTAATTTTTACAGGATTATCAATGATAGAATAAAACTATTCATTTTAATCTTATTCCTAAGAGTTTAAGTTTAGCTGATCTTATCGTTCGTTTTGAGGCTTGTTATTTTCTATCTATTACTAGTTTTTTGTTAATTATTATGTTTAGTTTTGACTCTGATTTCCTTCATTACTGCTATATTAAATTTTATTTTCTTCGATTATAGTTTACAATTTATGACCTTTTTCCTAGATATCCTAGTTACTTAAATATTTATTTTATTCTAATTAATCATCAAACAAATTCAATAAGCTGACATCTTTAGAATAAGAATCTACTTTATTTATTGTGTCTCCTAGACTTAATTAATAAAATAGTATACTTCGGGATCATATACTTTCTAAAATCTTTCTCTGATTCTGCTCTACGATATATAGACTAGCTTTGAGCAAAGACAGGTGTAGATGTACAAGAATGCAAGACTAATGGTTATTAAAAGGAATTATCAATGGGTTGTAGCTCTATGGCTGGAACTGCTGGTCTTCTAATGAATGGTCTAATTATTCCTTGTCTTGCAAATATTTCAATTATTTTTTGAAACAAAGCTTCATATAAGTGATCTAGAGCTCCTAATAATTTATTGAGGCATTAATTCATAAAATTAATAAAAATTAACTGCAAAATTTCAGACCAACCAAAATCCTATATTATATCTACACTTTCAAATAAAAATTTGATCCCATTAAATTAGATAATAGCCTAAAAAAATTTGATAATTTTGGACTTAAAAATTAAAAAATAAATTTGAACAAGGTTTTCATAGAATAAACTTACATCTCTATATAATATTGTAAATAAAGAATAAAATTATTACAAATGGAATAGAAGCATTTTAAAAAAATTAAGTAAGAATAAACTTAAAATTTAGAAACCTAAAAATTTTTTTAAATTTAAGATTGTTTGATTTTGATGTAATATTAAGAGATAAGTTAGAAAAACATATAAATTACTCTAGGAAATGGAGATTGAGAATGAGACCTACTATTTTAAACCAGTTTAATTATAAATATAAGGTATTGGAATTTAAAATACAAGATCTTCGTATTAATCTTGAAGTGATACTTAGTTTATGATATTGCCAACAGGAGCAAATTCCTTCAAAGAAGCAATCTAAATTGGATGTGAAGTTTATCACAGCTTAAAGAGTGTCATAAAATCTAAATATGGATTGGATGCCACTAATGTTGGAGATGAGGGAGGATTTGCTCCATCAATTCAAGATCCTAATGAAGCACTGTAATTGTTAGAAGATGCAATCAAAAAAGCTGGACATACAGGAAAAGTTGATGTTGGAATGGATGTTGCTGCTTCTGAATTTTTTGATAACAAGACTTACGATTTGGATTTCAAAAATGCCAAAAATGATGGATCTAAAAAATTGAATGCTTAATAATTGACAGAATTATATCTTAAATTCGTTTCCTAACATCCCATCGTTTCAATAGAAGATCCTTTTGATTAAGATGACTGGGAAGGGTATGCCTAATTCACAGCTAAAATTGGTTAGAAAGTTTAAATAGTTGGTGACGATCTATTGGTTACAAATCCAATTAGAGTTCAAGAAGCCATTAATAAAAAGGCTTGCAATGCTCTTTTATTGAAAGTTAACTAAATTGGCTCATTGACAGAATCTATTGAAGCTTCAAATCTTTCTTAATAGAATGGATTTGGTGTTATGGTTAGTCATAGATCAGGAGAAACTGAAGACAACTTTATTGCTGATTTGGTTTTTATTTTATTTTTATTTAGGTTGTTGGTTTAGGAACTGGATAAATCAAAACAGGGGCTCCATGCAGATCTGAAAGAACAGCCAAATATAACTAAATCCTTAGAATTGAACAAGAGTTAGGTAATAGAGCTGTTTTTGCTGGAAAAAATTTCAGAAATCCATAATTATGAGAATCATATCATAAATAAAATAAATAATTATAAAACTTTATGGATAAATAAATTATTTATTCTAAACAATCTGCAGTTACAACTAAAATAAAAATTCCTCATCGAACTACTGCAGAATAAATTTACATATCAAGACTAAAAGAAACAGAAGCTTTTATTCCTTAAGAAGAATTTATCAAAAAATAATAAAAAATCAATAAGGCTAAAGAATCTTAATCATAAAAACCTCTAAAATATTATTCTCATATTAATGAAATTCGATCTGTTAAAGAGTTTCTTTATATTTCAGAGAAGCTTAAACAAAAAAATATTGAAAGGAAAATGAATGAAAGATTAGAATTAAGAGGAAAGTTAAATAAAATTAAGGAAATTGAAGTCTTGAAAAAACTTCATTATTATTTAGAAAAAAAAATAAGATTATTTATCAAAGATAGATAACATGATGAAAGTAAATAGTATCTTTATTTTTAGATCCTTAGATGAAAACTTTTGAAGCATTTAGAATCTCTCATTAGGATGACAAGAAAATTATGCAATTTCCTTTAGATTTGTAAAAAGAAATCTTTTAAAAATTGGATAATTAACCTGAAATTATTCAAAAACAACCATTAAAACAAAAAATGATTTCAACTAATTCAGATTAGAAATTATAAAAAAGAAACTCTCAAGTTGAGTAATAAAAATTTTATATTTTACATAGTTTTTTTAATAGTGAGTTTTCAGAAAGTATAAATCATAATAGTAATGATGAAGGAACAAGCAAATTTCTGACTTTGAAAGTAGCAAATAAACTACTAGGAATGATGATTGTAGAATCAAGTAAAGGTAAAAGATAACCGATTATTTGGGCTTAAAATAAAAAAAAAGAATTAGAAGAGATCCTTAATAAACCTTATGGAGGAAAAATGAATTTTAATGTGCATTCTTTCAATTGGTTGATTGACAATGCTTTAAGCAAATCTTCATCTCTAATGAACATTGATAGAAGATAAACTAATCGAGCGGTCAGCATGGATGAAAGAGTTGAATATTAATCACCTACCAATAACTATAAAGAGATATAAAACAAAATTAATTAAGGAATAGAATCAATAAATAAAACTTTTTATACAAGACCAAAATCAACAATTGTTTCAAAGCAAAGAAAAGAACTAAAAAATAGAAAATAAGTTACAACTGAATACAACATTTCTGAAAGAATAAAAGAAAATGTCATTTCATAAGCTCTAAGAAATTCTAACATACAAACCCAATAAAGAACTGAAAGTATATTCTTTCAGAATGATTCCTATGTTAACCATTTTATTTGATTTTTATCATTCTATTTTATTTTTTTATTGAAAAATTGTATTATAAAAAGGAAACTCTTAAATTAATGCATGCTAAAATTTAGAATAATTATTTTTTTGAACCAATTATCTTTGCAAAATTGGCTTTTGAAAAAGTAATGATAATCAACTGAATGATTATATGAAAATTAAACTCATTGTTGTGCTTGGGATAATTTGTTTTATAAATTCTCATATTCAATTTACAATTCTTAAATTTCTGTATCCAATTGATGATTCTGAATTATTAATAATCACTTTACTTTTTTTTTATAATCTGCTAAAATATCTTGACTAACAATTTAGATTGCTTTTTCGATTGTTGCTTTTGATTCATTGATGTCAAAAACTGTAAAATTGGATTGATTGTATTTTAAGATTTATGCTGGAGTCATCTGTTCAAAATCAGGCTCCTTTTAATCTACTTAGATTTCCTCCTCTACTTAATTATTTTCCTAATTTGGCTTAGAGTTCAAGATTTCTAAAAGTTCAGGCTGTATTAAGGTAAATTAATTACTTTTGGATTTATAAAAACGATTTCATCATATTATTCACTCACAACAGGTTTTTTTGTTAAAGGAATGCTTTATGTTTAGTTTTAATATAATTTTAGAGGGTGAACTGCAATTAATGGTTGATCATAATCTCCTTTCAAATAAATTTTTATGATTATATCAAATTACCCCCAACCTGTTTCAGCAATCACAAATGGGTGTTAAGAAACAACTAAATTGTTTATTTTATATTTACCTCTATTTGTATTTTCAAATGAACTATGTAATACAAATATCACTTTTTCAATAAAGTAAGATAAGTCTTCATTTTGAGCTCCTCTAACATAGCAAATCCATGAATGTGTTTTCTTTTCATCTGATTTTCTTCCGAGCCAAGTTGCAATTGTTCCATAAATAATAGGTTTTGATATTTGCATTTATATTATTTATATTTCTTACTTTATTTATAAAACTTTAATATTTTTTGCATCATATGTATAATATATCATTAAGTTTACAAAATTAATCATTATAGATAATATTAAAACTGCTGCGATAAAATAATAAATGATAGGATTGGAAAAAAATAAAGTATTTTTATCAAATACATTTCCGAATTAGCGAAATAAAAATCGGGATATGAAAATTCTACAATTCATTAAGTGAAAATAATAAAATGAGAAAAGTAATATTAATTAGAATTTAGAAACTTGTATGATAATTTTTATAGGTTTAATTAAAAACACTTTTATTGTTAATAAAAAATAATCTATCAATAATTGTTATGTTCTAGATTAAGTATAATATATGATTATCCTTTATTAAATCCTAATTAAAATAGAAATTTCTCATCTATTCAATATTAATGTGATAATTAATAAAATAACTTTGAAAAATAAAACCTCATAAATAATCCAAGAAGTGAAAGGCTTTTAAAAATTTTATTATTTATTTTATACTCTAACCTGAGATGAGAGTTTGTTTCAATTTGTTTATTAAAAGCTTAATTGAGGAACAGAAAAATATATTTTTTTGAATGGATATTGATATAAAATTAAAATTTCACATACAATTTTGCTCAAGATAGTGAATAATAAATTGAAAATTAGACTAACAATCAGCAGTTACAAAGATTAAGTTAAATTAGGAAAGATAGAAACTACTAAAGATAAGAGGTAGGTAAGAAGTACAAATTTGATTCTAATTCCTAATTATTTAAATTTAATATAAAATCTTTCAAATGATCTCTTATTACCTCTAAAATACAAATTATTTAGTTATTTTTATCTCCTTTTTTTATTCATCTTTGTTCACACTTGATTCATACTCCTCTTTCTGTAATTATATCAATATTTTACTCACCATCGAAGGTTGACATTTTTTATCTATTACATGTTTAAAATTATCAACGGTGAAGCCAATTTAAAATCGATCAAAATGAAAAAAAAAATAAAAACTTAGAGAGAGACATTCAAGATTTAAAATATATTAGAAATAAATTATTTTACAAAATTAACCATAAATCATTTAACCTGGAAGTATTAATTTATAAATTTTTAATGACTTCAAATTTTATATAAAAGAATTATAATAAATAATTTTTTCTTCAATAGTTTCTTAAACCCATTCGCTTCTTTACATTATTATTTCTATATTTTTTATTTAACATATAGATTAATTCTAATAATTTTGAACTTAGAATGTTATATTTTCATTCCTTTTCTCCACAGGAATGAAATTCTATACATGTGCTGGCATAATAATGAGTTTTAACACTAAGAATAATCTTTTGATTATAAATTTATACATTTAATTTATATCATTAGATTAAAATTTTTTTTAAATAAAAATGAAGGAGGATTCATCGATTATCAAGAATGTTATCGCAAGAGAAATTTTGGATTCTAGGGGTAATCCAACAGTGGAAGCTGATGTAATAACATCAAAGGGAGTGTTTAGATCTGCAGTGCCTTCAGGTGCATCAACTGGAATCTACGAAGCTTTGGAATTGAGAGATGGAGATAAATCTAGATATCTGGGTAAAGGAGTTACTAAAGCAGTAGCCAACGTCAATGAAATAATTGGACCAGCATTAATTGGTAAGAATTTAAAATAATGAAATAGGTAAGAGTGTGACAGACCAAACAAATTTAGATAAATATATTGTTGAATAATTAGATGGAAGCAAAAATTAATATGGATGGTCAAAGAGTAAATTAGGGGCTAATGCTATATTGGCAGTGTCATTGAGTTTAGCTCGAGCTGGAGCAGCTGAATAGAATGTTCCACTTTATCAATACTTAGCTTAATTAGCAGGTAAGAGAACAGATAAATTTGTCATTCCAGTACCTGCATTTAACGTAATTAATGGTGGCAAACATGCTGGAAATAATTTAGCTATGCAAGAAGTATAAGAATAACTAATAATACTTAGTTTATGATATTGCCAACAGGAGCAAATTCATTCAGAGAAGCTATGTAAATTGGATGTGAGGTTTATCACAGCTTAAAGGGTGTTATAAAATCTAAATATGGATTGGATGCCACTAATGTTGGAGACGAGGGAGGATTTGCTCCTTCAATTCAAGATCCTAATGAAGCACTTTAATTGTTAGAAGATGCAATCAAAAAAGCTGGACACACAGGAAAAGTTGAAATTGGAATGGATGTTGCTGCTTCTGAATTTTTTGATAACAATGCTTATGATTTGGATTTCAAAAATTCCAAAAATGATGGATCAAAAAAATTGAATGCTTAATAATTGGGAGAATTATATATTAAATTTGTTTCAGAACATCCCATCATCTCAATAGAAGATCCTTTTGATTAAGATGACTGGGAAGGGTATGCCTAATTAACAGCTTAAATTGGTTAGAAAGTTTAAATAGTTGGTGACGATCTATTGGTTACAAATCCAATTAGAGTTCAAGAAGCCATTAATAAAAAGGCTTGCAATGCTCTTTTATTGAAAGTTAACTAAATTGGCTCATTGACAGAATCCATTGAAGCTTCAAATCTTTCTTAATAGAATGGATTTGGTGTTATGGTTAGTCATAGATCAGGAGAAACTGAAGACAACTTTATTGCTGATTTGGTTTTTATTTTATTTTTATTTAGGTTGTTGGTTTAGGAACTGGATAAATCAAAACAGGTGCTCCATGCAGATCTGAAAGAACAGCCAAATATAACTAAATCCTTAGAATTGAACAAGAGTTAGGTAATAGAGCTGTTTTTGCTGGAAAAAATTTCAGAAATCCATAATTATGAGAAACATAAAATCAAATAATCTATATCATAAATTATATAAAATATTATCAATTCATGGATAATTTATTATTTATCTAATAAAATCTGTAATTAGAGATACTTTAGAACTATATTATAAATAAAATATAAGTTCCTTCTAACCAAATGTAAATACTTTTACATCATAATAACTAAACTCTTATTATAAATAATTTTTTTTTTTCAATAAACGAAGAAATAAAAGCCTTATTCATCGTCTGAGATCGAAAATTTATTTCTTACAAATAATTCGATCTTTTGAAGTGGCTTTATAAAAGATTTTTTTGATTATTTTTATTTCCTGCTAAAGTTGAGGTTCTCTCGCAAAAAATTTATTTGTATGTTTTCAATAATAATTATTTTTTACATTTTTGCCATAAAATATATACAAATTAACAAATTCTCTTAAAATAATCGATGAAATTGAATTGAACTAAATAACTTAGATTGATGATAATTACGTATTTTTACGAATAATAATGTAATTGTGTTTAAGTTCATCTGATTAATTAAGAAAAAAATAAGAGTGATTAAGTAAACTTAAGTTTATCTAAATTGAAAATTTTCATAAATTTTATGTCTTAACTTAAATATAATTTATATCATTATGTCATATATTTTGGCATTACTTTTATTACTTAAGTATTATTAAGAATTTGTAAATAAATTTCCTAACTATTTTCATCATATTATTTTAATGAACCATTTATTATTCGAAGAAGCAGTATATTTATTTCTTTACTTAATTTCAGCTTGTAGAAGAGGATGAATTTCAAAGATTATCAAAAATAAGTGATGCAATAAAATTAGTAGCAGGGGCGATTATGAGAATTAAAACATTTAATAATTGGCAGATATTAAAATACAGTAAAAATACTTCATAGATTTATTTAGTGATTTGTTCTTATCCCTTTTAGCAGGAGGTAATATAATTGTTAATGAATACAATCTTCGACTATTTTTAAGATATTGATTTTCTTAACGCTTTTGAAAAAGCTTTGCTTGAAATAGCTTAATTAAAAGAGTAAAGAATATTTCTAAGTTCTCGATCTTAATCCATAAGGATTGGTGTTCTTCAGCAAAAGTATAAAATTTTTTGAGAAAATTAGTTATAATAATGTCAATATAAGAAAAGAAAAAATAAAATAAACTTATATACCTTTTGCTAAGGCTGTTATAGAGTAAATGACAGTAGCTAAAAAATTTGCAGCATCTTTTCTTAAAAAATATATATAATTAGCAAAAATATTGGATTAAGACATAAAATAAAGAGTTTACATAATAAAGGATTTTGTTGTGAATACTAGAGATCATCATTTTATACTACTTTTAATTAATACATTTTAAGAATTAAAAGAATCTGATTTGAAGGACGAAAAATGGGTAGATGATTTTGATCAAGAAGTTTAATAATGTATATAGTAAATAAAATTTAGATTGCTAATTACATAACATATTAGTGCCTCGTTTTTTAGAAAAGTAAAATAAACCTCAGTTGGATAAAAGCTAATCTGGAAGTGATTAAGATGAAGATTCTTTCTAATAAAATTTATAATCTTAATCGAATTCAACGAGCGAAAAATAATCCTTAATAGACGAAGAGGAGATGATTTAAAAATGGATTGCATAAAAATCAATTAATATTGAATAATAACAATTAGAAATACTTTCAAAAGATGAAAACATGTTTTTATTAATAAGTTTCATTTTAAATCCAGAAGAAGAAATAATTGATGATTATTGGGTAGTGTAATTTAATATTTGCAGAAAGATTAATATCCGATGTAAGATATCAATGATGATGGAATATCTAATAAGATAAGAAATTAGAAAATTGAATTTTACGCCTTGGTGAGATCATTTTAAACTGCATAAGTGTTTCATCATAGATAGAATTTAGAAAAAATGTAGTAAAATAATCAGAGTTTTTTATAAAAATTTTGTAAAATGCATAAAATATTTCATAGATAAAAAAACTTCAGAGGCCCTTCAAAACAAAAATAGAAATTTAAATTTATATCACCTAGCTTTAACTATAGATTCTTTTTTAACTGTCTTTCCTAAAAGTTCAATGGCTCTGATTTTAGAAAATTAATTACTTTTTTCTTTATCCACTTATATTTTCAACCCTCTTATTATGGGATTATTAATTGATATCCATCAAATTTAATTTAATAAATATGACTTTGGACTTACTTATATTGAATAAATTTGGAAGTATTAGCTCTTCACTGATTGGTTTACGTGGTTACAAAATATAATGTTTGAATAAGATAATGATTCTAAATAGTTAGAAAAATAATTTATAGGAGAAAACATAGTAAAATTAATAATTATAATAGTAATTCATAATTAAATGTCTCAAGGAATTAAGTAAGAAAGAACAAAAAATACCAAAGCCAAAAATATCAGATGATAATAAAATTAAATTGACCTCTTTATTTGGATCTCTTTTATCTGGAAAAAGTTTAACGAAATAAAATGTCAAAGATTATGAAAATTGGAAAATGAACATAAAATTAAAAGAACATTTAACAATTGAAGAATTCAAAAGTTAAGATTATGATAATTTAATGGAATTTATAAAATAAAGAGAGTTTACATATAAATAATAATTAGAAAAGAAAATTTAGGATGAAATATAAATCTAAATAGATAATATATAATTAAAAAGATCTTCAAGAGTTCGAATGTCATAGACAAAAAGTAATCATTATTAATCACCAATTTCTAATTCAAAACTAATTTTATAGTCAAACTCATCAATTAAAAGTTAAAGTGACAGTTAACCAAATAGCAGTCGTTCAATTAAACTACCATCTATATATGGAAATAATTAATACATTGAATCAAAATTTGGTTCAATTTCTAGTTTGAGTCCTTAAGGAGAAATTAATTTTGAGTTAAAAACTAGGAACTTAAGCACTTTCGGATAATCTCCTAAAAATATCAAGCTTAATATACCTAGTCAAAGAAGACTCAAAACAGAGAATGATGAGCTTGTAACCAATTCTATTTAATCAAACGATGGTTTTTCTAGTAGTAGACTAATTACTATTTATCCTTCCAAATAAGCACAAATTAAATTTGAATAATCTAAAATTGTTTTAAAATAGGACTAAATCATTGTAGAAAATTGTTTGAACTTCTTTAGTGAAATACTTAAGACAATTTTAGATTTTTTTTAATAACCTAATAAGACTAATTTGTAGTAATTAAATGAACAGATTCTAATATAACAAATTTTGAGTATGAATTTTTTGAATTAAATTTTTGAATTATACTTATCTAGCTTAATTGATTAAAATGTTTAGTAATAAAAAATAGGAGAAAATTCTGGATAAATGATTAATTTGATTTATCACAAATCCCACCATATTGAATTATTTTAATTACTAAGAGAATAATTGAGAACTATATTTCTTTCCAATGTTGATAATTTAACTCGGGCAATAGTGGCAATAAATAAATAAATTAGAAGTGCATCAAAATTTGTAAATAAGTTTTAATTATAACTCCTTTTATCTACTTACTTTTATGGGTTTAATTTATTTAGTATTCATACTTAGTTAGTAAGTACATCAAATATTTATAAACATTTAAATGAAACTGTAATGCATATTTTCATTATTTGGTTTTTTGATAGTCAATAAAATAGTTGCTATTAATATTTCTTTGCAAAATTTTTAACAATTTTATTTGCAAAAGCTCCTATATAATCACTGACAAATATTTTGTTTAATCTTGGTTTAATAAATTCTATATATAATGCATTTTAATCTTTTTGGGTTAATGGTATGAAAAGCAATTATTTTTAAGCAGGAGTCTATTTTTATATGAGGATGTTAATTTACATGATAAATAAATCATTAATTCATAGAAATATGACAGTATTACAAGAATATCTGCGACCTTTAGAATCATGGAAAGTTGTATATAGATTAATTCCTGATGAAGATTCTAATTATATGATTGAATTGCAAGAACTTTTAAAAACAGGTCAAACTCCAATTAGAAGGATTTAGCTTAAGAGAACAAAACTTGAAAAATTAAAAACTTAATTGACTGTTGATTGTTTCGATGCTAAGTTAAGAGAGATTTAACAATTTGAATAGGCTTAAAAAGATAAGTTAAAAAAATCATCTTCTCCTAAAATATTATAATAAGGAAAAAAAATATAAAATAGACAAAGTGTATTTAAAAATAGAACAAGTTTGAAAAACGATATTTGATCATAAATATTTATTAATTATAAGTTTATAAATAAACTTCAAAAGAAATCTTATTTTTATTTGTAAAATTCTTAAAATAGATGACTGATGGAATATATTAAAACTGATTATATACAAATGGTTCTAGTTTCTAAAAGATTAATGAAAAATATAAAATGTCTTTGAAAAATATTTTTTTCTATGATTAAATTATTGTGATATTAATTATATAAATTTATAAAATTAGAACAGCTTAGTTAAATGAAAAAATTTTTCATGAGTTAAAGTTAATATTTAATTTATTTAATGACAAGTTTAATTTTGGACTAATCATTTAAGTTAGTTCCAGACTAAAATATCGCATTAGTTTTTGATCAAGCCGTACATCTTTGATTTATATTTAGCTCAATGTAAATGATGATTATTTGAGGTTATAAAAAATTACAGAGGGCATAAAATATGTAACTTAAAAATTACCATAAGCAACAACATTTTCAAGTTCAAAACTATTGTTTTAATGTAAATTTGATTTCAATAATTTCATAGTATTGTGTTTATATCCCTTTTAAAAATCAAACATAGAATCATTAATTTCAGCATTTTTCAATTATTTTTAGGATTTTCGTTTTATTAGTTGCTTCTTTTAAGCTGCAACAGATATTTCTCTACTTCAAGAAACAAGTACTTAAACTTTAAAGTAAAGAATTACAATGTTATAACGGTTTAATAAGTATTTATTAATAAAATGATTTTAAGCAAACCAAAAGACAATCATGATGGACAGTAATTCAGTTAAGCTGTGAATTAGGAAATAGTTACAATAAAATTATTCACCGTAAATTACTTAAAGAAGTTTTTTGAGTTAGCTAATAACTTGTAATTAGACTTTTAACTTTATTGTTTAATGTTTAAAAATTATATTTAAAATTCAACAAATCAAAAATTACTAGAAAAAGTTATGGATTGCTTTCAGGATTTAAGGTTTACAATATTTGCTTAATGTGAATGGGTGAATTAATTTAGCGAAGAAATTATTATCTGTAACATTTAATTTAAATAAATAGTTTTTAAAAATACTCCAAAATTATTTCCTTCATACACTAAATATAAAATATTTATAGTAGAAGAAGATTCTGATACAGAGATCATTTGTAAAACATAAATTATAGAAACTTAACAATAAAATAAAAGAAGGTCTTATGTTTCATCTGAATAAGATGCTAGTTTATATTTATAAAGTTTGTGTTGTAAATAAGATCTAGATTAACCCCTACAACATAATTCAGTTTTCGAAGAATTTGAGAATATTGACATATTAATTTTATTTGTCTTGGATCCTATTTAAATTTCGTTAGCTTCCCTTTGGGTAAATTATTATTGCTCAAATTAGGGTGAAAATTTTCCAAAATTGCCTGACATAATTGATAGTGACAAAAATATTTTTAAATAAAGATCAACTAATAATTTGAGTAAATATTAAGTTTACAGATCTTTTAAAGCTTTATAAATACTAACAAATACTGAAAATTTTAAAAATTTATTGGGTTAATATTCATAAATTTTTTTGAAAATATGTAAATATCATAATTAATAATTAGTTTCTTTTATTAATATCACTTTATATGATGAAACAAAAAATTTAAATTTACATCATCTTGCAATTTTGATAAAATTTTTAATCAATTTATAACCTAAGTTTTGTATAAAATAACTTATTGAATAAAAAATATTCCCAAAATTGTTAGAATTGTCTTATAATTCTTCAATAAATTAGCTATTGATTGAAATAATTAATTTTAATGAAGATATTATAAAATTAGGAATTTACTATTTAGAATAGTTATGGTCCTATTTACATCAAATAAACTTCTTGTAATTACTTTCTAATTATTCATTTGATATATAACTAGTTGCAGATTATCCACTTCCTGATTAAGCAGTAATATTAATGACTATGAAAGGCCTACAATGAAATATTTTAAATAATTAAAGCATTGTCTATATTTGATCCAGAGATACTATAAAAAAAATTGCTAAAATAAGAAACTCAAGATATTTAAGAAATCAAAGTCATTGATCCACTAAATGATTACGATAATTTAGTGACATTTTAAAATGAGAAATAAGAAAAATTGAAAAAAGCAGAAGATGATATACTTAGAAGACAATCCTCTATTTCAATAAACTAAAACAAGAGTAAAGTTCACTAAATCTAAAAAAAAAAATCAAATAATTTTTATTTACCAAAAATATAATCTACTACTTCATGTTAAGATAGTCAAAGTCTAGATAATAAAATAAACTCTTCAAGTATAAAAGCATCTCCTTTAATTAGAAGAAATTAAAGTAAAAAAAAAAATAAAACTGAACAAGATAATGATTTAAATTCAAATGATGGATTTTCAAGTAGTAAACTTGTTTAAATCTATCCGACAACTATGATTTTTTTATCTGATTTTGAAAAAGAAAAATCATTTTTTAATAAAACTAATTTCTCAGAGAATCATTTAAGGATGCTCATTTTATTATTCGATTAATTAATTGTTTATGCTGAATAACAATAAGAAATGTAGAAAAAATTACCCAAAACTTCAATTTTTAGTATTAATAAATTTGCAGATTTAATAATGACTGAAAAGAATATTTCGTCCTTTTTCAAAGTTTTTTTATATTCAATTTTAGAAATTCCACATAATTCTAATTCATTATCTGTAGAATGTGGAATTTTATTGAATAATCTTTACGTAAAAACAAAAACTATTTAAATCTTTGAAACTTATTAGGATTTATTAAAAAACTAATTTTAATTAATAATTGATTATTTAGTTAAATGTATAGTTTAGTTAAATTCGATAAAATCAAAGCAAGATTCATCGTCTTTTGCTTTTAAGTAGTATATTTTAATTTCTTTAATGACACATGGATTGCTATTGTATGACAGGTAACATTATATGATTAAGGTTGATAAAAATTTAAAAAGCGTTTTCAGAAATTTAACAGATACTATGCTTCATATAATTATCATATGGTTTTCAGATAGTTAGTAGAACACAATTTATTAATAACTTTTCACTAAATTTATTACCATCTATTTCGCAGGAGCTCCAATGCCATATTTATCAAATCTTATTTTTAAATTAGGATTAGTTAGCTCTTTATATAATGCATATAAAAAATTTTATTAAAATGAAATAAAGGACACATCATATGTGGAAGGAGTTTTTTTTCATATTCTACTAATAAATTATATTATAAGAAATGCAATAAAAGTGAGAAATTTAATTGAATTATAAAGTGCTTTAATTATATTAGATTCATGGCAATAGCTTGAACAAGCTCAACCTTTTGAAAATCTTAAAGCTTTAAAAAATGCAGATTAATTCATAAATATAGAATAACCTAAATTGATAGAAAAAATTTAGCCTAGGAAAAATGAAGAAAAGAACAATAAATTATTTAAAACTAAAACATAAATAAGTCAAAAAGTAAATTCCCTTATGTCTTTTTAAAAGTATCTAAAAAATATATTTTTTAGAAAAACAAGCGAACCCAATACTAATCCAACAGTTTAAATGGTTAGGCCATAATAATCATAGAGGAAACTTATTTGATTTGATAGATAAATTTATTGATTATAATAAAATATAATTTTAATCCAAAATAATGTAAATTGAATAAGATTAATATAAATAAATTGTGTAAGATAAATTTATGGAATATCCAGCATAAATAGAAATGTAAGAACAAAAAGTAAAATCATTTTTATATTATGAGTGATTTGCTACTTATAAATATCAAAAAATTAAATTGAAAAAATATTATTAAAAATAATAAATTTATATTATTAATTTTAATAATTTTATTTTAGAATAAAAAATGGCTTCATAATCAAAAAAATATATTTCAGAAAATAAAAGAGACACACTTTAATTCTTATCAAAACATAGTTAAAGTGCATAAAAATTTACAGAAAACCAAGAAAATGAAAATCCATAATTTTTAAGTATTGACAAACAAAATATTAATTGTAAAATAAGAAGTAGTATTTTGACAATTGAAACAATAAGTAATAAAAAAAAATGTGAAATATTGAAATTAATAAAACCAGGTGCTAATAACCATGTAGAATTTATAATATATGATGATGAAGAAGTAGGAATAACAAAATAATTTTCTGATAAATTATAAGAAGCTTATGATAGAGATGATGATGTTGAAACAACTGATAGTGTCTAAAAATAGTTATAGGATATATGTTTAAATGATTTAGAAGAGGGGATTTAATAAAATATAAGTGATTAAAATATAAGGAGTATTAATTTAAGGAGAATTCGTAAATATTACAATGAACTGGATAGCAAAAAAGAAATTTAAAATTGATAAAATACTTTTAAAATAAATATAATTTATAATGTAATATAAATAGCAATTGAATATATCTATTAAATAAATAGAGGAAGACTTAAACGGTAATGATACATCTCCATCAAGATAATATGATTCTTTTAAATTGATAAATAATCTTTCAATAAAGACAAAAGATTCTTTAGAACAAAAGTTTAAATAAATAAAAAGAAGATAAAATCATCATAAATCAGAAATCCATCAGCCTACAAAGATGGCAATTGATATTAAATAAAATGAAACTGATAAAAGAGGAGCAACATGTGAATAATTACCAAGTGATTTGTAAATTGAAACTTAGATTAGATAATAAAAAAAAAAAAATATTAAAGTATCTGAATTAAGTGTAAGTAAAAATAATGTCTTAGAATCAAACTCATCATCATACAGTTCAAAAATAGGGTCAAAATAAAATTGTGTTAAAGGAATTTTGAAAAAATAAACATTAGAATCCTCATTTTCAGATAATAATTCTAGGAGTAGCAGTATTGAAAGTAGAAAAAGCGTCAAATTTAATTTGGTTTAGCCAAATATTCGAATAGCATTGAATTAATGGAAATGAAAAATTCTTAAATAAGAGAAACAGAAGTTTAAATGAATATAATTTTTATACTCTTTGATGATTTTTCTAATAAATCAAAATAACTTTAAGTTAAATATATAAAGAGTTATTTTTCTTTAGATTTGATCTCAAGAAGAATAAAGAATACTCATTTATTACTTCGAAATTTCTTTAAGCATTATTATTTTCAAAAAACCTCATCATAATTAATTATTACTATTATTAAAAAATATTAATAGTCTTATTAATTATAATTGATTTATATATCCAAACTCTTAAAGGAATGAATGGAAATTTTAATTTTAAAAAGTTAATCAGTTGAAATCATATTAGTATAACTCTAAGAGTGTTTCTGAATCAAATCTAGAATCAAAAATGACAGAAAACTTGTTTTCCATAGTAAAATTTTCAATTAATTATTTTTTATTTAAGGGCCAATTTTATGGTGGAGGATATATTATATCAAGAGTGTGTCTTAATACATTATCAATAAATTATGTTAAAAATTATTAATGATATGGACAATCTGGAAAGAGGGATTAATTCAATTTGGCATCAATAAACCATGGTTTAATAGATGTGTCTAAAATGAAATTTAATCCTAAAATCTTAATTAAAAGTTTTTATACTTCAAAACTGTAGTCTCTAATAATCATTTTTGTAAACAATGATTTGAATATATTTGTAGCTATTATTTTGAGTTTTGGGATAATTGTTTCTTTAAAATTTACTTTAAATTTATTAAAAAATTCCTATAATTTTTCAAAAGATAATTTATTTCCTGGTTCGTATAAAGAAAAAGATTTAGACTCTTTTTAAACATGAGTGCTAGTAAAATGAATCAAAGGATCAAAATCATTATCTTAATATTCTTTACAGCTTGTCCTTCCTAATACTTCATCATAAAATTATACTCTAATAATTCCATTAAAAGAAGTTATAAGAATATATGCATAAATATCAAACTTTCTTTTAAAATATAAAAAGGGCTTAATATACTATTGAATTACAAAAGTTTCAAAAGTTCTGTTAGGATTTTTTAGTTAGGATGTTATAAAATCAGAAACTTATTTTGTATTTTAACAAAGTTTTATTTAAGAATTATCATTTATTTTTTCTCCAGGCTTGACTAACCATAATGAATTTGTTAGCTTATATTTTATTTAATATATAGTAAATTTTGGATCTTAAATGCTGGCAACATTTATTGAATAAGGTAAAAATTAGTTTTAGTCTTCGTTAGTTAATGTTTAATATATATTAATAGACTTAATTAAGTTCTTTTTACTATCAATCATATCATTCATATCTATATGATTATGAAGTTTACTGTTTTATTTTATTAATGTCAATTTTTATTCTTGAGCAAAATTATATTAATCTTCATAATTATTAATGTTTTGTGAATTCACTATCTTGCTTTGTGATTTATTGAATAAGACATGCGTTTTTTATTTTTATAAAAATTAAGAATTTAATTTTTATGACCAATAAAATTGTACATCATCTGACTTTTCAGAAGTTTCACACCACCACCATCTTTTTTTCATCAATCTTTTAATAATTTATTCATCTTAATTTATTTCTTCAATAAAATAGATTTATTATCTAGCTTAAGATTATTTTACATAAATCAAATAATCGCATTAAATTTAAAATATAAATGAATGTAGACAATTAAGCTGATATTACAATTACTCTTCTAAAATTCCATAATTTGATAACTTTTAAGAATTAGATTGTGTATCATTTGATCCTTTAAATCTTTTTGTTAAAATATCATACTTCTTATTTAACGAAGGTAATTTTTTTGGATTAGAAAACTTTTCAACTTGAGATTCATCTAAGAAAATAAAGTTTTATCTTTTTAATGATGGAATAGGGGATCTTGGAATAAATTATTCTTTCTATGTATATTCCTATCTTTTTTTCTTCATTTCATGCAAAACTTTAACCAAATCTTTTGTCTGTTTCTCTTAAATTCTTTAGTCCACATTATCAAGAATAAAACAATAATCTTCTCGATGATTTTTTGACTTTATTCTAAATGTAAATGCTTAACTTATATCATTTTATTAATTATTATTACTCTTGTTTGATGTGCTTCTGAGATCTCTAAATAATTTTGATTATTTTTTGAAGTAAAGATTATCATTTTATTATGTATAACTATTATTTTTATATGTTTATTATGAATTAGCAGACTCATTTAATTAATTGAAATTTTGTTAATCAGGAGATAAAACACTCATTTATTAAGGGATATTAAGATAATAATGATGATTTTTCCTAATGTCAATCTATTTTAGTTTTTTATGAGATAAAGACGTTCTAAACATTTAATTTATCAATTAATTTAATTTATACAGAAATTTACAATCATAATTTAAAATATTTAAATATAAATATTACGTTTATATCATAGTTGAAAATTTAGATTTCTTCTTCATTTTTGTATAAAATTTAAAAATTATTGCAAAGATTTAGTGAAGCTTATTTTGAATAATTTTTCTATTTATAAATCGAATTCTTGTCTATTTCTTCCAAATATTCTCTAGTATTATAAATCAGTTAATTAAATTCTAAATAATAATCAGTTAATTAAATTTTAAATGATTCTATAAAGAGTTTAATTCTTTTTTTTCCATAAATAAAAAAGATTATAACTTTATTCAGTAATTAATTTAACTATATCTTCTTAAATTTGAGCTTGAAAAACTCCTGATTTTATTTACTTAATTAATTCTATGTAATTTAAAACTGCTTAATCTAGTTAGTGTGTAGAAATTTAAGTTTGATATAACTTATTATCTAATTTGTTATTTTTATGAGGTAATTTTAGAGTAGAGAGTAAAGAAATAATGTATGCATTTCGATTGTTAATTTATAATTCCAAAATATTCTAATTATTAATCATTGATGGAATGATAATCACAAAAAATTTTCATTACTGTAATAATCTATCAATATCAACACCTAAAAGCCTTTTAGTCAAATATTGTAAATTTATTCAGGCCTATCTTATTTATGTTATTTATATATTTTCTTGTCGATATATATTACTTATTGTTTTAGATCATAATATTTAATTGCATAAGGTATTATAGAATTAATTATCAACTCAACTATTTATTCAAAACAATTCAACCAAAAAGTAATCGATTCTTCATTAAAGATGGATTTCCATTTATTAACTTTTATGCAACAATAAATTGTTTAGCCAATCGCACTCTAACTAATTCACATTTCAGATTTTAAGTAATAGTTATATTGAGGAAGTTTTAAAATTGTTGATTCATAAATTTTTATAATTAATAATCATTTTCAATTTTTTATGATTTTTTATTGTTTTTTATAATTACTTCTTTATTATATTCAGAATATAATTTTAATTTAATTCTGAACCTCTCTCTTATGCTTATTAAAAGCAATAACTTGTAATTTCTTATTGTACTTATTTCATAATTTCTAGATTAAAAAAGATATTACTTAAAAAATCAATTTTTTTTTTTTTTTGTCTTGTTATTTTAAATATTTTGGCTTTCTCCATAAAATTTATTAATTTAATTAATCCTGCATGAACAAATATCTTTGCTATTTTAATCAAAGTTGGTTAATCATTTATTGCAGGATTAAAGAAAAATTTAAATTAATTAAGCATCAATGATTTCAATTTTGATTTGAAAAAATAAGCACTAAGTTTTTATGGTAAGTTGACGTTTATTTAATTTTAAAATTCTATAAATATATATTTTTATAAATTACTGCAATCTTTCTCTTAAGCAAATACGGGTTTTATAGTTAATTTTTCTAAATTTATTATTTTTCCAATCCATTTAAAATTGACTATCTTTTGATCTAGATTATGTTGTGTTTTATCATCATTTAGATGGATGCTATACATTTTTTCAACTTCTCTAAAATTATTTTTTATATTTATCTAATTTCAAATTGAAATGTTACTAAATTTTGTTTATCAAATGTTAAACAACAATAATCATCAGTCAATCTCATAATTAATGTATCTCCTAATAGTTTTCTTGTTAAATTTTTTTCTATATTTGCTATATAAAAAGAACATAATATTCCAGATATATTTAAGCCTTAAGGAATTCCAAGAGTCTATATAAAATATCTATTTTCAAATTAAACAATATTATTCTAGCATAATTCTTTAATACTAAGTAAGAATTCACTAAATGTAATAGTTGTTTGAATTCCTAAATTCACAATAATTGCTAATTTATTTTATTAAATATATTCTATGTATCCTTTTTATAGACATTAAGAATTATTAATTGGAATAGCACAAGTTCTATCATATATATTGAATAGATCTCTGATTTATTTTGATATCTTCAGCTACCTATTATTTCTAATTATGAGATAATATTTATTAATAACATAAGCACTTTATATAATGTTACTTTCTTCAATAAATTTCAATAAATATTCAAGCTAAATAGAATCATAACATTTATGAATATCCATTGACATAAAATATGTTTAAGGAGTTTAATACTTGATCCAAAGTTTTTTAAATTCTTCTAATCTGTTAAATATCTAAGGATTTCCAAATACTGAAAAACCTAATTATTAACTTCTTAAATTTCTTAATACATATTTAACGTCTAATAATTTTTTATTTAATGATAATTTAGAAACTTTTTTTATATAAAATTTTACTTCTTGATTTTCTATTATAAGTAACTATTGGTCTAAAAGTACCAGGTTTAGGTACAATTCTAAGCTTTCCAATATATTAAGTTGTAATTTTTTCTGGAGAAATGAATTTTAAATTAGTGGAAGTTAATTGATTTAAAGATAATTTGATTGTCAAATTCCAAATCTCTTTTCTATAATAAAATAATTTCCAATCATCTTTCATTCTTTCAGTAATGTAAAAATTATGTCTTAAAAAAGGTATTATAATTTATTAAAATAAAAACCTAAAGATGGGAAGTAATTATGTTCTTTTTTTAGATATTAATATTTTTTATTTCTTTTTAGAGAAATATGAGTTCATCCATGGTATTGAAAAAACATTTAATCTATTGATATAATCAGAATAGTTTTAATCTTCAAATCTTAAAAAGATTATAAATTATTATATATCACTAAGAAAAGTGTATAAGTTTTATTATCCAAATAAATTAATAGGTATAATTTCTCGAAGAAAGTTTCTTAATATTGAAATTACTTAGTTATAAGTTAAATAGTTCTTATAGATTTCATCATATAAATTTGCAGTAGGATATTATTTTTATCTTATTGATTAATAAACTTCTTTTTTTAAATTTAAATAATTAGAAGGCAAAGGTACAAATATCTTGAAAGCTTAGGGAAAATTGAATTTTTACATATTATTGATTAATTTTTAAGTTAAATTTCTCAACTCCTATTTTTCTTGCGATTTAAATTTTTCCTCAAAATAATATTAATCAAAAATGTTTGAGGTGGCTTTCATAGATATCATATCAATAGTTATTGATTCTTTAGGTATAAAGTTCCTCATTATTATTTCTTTTTTGGCATGAGTTATGAAATCTATAATTTAGATGATGAAATACTTTTTTTAAAAAATCCAACTTATCTAGACATATGGTTGCAATAAAGTATTTATTATCTACCTATTTTTTCTTAATTACTTGACTTTATTTTTAAAGTAATTTTCATAATTGATTCTCCCCATATTTAGATATAAGTCTCTCTATTTAGGTCTTCTTTTATTAATATCTAATAAAATGATTATATTACTTTAAAATTTTATAAAATGAATTCAATATTTTGCTCTCCCACTAATTTATAAAAAGTTTCCATTTCATCAGAAAGTATCAATTTTTGACTCCCTAAAAAATATTTTTTATTTTAAAAATTGTTTTCATTGTTTGAAAACTGAGTATGTTTGTTTTCTTCCTTTTTTTTTTTCTCAAAGAGTTTCTAAATTCATATTATATATACTTAGTATAAAAAATTAGAAGGTTTTATTATTGGAAATTTTTTTAAAGGAATATTATCTGAACATATTAATGTTGTTTAATAAAATATGGTATTTTAATCAAACTATGCTCCAATAAATGACAGATATTATTGGAATGTAAAGACGCTCTAAAATTATTGTATTTGCTTCAAAGTAAATAACATTTAATAATTAATTATTTTATTTAGTAATTATCTATAAAATATAAAATTAAATGAGTTTCCCTGATTACATAGATCAACTTAATTATGATTCAAATTCCAGCGATTTATAATTTTAATAAGATGAGTTACCTAACAAAAAATAAAGCAATTCTAATAAGAATAAAAAGCAACGGCCTAATACAAAGAATACTTATATAAATAAAATATCTTCCCTGATTAAAATAGCCAATTAAGAATAATCAGATGAAAAGTAAAATCAAATTTATATAATAAGAGTAGGAAAAAAGCAGGTTCCTAGTAAAATTTAGAGTCAACTATTTGTTGAAAGTTCTAATTGTGATAAAGAAGATAAGCTGGCAAAAAATAGGGAATCTGCAAGAAATAGTAGAAAGAGAAAAAAGATATATTTAGAACTGCTTGAAACAAAAGTCACTAAGTTATCAGAATAATTAGAAACATTTAAAAGAATAAATGAATAAACAACAGAATTAGCAACAAATTTACAAAGCAAAATAAATCAGGTATTATGAAATTTATGTTAGAAATAAGATTAGGATTAAAATAAGATAATTTTATTCTCTAATTTACAAAACTCTGTTTAAAGCAATATTAATGAGATGAATATAGATACAATAATAGAGTCTCTAAATGTATAAATAATATATATATAAGAAAAAATTTGGACCAGGAGCATAAGAAAGATAATAATAGATTGATCATTATGCTAGATAAATTTATGAGAATTGTTTATCACCATATTTAAATTACATAATAGGTGTAGCTAAAACAGATTAAGATGTTTTCTCAACATCAGAGTCTTAATCTGAACATGGTGTATTAAGAGGTTTAAAATTAACAGATAAATAAAAACTAATACTTTAGAAAAAGTAAAAAAAATTATTGAGATTTTAAAATGAATTAACAAAGTATATTATATTAATCTATTTATAGTACTCTTTCATCATTTTAAGATGTTAAAAATTAAGTTTAACTTGAATTATGTGCTTATGGATAGACTCTAGAATAGTTAAGAAAAGAATTGAAACCAAGTTAAGTTGCAAAATTTTTATTGTAAATAGAAAAAAAAGATATGTAACATCAATTCAAAGATTAATTTGAAAAATGTTTTGGTTCAGAACTTGATGAAGATGATTCCTTAGATCTTTATTAATTCATGGCTGAACATAATTATTGTAATACAATTGGTATTGATATACAAAATACATATTAAATTTACAAATAGTCTAATGATTTCTTGAAAGGTAAATTAGAAATTGAGGAATCCTAATAAACATCAACTAGAATTGAGTGATATAATATTATCTAAAATGTATTATATAAGAATATCAACGAGGATCATCTTTAAAATGATGTTTATTCCAATCCACTTATGATTTTCTACAAACATACCAATCATGTCTTATAGCTTTGCATTCTTTATTGATTCCTTCAGTTAAACAAAATCTAAAATCTCCTTCATTGTTTTTCATACAATCTGATTCTAAGACACATTCTACTATCATTTCTTTTAAATCATGACAAGCTGGTTTATATTAAAGTCTAGAGGGTCCAATCCAATTATCAACTCTTTCAAAGAATTTCGTAAGCCTTGATTTAGGAGGCTCTGGGTCTTAATCCATATATTTATAATAATATAATTAAATGAGGTTTATTGAACTATTTTCTTAAGAGTAGAAAAAAAAAATAAATTAAAAAAAGCGCTAATGGAAGGGTTTGAACCTTCGACCTGTTGGTTAACAGCCAACCGCTCTGCCGACTGAGCTACATCAGCGTATTCAAATACTTGGTTTCAATTTTGATATTATACTCCTGAACTTACCCTGTATTATTTAAAAGATTTTAATTGTAAATATTCTATTGAAGACATTTTAATTTAGAAATTTCAATTGTTTTTATTTTATAATTAAACATTTTAAATTAAACTTAAATAAGCTAATTTGTTTAAGTTCAATTTATACATATATATAAGACAAATTTATTTTATTATGTAAAACAGAATTTAAAAGATAAAGTAATTATTAGTGAACAATTTTTATTTTTTCTTCACAAAAATTTCTTAGCTTTGATTAATAGAATCTACATTAGAATATTTATAATAATAATGCAGATTATATAAATTGAATTTATATCTAAAATAATATTTTAATTATTGATTTTAAATATCGTTTATCTTTAAATGAGTGCATAATAAAAGAAACTATTTTTGTTAAAAACAAAAGTAGGTGCAATTTCTTAATAAAAATAAGTTGTTCCATAAGCAATTACATCAAGGAATAGTAAATTATAAAGAAACTCAACTCGACTACCAACTCTGGCTTCAAATTAATTAATGTACTCTCCTGTAGTTCATACAAAATAAAAAACAGTTCTAAATATTTCAATTGTTAAGCTTGATGATTTTCATAAGAATGTAGTTAAATATCACTCAATTAAGTAAATATTTATTTGAAGTTAAATAGATGTTCAGATGGATAAGACTAAAGGAGATACAAAATAAGAAATTAAGATTATGCTTTATGTAAAACTAAGATAGGAGATGGAAATGGCAAACATATATTTATTTTAAATGACGGTCATGGCACATCAGGTCTACCTATAGCCAGATTTGTGGGAATGGAATTAGATAAGTCATACTAAGATATAATAACGAAATTAGATGCTACAAACATGAAAGATGAAAAAATTCATGAAGAAATTATTGATCTATATAAAAATACCGATGAACTATTGGTATAAATTTATATTAATTTTATTAGTCATAATAAAGCGACTTTAATACTTTTTAAAGTGGAACTTCAAATATCTCATTATTGATAGTTGGGGATCAATTATTATGTATCAATTGTGGTGACTCTAAAGCATTATTTTATTATAAAAATGATTTTTAAGAATAGATGATACATTTATGGAGAATGAAAAATTTATCTTATGAGCATATTCCTTAAAGAGAGACAGAATTATTGAGAATTAAATCAAATAATGGTAGAATTGAATAATAGATGATAAGAGGAATGAAATAAGGAAATTTATAGATTTGGACAAAAAATAAATTAGATTAAGGATTACATATAACAAGATGTTTTGGTAATCAGCTTCATAAAACAGTTGGTGTAACAGTAGAACCAGAGATAATTCATTTTAAATTTCCAAAATCAGGTTATTTAGTAATAGGAACAAGTTCATTGTGGAATTATTTAGATAACATGGATATTGGATAGATTTTGAATAAATATAATCCTCCAAAATCATAGAGTGAAATAATAAGAATAGAAAATGAAATTCTTGCAAATGCTCATCATTTTTGGGATGGAGATCATGATGGAATATAAGATATTTCTTTAATGATAATCTTTATTGATTTATAATTATGAATATATGTTGAGAGAATGTATATAATTTACTATATCTTTTTTGAATATATAATTTAGAAGTAAAAGTAGTATAAGAATATAAAGAAATTAATATTTTCATTAGTTCTGTAATTTTAAACAAGGAGAATAAGTGTAATTTAATAATAAAAATAACTTTATCAAAAAGGAAACCTAACACTTCTTCTTGATCCAGAATATAGTGATTTAGCTTTAGTACTTTTTTATTTTAATATGCTGGATTAAGGCTAACTATTAGATTTAAATGATTTAAGAGATTTAACTTCTTCTTTTAGAGTTGATGTTTAATCTGAATGGTTGACATAAATTTATTTAAGTGATAGTAATCCAGGATATAAACTAATATCTAAATTATTGATTCTATTATTATATTCTTATTATCTTAATTCTCTATCAGACCTTATTAAATTATATTTTTTTCTGGCAAACATATCCCCAAACATTTATTTCATTAATAATTCTTTTTAATATTTAACTCCTTAAGAAAATGATCGTCGACTTTTTTCAGGAGTAGTGAAACGAACTTCTTTTTTTTTGAGAATTCTTGATTCAATATCAAAGTCAAGATCTTCTTGAGTTTCAGGTCGACTTTCATTATAATGCAATTCCCAAGTAGGTTTTTTAGGTTTATATATAGGTTTGATAGATAGATTCATAGGATCATTTATTTCTTTTTTTTTATTCATACAGCTTTATCCCATTTATTGTAATAATTTATAAAAGTGATATGAGCAACAGATAATTTAAAACAGTGTTTTTAGGAAGTTAAAATGTAGGAAAAAGTTGTATAGTAAGAAGAATAGTTGAGAATTAATATGATGGTAAGACAGAACCAACAATAGGTAGTTCATTTCTATCTAAAACAATTAATATAAATGGAGAAGAAATAACATTTTAATTATGGGATACTGCTGGTTAAGAGGCATTTCGAGCACTTACTAAAATATATTATAGATGTATTTATTTGAATTTGGTATTAAGTATATAAGAATCCTAAATTGCCATATTAGTATATGATATTACACATAAGGATTCATTTCGTAATCTAGAAAAATGGTATGAAGATCTTAAGGAGAATTGTGATCGAAATTAGATGATTTTAGCACTTTGTGGAAATAAAGTTGATTTAGAGAATGATAGTGTCACATATGCAGATGCTAAAAAATTTGCAGATAAGATTAATGCTGAGTTATTTTTAGTTTCTGCTAAAACTGGATAAGGAATTGAAGGTTTGTTATTAATAAAATATTGAGGAAATGTTTGATAAAGTTGGTACTATGGCATCCTAAATTCAATTAGAAAATCCTGAATTTAATAGAGGTGCTTCTAAAAGTTTGTATTAAGTTCAAAAAAAAAATAAAAAATGCTGCTGATATATTATAAAGATCTATCTTATTATAGAATATAATTAATAATATTATTCATCTAATATAATTAATAATATATTATTCATCAATTCAATCAAAACTTAAAATCTTATTTTTTTTTACAATTCTTTATCCACATTTTTTAATTTATGATAGTACTTTTGGCTTTACCTTATTTTAAATTGGTTTTGTATTGCCTAAATATATATTCCTTAATTATTTTGGTCTATCAACTTCATATTCTAAACGAACTGATGGAGGTGTTTCGGCTCTATCTTATTTCATAACAACTTTATTGGTAAATTTACTAAATTCAACATATCCTACATCAACTCTTTTATTCTTTTATTATGTTAAATAAATTTTACTATTCTTGCATAATTTACTCCTAGTAAATCATATTATTGCAAAAATTCTCTCTATGTTTATTTACGTTCAGTATATTTATTAAAATCAGGAGAATAGTTATGAGTCTTACTTCTCTTATTCTAATTCAATTATATTGTTTGGATATGTTATAATTTTGGACATTCATCTTTTGTTTATGAAATTGAACTTTTCTTCTCTGTTTAACCTTTTGTTGATTTTGATATTGTTCTAAAAGATGTATATTAATCAATATAGTAATCTTAACTACAAATTGAGATTGATCTTGTTTTGAAATAACTTTTTGATCCAAAATCAAAAGCAGGAGATTTATACTATACTACATCAAATTTTGGTGAATATTTTGCTTCATAAGACTTTTCTGGCATTAAACAACATAATGTTGGTTTAGCTTTTCTAGAAACACTATTAAATGGAAACGATTCAGTTTATTGCTTTTCTTCAAATCTTTTTAGTAAGGAAAACATTTAGAGTTTGCTTAATCATTTCGATTTATATACTTTTTATCTTTCTTTATTGAAGGCAATATATGTCCATTAAGATTTATTACTTCATCAACAGCTATTGGCTTAGTTTTTTCAAGAATTTTTCCAAAAGAAGAAAATGATAAAGTCATATTAATTTTTATTATGATAAATATTAGAAATAAAAGACTTGATTAATCTTAACTTAGTTATCTATATACTGTTAATAGTTCTATTACAACTTATGGAAAATATTATCAATAGTTAGAGGAATCATTTTATTAAATAAGTTAAGAATAAAAGTTTAATAATAATATACAATGCATATTTTATTAGAAAAAAAAGATTATTTGAATAAATATATTTGTAGTTATGAATTAAAAAATAAATGATGATTTTAAAATACAATATTCTGACTAACTAAATATTAAATATTAATTAAAAACAGTAATAAAATTAATTTGATATAAGTAAAACATTAATCGTTTAATTAGCAAGCAATAAGTGGAGATCTTATTCTTAGATTTGGTTATATTAAGATATCTATATTATTTGACTTATATGTAATATACGAAAATAAATAATTTAGGTTATTCTCAAAAATGTTTTTGCTCAATATGTTAAAGCGATTTTAGAAGTTAAAGAGACAATATATTTTTATAGAATGGATTAGGATGATAAAATATATGATTAACTTTATATATATAATTAAATATGAAATTGGAAGCAAAAAGAAACAATGATTTATTATGACACTATCTAATATGATGGTTATCTTAATTTAATTTTTAGATATAAATAATAGAATTAAAACAAAATGATGAGATTAATAAATTAATTTGGTTAAGTGCTTTAAAATTAGAGCCTGATTCAAGAAAGACTATTCTACTAATAAGATTTAGATTACTAAAAAAATGATTAGATGAATATAAAATTTATTAATTAATTGGTATTGAAATGAAATGAATAGAATTCATTTGGAGAATTTATTCTTTTATAAGAGAAAAGAATCAGAATTTTAATTAATGTCTAATATCTATCAATATTTTTATATTGAAAATAATTTCAAAACAAAATAATAATATAGGAGTGATGGATGAATGGATTGTAATAGATATAGAAACACCAGAGGGTAAATTCTTTAAATCTCCAATATATGAGGAGGAGTAAATTCATAATGTAAAACGGAATTTGATAGATAATATTGTTCAAAGATGCGCTTAATATGGGAAATTGGATAATCCTTATTAAATTGCTAGAAAAACAGGAGCTATGCAAAAAGATATTGCTTATGAAAAGGGTTAAAATGTATATGATCAGGAAGACTCTTTTATAGATGATGAAGAAATAGGAAAGGAAGATCATGCGATGGTTATTCCAGAGACAGAATTTGATGACTATCATATGTGCAATTGTAATTTAAAAGATTTTCAGAAATCGATTGAATACAAAAAGAGATAATAAATTTTAAAGAAGCATACAATAGAATCTAAGAATAAGAGTGCTAAGAAAAAAAATAAAAATAAAGATAAATTAGATTAAGTAATTGAAAAGCAACAATAGGAAGATTTAGTGTAGTAATAAAATTCTGCAATTTAAGAGAAAGAAATATCTTGATTAAATTATATTATAAAATAATATGGACAATCTTAAGACAATGCAAGCAATGAAAGTAGAAAAGGGTGATGGATTTCATCATACTTATTCTCAAGATGAAGTTTCATCATTTTGTGATCATATCAATTACTATTTAAGAGATGATAAAGATGTTGCTGACATTTTACCATTAAATCCAGAAACAAATGATATGTTTGTTAAAGTCGGAGATGGTATATTGTTATGCAAAATCATAAATCTGGCATAAAATGGTGCAATTGATACTAGAGCCATAAATGTAAAGAAACCTCTTAACATCTTTAATGAAAATGTATTTATGAATTAAATATATCTATTAGATCAACTTAAATTTAGCTATATAATCTGCTAAATCTATTGGATGTGTAGTTGTTAACATTAGACCAGACTTAATTAAAGATAGAAGAGAGCATATTATTCTTGGTTTAGTGTGGCAAATCATTAAAGTATTATAATTCTATAACATAATAGATTCAAACAACAAAAATGGTAAATTTAAAAGAGAATCCATTTCTTATTAGACTCAAAAAAGAGGAAGAGGAAATAGGAGATATTCTTAAATTACCACCTGATTAATTACTTTTAAGATGGTTCAATCATCATTTGAAAGAAGCTAAATCATAAAGATAAGTAAATAACTTTGATAAGGATTTACAAGATGGAGAAGCATATACTATCTTACTTAATTAATTAGATAGAGATAGATGCAGTTTGGATGGACTTACTTAAGATCCTGAAAATAGAGCTAAAACTGTTATTTAAAATGCTGAATCTATTGGAGTTCCTAAATTTATGAGACCAGTTCATATTCTTAAAGGAAATTCTAAATTAAATTTATTGTTTTGTGCATAAATTTTTAATGCTTGTCCAGGATTAACACCAAGTTAAGATGATTATGAAAAAACTAAACTGTTATAAGAAGATGATGATCCTGAAAGTAGTATGGATGAAAGAGTATTTAAAATGTGGATTAACAGTCTCAATATTGAAGATGGATATATTAATAATTTAATTGAAGATATGAGAGATGGAATCAATCTAAATAGATTATTAGAAAAATTAAAGCCATAAACTATTAATTGGAAAAATGTTAAGATTCCAGCTAAATCTAGAATCATTAAAGTCCAAAATGCTAACTATTCATTAGAATAAGCTAAATAATTTAATATCAAAATTGTTAATGTTGGTGGAGTTGATTTTGTTGATGGAAAAAAGAAACTTATATTAGGTGTAATCTGGTAATTGTTTAGATTAGATGTTCTTAAAGTATTTTTATTCTTTATAAATTAATAGACTATGGGTGATTAAAAAGATGAATAAATCTTAGAGGCAGCCAATAAGAAAGTCCCAGAAGCTGATAGATTAGCTTCTTTTAAAGATCCTAAAGCTAAAACTAGTCATTTCTTCTTTAGAATTTTGAATTCTATTGAACCAAGAGCTATTGATTGGGACTTTGTTTAAAAAGGTACTTTATTCATATTAATATTTTAGGCGAAACTCCTGAAGAAATTGAAAGTAATGCTAAATATGTCATCTCAGTTGCAAGAAGATTGGGAGCTACTGTATTTTTAATTTGGGAATAAATAAGAGATGTATATTATTTCATCTTACTATTCTTAGGGTAAAGTAAAAATGTTAGCAGTTTTCACTGCATCATTGTTACATTTTGCAGAAGATTATAAAGTAGCTAAACTTGGAAATGCAGAATGAAGAATAAAAAATATTAAAAAAATCCAATATATTCATTTTACATCTCACTTTTAATTATACTTTTTAATTTTTTAACATCTATTAATTAAATATTATATTTATATATTTGAAAAATTAATTTACTTCTTTTTAATTTCCATCTAAACATATCTTAATTTTATTAATAAAATTATGTATTAAAATAACTAATCTTTAGAAACACAAACTAATCCTTAATCAAATAAAAACAAATTTAAAAAACAATACAGTTAATTATATGATGCTAATGCTATAATAAACTTGAAAACTTAGGGCAGTAGATTTGTATTATCAAAATTATATCCTTATTATTTTTTAAGGCAAAATTCATTAATCGTTGAATATATTAGTGAACAAGATCTAAAAGCATTTTTTGAACATCTTAATAAAACCATTTCAAACACTTGGCCATCTTAAAAACTTATTACACTAGCTTACATGCTCATTCCCTTTACTTGTGGTTTCTCTTTGCTTTTTCCTTATTTTAGTTTTGAAAAAGCAGAAAAAAAAGTTTAATAAATACTTGATGAATATAATATAAAATGGGAAAATAAAGGAATAAAATTACATTGGGATGATGATGACATTCAAATTTAATTATATAATCGAAACTTAAAAGGTGAAGATGACGATAATAATATTGATGTTATTGTTGAATGAAATAGTTATTAATTAAAATTATATAATGGAATTCGATTTTTAAAGTAGACCATCTTCAGTAAATATTAATGGAGATTTAGGCATTTAATTTTAAAGGACGTCCTGATAGTGCAAAATCACGCTTACCTTCATAATTGTAAAACACTTATGGAGGTTCAAAGAAGTTACCTAATGTAAGACCTCATTCTGCTATAGTTACAAAGAATTCGAAATAGTAAATAAATATAATTATTTTTAGTGGAAAGAAAAGAACTGATGAAGAAGTAATTTTAGAAGAATAAGATTATGATAATTTTGATAAACAAGGAATAGAGTAATTATAATTGTTAAAAATAAAGTATAAATGCCATATTGTTAAATCCACCTTCATTAGTTGGAGATAAAAAATTACCAAAGAATATAAAAAAAGAAAAAGAGACACTATATGAAGAATAGATTGAATTGAAACAATAAATAAATAGGATAAAAGAAGAGAATGTAAGATTGAAAACTAAAAATGGTTAACTTTAAAAAGAGAATTCAAAATTGGAGAAACTTCTTGAAAATTTGGATAGTTACATATAAACAGGTTAAGGACATCAACCATTAGGAGATCATATATTAATGAATAATCTTAAAAAGACTTTGAAAGATGTAAAATCATAGTTGACAGAAAAGGAGGTAGAATTATAGATTTTGAAGAAACACATAAAAGTAACAAAAGTATCAGAGATTGAAGCAGAATTAAAAAATTATATAGAAGAATCAATAAGATTAAGAAGTTTATTAGATTAAGCATTAAGAAATTAAGCAGCATAGAAAATGTATAAAGGTATTAGATTTTAGGGCTGTTTAGATGGATAATTTTGAAGAGAAATTCTATGTTTAGATGAAAGTTATTAATTCACTTTAATAAGAAATGGATTAATTTAACGGAATAATAAAATTAAAAGATGAAGAATTATTTAATGCATAAGTTAAATGTGAATAATTTGATATGTTAAAGTCAAGAGCAGAAGAGTAATCTGAATAATTAAAATAATAGTTATAAGAATATAGTGATAAATGTGAAATATTACAATAAGAGATATAAAATTTAAAGACTATAAATAATAATTTAATAATAAAAGCAACTAAAACACATAATGATGATTTACATATAAGAGAATTAGAATAAAATATTATGGAACTTAAATTAATTATTGATGAAAGGAATGAAAATATAAAATAATTAGAAAAGTAAATATAAGATATGAAACATTATGAATAAGAGAATTTTAAACAATAAGAAAAAGAAAGAAAATAGTTAGAAAATGATATGGAATATTATAAAAACTAATTTGAATTGGTAGATGAAAAATACAAAAATTTATTACTTTAAGTGGCTTAGTAAGATTTTTAGGAAGAATATTAATAATAACAAAAATCTGATAGAAAGAGTGCAAGAACATCAACAGTGAAATTGGCAACAATGGGTACAATGGCAGTAATACCAAGTTTTGAAAAAGATTCAAAGCCTCCACTTTCTTAAATACCTATAAATTAAGCATAACATAATAATTAGGTTAATTAATTAGGTTAGATATAAGAAGAGAAACCAATATAAAAATAGAGACCATAGAGTGCTGGTATAAGAAGGAGGAGAACAGTGAAATAAGAAGATATAAAGGATTTAGGTTTAGAATTGAATATGAGGTTTAGATTAAGGAAATTGAAATTAGAAGATGTTGTTGAAAATGATCTTTTTGATTCTTAGATAAGATAAAAAGGGAAGATTTCTATAAAAGATATTGCTTTAAAGTTAAGTGATAGACCTTTTGAATTAAAGGATGTAGAGAAGATGTACTTATTAGCTAGATATATGATTGAAGATAATACATAAGATTGGATAGAATATGATGAGGAAGCTACTTGTTAATTGTAAATAGTTAGAAGCATTTTTAAATAAATAGTAGGCAAATGTAGAATATTTACTGAAGATGAAGAGAGATAATATAGTAATGAAATTAGTTCATAGATTATGAAATTCAAAAAATCAATCTTATCTTATCTACCTACATTTAATTAACCTTAATTAACAAGAGATTAATTAACTAAAGCATTTAATTATATTGGAATAACTCTAAGCAATGAAGCATTTGATTATTTCTTTTTAAGATTATTTGATTTGTAAGGAGAATCAGATGTTCGTAAATTTGATTATAAATTAGTAATAGAAGAATGGGGGAAAGAAGATAAAGAAAAAGAATTAAATAGTAAGAAATAATTATTATCATTTTTTAGAGAAATAAAAATAATAAGATAGAAGAGAAACAAAGTTAAACACAAACTTTGCTTATGGATAAAAGTTTAGTATAGAAAAATGATTGGACCAAAAGGTGTTTCTATAGAAATATATCCAATATTATTATTATTATTATTAAATCATCACTCTTATTAAATTTAGGTATTTGCATTAAATGTTTCTAATTTTTAAATATATTCTTTTAATTCTTAAGCATTAAGATGAATAAATTTTTAATTTTTACCTAAGATTCCAACTTCTACATTTTTTTCATTCAATCTAAATATTAAATATGTATCATTACTCTTCATCTTCCATGATGGCTTTTTTAAGAGCACTTAATCCATGTAAAATTAACTATTCTAAAGTACTTTTTTCAAATAAGTGGAACCAACTTTCAAAATAAGTTCTAGCAGCTTATGATCTAGAACCAATAGCTTAACATTTATATTCATAATAATTTCCAGAAGGACATGTTTCAAATAAATGTACACCATTAGGATCAATTCCTGCAACTAATAATCCTACACCATAAGGTCTCTTTGCTCCACTCTAAGTTTTATGTTAAGATTCTATGATTTATTATATTTGATAATACTTTCTGCAACTTTGAATACTAATCTTCCAACTGGATGATGAGATTCATATGTATATTTATATTCCAAACATTCTGTTCTCATATATTTACATAATACACCTATATATTAAATATTTAATATTACGAGCATCAGCAGTCAATCCAGCTATAGCTATAGCCATATGATCATCTATTTTAAATTATTTTTCTTAATAACCAGCTAATTCAGATGGTTATCTTTTCAGACTGCATAATACTACATTTTCATTTGATTTTAGTCCTAAACAAATACTTCCCTATTTCACGGCTTCCATTGCATATTCCACTTAAAATAATTTTCCTTATGGAGACCATGTTACACAATCTGTATCATAAAGATGTTTTAGCATTAATATATTTAAATAATTATTATCACATTGGGATTATACAATTATACTACAGTTAATTTCATTATTCTTGTTATTCTTTCTTCTTATTACAATGTTAAGTCATTAAATAATATGAAAAAAATTCAATCGGATTTTTGGGTCTCTCTCTTGCTAAAGCCTTTAAAGCATCTTCACTTTGTATTTATAATAATCTACCATGAAGTTAATCGATAACTGCTTTCTCTAAGTATTAACGAGTTGGTAAAGCCTAATCTGGAATTGATGGAATTTAACTTAGAGCAGTTTATTCAGCCAATTATTGTTCTGCTATATCATCTAATTCATGTTCTTGTGACATATCACTTTTTTATTTATATAATTTATTAATAAATCAAAACTCTATTCTTATGAGTATTTACATCTTTCTGTATTAGTCTTCACTTATTATATATTATTTTTATATTATCATTCAACCTTTTAGTTAAAAATTCTTACTCTTTTCTCATTTATTACATATTTAAATTATTAAATGTAAATTGTTAACGACGAATACTTTATTCCAAATCTACTTCAAGGAATTGATATAAGAAACCATGTAATTAATTCAATTTATTCAGGAAATCTCAACCCTATCATAAACATTAGATAGATTACATTTTATTAAAGGATTACATGAAGAAGATAATCTAAGATTAAGAGCTATTATAACTGATATGTAATACAATTTTGAAGCTGTCATTGCATAAAAGTATGATTTTTCATACCATTATAAGAAATATTGAAATCTCTAGGCTAAGTGGAAGAGTGAAATATTTAGAATAAGAACTTTATTAATTAAATAGATTGTCTCAAAATCAACATTAAATTTCTAATAAAGATGAAAACAATCCATCTAAATTTAAAGAATTAGAAAGATCCATGAAATTAAAGGATTAATAAATTTAAGATATTGCTAATGAACTTTAATAACTAAAGTCATAAATTGCAAATAAAAATTAAGAAACTGTGTAAGAAACAAAAAAAGGGTAAAATGAATAAAAGGATATGAATTTTCCCTTTTTAATTGAAAATGATAATTTAAAAAAAACAAATTCAGAATTAAATCGTTAAGTAAAAATAATGAATGATGAAATTAACAAATTAAAATCTGAATTAAATGAAGCAAATGCTGAATTAGCAAGAAGAGAACGAAAATTAAGAGAATATCTATTGATAGATAAAATGCGTTCAGAAAAGAATGAAGAAATGAAATAAAATTTATAACCTGTTTATGTTAAAATATCTGAAGATAAAAATTTATTAGATGGAATCTTGGCATTAATGCATTATATGAGAGAATCTGTAACAGATATTATCTTTGAAATATTTGTTCGATCAGCAAACCAAGCTTTTAATAGAAAGCAAAGTTCTGCTATTTTATTTTCTATAAATACAAAAGAATTAAAAAATAGAAATGTGCGAGGATTTTTAATTGTATTATATTTATACAGAAAGTAATTAATATAATTAAATATTAGAATGAAGAAATTCATTAAAATATATTTTCCTTATTATGGGAAACTAATTTTAAATGATCATATGGCAAGAATAGCACTTGGAGAAGATGAATATCATTTATCTGAAAGAAGAGATGGCACTAATTTATGGTTAGAGGAATGTTTAGCTAAATTATCAATTCAAAAACGAAAAAGTGATAAGAATAATGAAGATGATTCTGAATATCAACATTTATTCAGACTTCTTTCATTAAGATATAGATGTAAATATCCTATGAAAGGAAATGAAGAGATGAGAGTTGATTTAGATATAAGAGTAAGATTAGAAAACAAAATATGCTCTTCACTATTAAAAATATTTATTGATTGATATAAAATTCTAATGATCACAATCTTTATTTCTTGATAATTCATTTGACTTGATTGAGATCCAAAAAGTTTCTATTACAATCTTAATATCTATAAAGGCATTTATTATCATAGATATCATATTTTATTAAGATTCTAATTCATTATATTATTTTTTATTGAATTTAATTTATTCTTAATATCCAATTTCCCAATCTTTATCTTTATTCACCAAATAACATTTCAGTGTCCATAAATTATAAAATAATTAAATTTTACAAGTAATATTAACTAAATCTAAAAAGATTTTTGAAAACAACTTTTTGTAAAACACATACAAAATTGAGATTATTGATGATTCAACCCAAAAAGAAATTGTTTTCACTACTTATTATATTTAATAATATAACATAATATATATATTAATAATTTATGAATAATTACTTAATTACTAATTTACAAAGGTTAAAATTGTCTAATTCTATTGTCAATATCAATACAAATCTTTAATTTTATGGATAAAAGTTATCTTGATATGAATCCATATCATGTATTTTTTTTAAATTATACTTCATAAAGACAAATTCATAATACTCTTTATTAATATTAACAGTTTTTTATTCTGAACTAATCCATAATTTTTTGTGGAATATAAAATTTTTGAGATTAAAAAACAATGAAGATATAAGTTCCTAAATAGTTTCCGAGAGATGTTTTAAAAGAAAGCAAAAAGGAATTTTAAAATTATAGTTTTGTTTTGTAAAAAATCAAACCAAAAACGCTAAGCTAATAAAAATATTATTCATAGTTTTTATCAAAGGCAAATTAATAAGAAATGTAAAAGTTGTATAGAATATATGTTAATTTATAAAGCTGATAAACATCAACATCCTTTTGATATGAATAAAAAATCTGCAGTTCGATCAACTCAATTCGATATCCTCACAGTTTAGGCAAACTAAACTAAATTAAGGCCATAAGCTATCATAAAAGGAAATTATCCAATACCTTTATAATATACTGGGCATTTTTAATTTAATAAGAAATGCCTCTAATAAAGATAAAGAAAAAAATTCTATAAAACAATTGTCTAATGTTAATTTGTGGTGACTGTTTACACCAAGATCATACAATCAGTATTTCTAAAATTATATGCCTAAATTTATTTTATGAGTTACTCAAAATAGAAAAGCCAATAGCAAATATAAAGTAAAGTAATTTATAATTCAAATAAAAATTAACATTAATTTAATATTGAATTTTATAAAATAGTCTTTGAAAAGGGCACTAAAATCTAGAAACTTAAAAATAATTTAGTTGTTTCAAAATAATTATTATTTTAAGAAATCAAATTTAGTTATAAAAAATACCATACTATCTTTAAATTTCTAAGTGATCCATTTAATCTATATATATAACTTTTATAAACTTCTATAAATGAACATTTAAAAAAACAGTAAATAATTCTATAAGATTTTCATAAGAATCAAATATTTATGATATTTCTAAATTAAGATTAGTGTATGATTTAAATATCATTAAAGATAATTTATGAAATATTTATAGTCGTTTTAAGGAACAAAATTCTTGCAATTTAAGTATAAGTAAATCATAATGTTAAGTTTTTTTTAAATAAATTAATATATTTTACTTAACACTTTCAAACAATTTATTTACTTTTCAAAATGCAAGCTTAAGTTTAGAGATAAAGAAATAAGTCACAAAATAGCAAAATTCAGTCTATTTTAAAATGTCGTAATTACCACGAAAAAAAAAAAAGAAAGGATAGAAGTGGTAATGATATAATTAGAGGAGGGAATTATAAAATAACTTTTAAAGATAGTTTTCTAGGCTTAAAAACAAATTCATTTACCCCATAGAATGAACTTGATAATTATTCAGAATCTGAATTGTCTGATTACTCTGAATCTTAGTAATCATAAATTTAAGGACAAAATCAAACTCCATTAGCTAATTAAACTTCAGAAATCAAAACTTAAGTGAGATAAACCAGTTGTGACTTAGAAATAAAAATTGAGATGAAATAGGAATTTCCAAAAATAAATTCTGATAAATAATCGAAAAATCTTACCAAAGCAACTTAAAAATCACTTTGTTGTACAATTTTTTGATTTTTTAATGATGTAACAAAACAAATGATTAAAATTCACGATAAATATTATAATTAAAATAAAAATTTATAATTACATCTTGAAATATCATAAAATGTTAATAAAATTCTTATATTGAGATATATATAAATGGTTGCTTAATTTTATGTGCATCAATAATTTAATTAATCAATTGAGATTATGAGACACAAATAAATTGCAAGTTATAAAATAAATTATTGTCTAAGTTTAAATCAAAATTTAGTATTACAAAGTAAAATTTTTATAAGACGTGAGAGGTTAAGAGAGAATAATATATAAGTTGCAAAAGCAGAACTTAACGAATTTCTATAAAATTTTGTCTTATAAAAATCAAAAATACTGTATCAATAAATACTTAAACTTTTTAACTTTAATGAAAAACCCTACATTAATTACAGTAAATGCACAAAACTTGAGATAAAAAAGGATTTGTTATTATTTTATATATAAAATAATTTTTATTCAATAGTATTTTTAATCACTCATGTAATTTGAGATTTATTATAGATGTTATCTAGTAATATTTTTTTAATCCCAAAGTAATTTCCGATTGATCAATTCTTAACTCTTTAGAATGCCTTATTCTTTTTATTCAATTAACTCTTCCTGTTATATACAATTCAGTACCTAAATTCTATTATAAACGTTTATTATTACCGAATTTAATTATCAAAATCCTTTAAACCTTATATTTACTGAGTTAGTTTAAATTCTAAATCTCTGATATGATTTTCATGGTATAATAAATTTTCAACTGTTTAATTCATCTTATTAATTTAATGGATATAAAATTCTAAATTATAGTGTTAATAGATACATTCTTTTTTATTCATTTCTTCTGAATTTACTTTAAGACGTTCATTAAATTAAGTATAATAATTAATTTATTCTTTTAAGAGAGATTCTTTTTCAGCAAGACTTTATTCTTGAATTTTAAGCTATTACTCTCTTATGTCTAATTGATCATGTTTTTCTTAGATTAGTTTTTGCTATTCATTTAAAGTTAATTCTTTATCCTTTAGCTTATCAACAAAAGAATTTTGATTTTCTTTAACTTATTATTCTTGTAATTTGATTTGTTTGAGTTTTCTCTTGAGAAGTTCAGCCATACACTTTACTTCATTCTCTCCCTATTTTAGTTTCTATTTAGAAAAGTAAATGATACCTCAGCTCTCAATTCTAAATCTAGATGATCAGAATTTAATTGATTTTTCTTCATGTCTATTTATTCACACTTCTATTTATATTTTTCCTTTGTTCTTATTAATTCATAGTCAGAATTGAAAAGAGAGGATGAAAATTCATTATCCCCACAGTATTATGTGGCATATCTAAAAGGTTTTTAACAGCCGATTGAATAGTGTTGCAAGGTTTTTCTCGAAAAGCTAAGTTAATCCCGAGCAGAAAACATTCTTTATTAACAGATAATATAATTAAAATGAATTTAAATTGCATAAATTCTTAAAGGGCAATAGAATAATACAAGAAATAAGTATGANTTTAATGAAAAACCCTACATTAATTACAGTAAATGCACAAAACTTGAGATAAAAAAGGATTTGTTATTATTTTATATATAAAATAATTTTTATTCAATAGTATTTTTAATCACTCATGTAATTTGAGATTTATTATAGATGTTATCTAGTAATATTTTTTTAATCCCAAAGTAATTTCCGATTGATCAATTCTTAACTCTTTAGAATGCCTTATTCTTTTTATTCAATTAACTCTTCCTGTTATATACAATTCAGTACCTAAATTCTATTATAAACGTTTATTATTACCGAATTTAATTATCAAAATCCTTTAAACCTTATATTTACTGAGTTAGTTTAAATTCTAAATCTCTGATATGATTTTCATGGTATAATAAATTTTCAACTGTTTAATTCATCTTATTAATTTAATGGATATAAAATTCTAAATTATAGTGTTAATAGATACATTCTTTTTTATTCATTTCTTCTGAATTTACTTTAAGACGTTCATTAAATTAAGTATAATAATTAATTTATTCTTTTAAGAGAGATTCTTTTTCAGCAAGACTTTATTCTTGAATTTTAAGCTATTACTCTCTTATGTCTAATTGATCATGTTTTTCTTAGATTAGTTTTTGCTATTCATTTAAAGTTAATTCTTTATCCTTTAGCTTATCAACAAAAGAATTTTGATTTTCTTTAACTTATTATTCTTGTAATTTGATTTGTTTGAGTTTTCTCTTGAGAAGTTCAGCCATACACTTTACTTCATTCTCTCCCTATTTTAGTTTCTATTTAGAAAAGTAAATGATACCTCAGCTCTCAATTCTAAATCTAGATGATCAGAATTTAATTGATTTTTCTTCATGTCTATTTATTCACACTTCTATTTATATTTTTCCTTTGTTCTTATTAATTCATAGTCAGAATTGAAAAGAGAGGATGAAAATTCATTATCCCCACAGTATTATGTGGCATATCTAAAAGGTTTTTAACAGCCGATTGAATAGTGTTGCAAGGTTTTTCTCGAAAAGCTAAGTTAATCCCGAGCAGAAAACATTCTTTATTAACAGATAATATAATTAAAATGAATTTAAATTGCATAAATTCTTAAAGGGCAATAGAATAATACAAGAAATAAGTATGAACTTATAAGTTAATTGATCTTGTAAATTGAGACTATTAGGAAGTGTGAATAGTGATTTTATTAAAATCCTATAATTAAAAAAGTTATAAACCTAATAATAAAATTCTTAAAATTTATTTGGGAGGATGAATAATTTTAAATAAAGAGTGACATATTATTATGATGAAGAATTTGGTACATTTAATTATTCAACAACACATCCAATGAAACCATTAAGAGTGGCTATAACTGATGATTTAGTTGGGCACTATGGATTAAAATAATATATGAATTGTATTGTAAAACATTTAAAATAAATTCATAGGATTAATCATTTGTATAAACATATATCAAAAGAGTAGATGAAGATGTATTAACTCAATTTCATTCATATGAATATATAGATTTAATTAAGATAATAACCCCTGAAAATAAATGTCAACATGAAGATCAACTTTATAGATGTAAATTAGCATTGAAATTTTAGTTAATTTTATGGAGGATTGTCCAGTTTTAGATAGATTGTTTGATTTTTGTTTGTGTTAAACCTCTGGATCAGTTGGTGCAGCATGTGTAATAGCAGATTAAAAAAGCAATATTGCAATTAATTGGAGTGGAGGATTACATCATGCAAAATAGAGTGAAGCAAGTGGATTTTGTTATGTAAATGATTGTGTACTTGGAATATTGGAATTATTAAAAACATACTAACGTGTACTTTATGTAGATATTGATATTCATCATGGAGATGGAGTAGAAGAAGCTTTCTATTTAACTGATCGAGTTATGACATGCTCTTTTCATAAATTTAAAGAATATTTTCCAGGAACTGGACATATTGATGATATTGGACATGATAAAGGAAAATATTATGCAGTTAATTTTCCTTTAAATGAAGGTTTAAATGATGATTCAATACAATTTATTTTTAAACCAGTGATTGATAAGATTATGGAAAATTTCAGACCTGATGTTGTTATGTTATAAGGAGGTACTGATAGTCTAAGTGGTGATAGATTAGGATGTTTCAATTTAAGTATTAAAGGTAAATATATAAGATTTCATTATAGGACATGGTACTTGCATAGAATATTTAAAGAAATTCAATGTTCCTATAATAATGGTTGGTGGAGGAGGTTATACACTTAGAAATGTACCAAGATGTTGGACATATGAAACTTCTCTTGCTTTGAATGTACCAATTTAAGATAATATTCCTGATGAATCTGATTACAAAATCTATTTTGGACCAGAATATAAATTACATTTACCTATTTCGAATATGGAAGAATAAAATTCAAAAGATTATTTAGAAAAAAATATGTAATATTATTTAATATATTTTCAAGTGTTCAAATTTTAGAAAACCTTAAGTAAATAAATCCTGGTTGTGCTTAAATTGACCATTATGCGATTGGAAAAGAAAGTCGAAAAAAAGTTGATTATTAAGAATTGTTTTCTGAGTATAGGGATAATAAGGAAGAAATGCAAATAGAATAAAATTAAGATCAATAAGAATGAATATATAATATTAATCTGAAAGATAATAATAATGTAATCTTCTATTGTATGAATAATTAAAATTATCATTTCTTTTTAATAAAAGGTCCTTTCTTTTATTATTATTGTTATTATTATTATTATTGTTCTTATTATTATTATTATTATTGAGGTTTTTATTATTATTATTATTCAACTTTAGGAGGTGCTTATTCTTATGCTTATTTAGATGGTTCATTTAATTATGGTTTTTCTTAAGCTTATGCAATTTTTTATCTTGCAATTTATTCAGTTTTATCTAAACCAAGTTTTACTAATTCTTATTCATCAGCAGGAAGAACCTAGAATATAAAAAGATTGAAAATACATTTTATAAACCAGCATAATTAGCCAATTTTTAAGCTTTTGGTACGATGTTAGATGAAAAGTCTTAGAAATCCAAAACATAGTTTTAGATTAAACCAAGACTATCATTCCAAGCTCTTTTAGGAAATTTCTAGAATCCTTCTTATTAGAATAATCTAGCAGAATGATTAACAAAAACTTTGCTAAATGCTAAAGGTGAAGCATTGTATAATTCTTCTACTAATTCAATTTCAGCTGATGCATCTCCTTCAAAATAATCTTTGTATTAAAGAACTAAATAAATTATATAATAATAATATTACATCCTTCTTTAGCTGCAAGATTATAATAATTTTTTTCAGCCTCCAAAAGTGCAAATTCATTTTCAGAATTGACAGCAGTTTATAGATTTTTGAATACTGCAATATATTCAGGATCTTTAGTCATTCTTGCTAAATGTCTTTCAATTAATCTTTTTTCTCTAACTTAATAATCTTTAGTGCAATCAAATGCTAATCTGTATTTAAATCTCCATAATTTCTTTTCAAGTAATGAAGTTTAATCTTCTTCTGGATTATGAGTATAAGCTTCTTAGAAATCAAATCTAAGTGGACTATATTTTGGATCAACTTAAGCAACAGCTTCATCAATTCTTTATTCAACTTATTCATCATCTTTATATAATTCTTAATCAGTTTCAAAGTAATCATTATATAATTATTCTTCTTCAGTAAGACCTCCATAGAAATAAGTATAATTATTTTCCCATCTTTCTTTTTATCTTAATCTCATTCTTCTTTCTCTTCTAGCATGATTTGCAAAATCAAGATATTCTCTCACATGAAATCTATTAACTTTTCTTTCTAATCTTTCTTAGATAGCTAAAACTTTTTCTGCTTCAATAACAGCTGCATAAGTAGCCTTTTACATAGGTAATTTATATTTAGGATTTCTGTATACTCGTTCTTCATTATAACCTGCTTATTTTAATTGTTAATCAATATATTTTAATTTATCTTCACCATGTTAGAATCTCCACATTCTATAAGCTGGATCAACAAGTAATCTATCATGTACATCGTTATCCATTGTTACCATAATGTTTTATTCATATAATGCACTTTCAAACAATGAAGCTTCTCTATGAGTCCACATTTTGAACATATTAATAGATTAAACATTTTCATTCTAAAATTAATTAAGTAATTTACATCCAATTCAAAAATATCAATAGGATGGAATGAATCTCTATAATAGGACATTTCTTCATCTTCCTATTATCTAAGTCTTACCAATTTAAAGACTTATCCACACATTGGACATCTTTATAATGGACCTTCTCTAAGCATGAATAAATGAATTTCATGTTATTCATAATCATCTTCATTTTATAAACCTGTGCATCCAACATATCTAAATGGTGTATCTGCAGTGAAAATTACACAAGGATTATCCACTGTACCAAAATTGACAGTTTAGATGTTATCTAAGTTATTATACACTTATAAATGGAATGGATTTCCAGAATAAGCAGCATAATATTCATGAAGCACTTCATCAAAAGCCTAATATGTTAAGTTAGGCGTCATTGAACTGTGAACACCATCCTATCTAACATATGACCTTATATGTCTTATTGGAGCTGTGATCTTTTACTTAAACTATTAATATTACCACGCTTTTCAATGTTTTGAATGTATCTAAAACGTTGAAAGTTGACGAGAATGACTTCTTGCTTACTATTCTCAACATATTTAAATCTTTATTTTATTAATAAATATATATTATTATATCAGATTTTAAATAGATATAAAAAAGGATCATCCTATCTTACTAAAATTGTTTAGTCTAAAATTTATTTACATATTCACAAACTCTTTGTATCTATATAAATATATTTTATTATTAAAAAATTATTAAATACCATTCCCTTCTTATTTTCATTTATTAAAAAATCCTTCCAGAAGTAAGATTCTCTCAAAATGAATTTCACTTTAAAAGAAAATTTTTAAAAGTAATTATCATCGAATTAAGTATAATATAATAAATCTACAGAAATATTTTAAATTGTCCTTAAATTTCTTCTAAATTTGAATCCAGAAAGAAATAAATCTAGACATAATCATTTATTTTAAGTCATGAAATCAAATTACATATTTTAAATAATAATAATAAATTTGATATATTTACTGCATTATAATAAAACAATTTAAAATTCAATATTTTTTCTACTTTGGTACTAAGAATTTACCTTTTTTATTTTTTATCTTTAATTTTCCTTGCTCCTTATCCCTTACGAATGTATCATTTGTCATTGGGGAATACTTTTTGGAAATATCTTTTAAGTATGCTTACTAATTGATATCATTTTAAATTTCATCTAAATTATTTCTGAAATCTAATGATTTTGCTAACTCATATTCTAATATATTAATAAAAATTTACATTTTCTTGTTAATCCTTAATTTTAATAGATTTTTTCGTAATCAGTTTCTTCATTTTCAGGTAATTGATCAATCAAGTTTAAAATCTCCTCAGAAATTTAACCATCATTTTCCAAGGCCTTAAGCATTTCTACAGCTTTATCATTTGAAATTCCATTTTTGTGTAAAAGACTTACAAACTAAAAATAATCATATTTTATAATTTACTTCTTTTTCTAAATTTTAAAATCCAATATCCTTAATTGAAAATGAATCTAAATCGTATTTTACAAATGGTTTCTCACTTTTAACAATATATCTTTTTTTTGCTAAATTATCAATAACAAAATCATATTTTTCAGAACCAATAGCAACAAAATTATTTAAATCATTAACCATTTATTTAATATCAACTTCATTATCTGTAACTTCAAAAGTTTCCGTAGTTATTCCATGCTTGTCTAATGATATTAATTTTTATGTATATGATTATTTAGAAAAGTCCTTAATTCTAGCAATCTAATCTTTTGTTATCATGCTCATTAAATGTTTTCTATTTGCCTCTTGTTATCGAATTAAATCACGTGTTTCATCAGTAATATCAAACTCTTTAACATAATTTATGATTTTTTCATTCAAAAATTCATTTCCCTAATCATCTTTAGCAAGAGCCAAGCTTACTTTTAATTGATCTTTATGATTCAAAGGATGGATAGCTATTAAACTTTCATTTTAAGAATCAAATCCCAATAACATTTTTCTAATATATTCCAAAAATTCTTCATGTTTCTATAAAGCTAATTTCTTTAAATAAACTGGATTAGTTATTGTGCTACTAAAATAACGTTTGAATTTTTTTTTCTTTAATGCAATTTTTGCCATAGCCTCTTTTGAATCTCTATTTGCTTCTTCTTAAACATATTTACCTTTTTTTTTAATTGCAGAAAATATTTCTCCAATTCTTTTAAATTACATATCAACTGATGCTGCATACATAGCACCTTAACTCATCATTTTAGAAGATTTTGAAATATACTTTTTCATATTAACCTCTTTTTGTTAATAACTACTTAATACTCTAGTTTACAATAGAGATAATAATGTATCATCTGATTTCTCAACATTCTTCTCTAAATTTCTTGATATAGTATCAGGTAAAAAAATTGTTTAATATTTTTTGACTAATTTATCTGCATATTCTGTTTCTCTCAATTTTAATGATTATGCTCTATCCTTGATAGCATCAACAAAATTTTGATATTATTCATTTTGAATAGATAAATCAAATTTTCTTCCAGGTTTAGCTTCAGGTACAACTGCTACACTATCTTCAAAAGATGCTAAAGATTCAGAAAAACTATTATTCTCAACAAACTTTTTATATTCATCAGTTTTATTTAATTCAGAATAAGCTTTTTATTTAACTTTTTCTTTTTTCTCTTCAAGATTTTTTTAATAAGTATTTTCATTAGTTTAAATTGCTTCTATTGTTTAATCTCTAATTTAAGAAATTTAATTCCTAAATTTTTCAAGTTATTTAAGATTATAAATTAAATCAATTTAATACAATTCTAAATCTTCCCAAGATTTCATAGCTCTTAATTTAGGATATGCCAAATTTTCAATTCTAAATTTACCACCATATTTTTCTTGATTACTATGAGTTGTATTTTCAGGATAAAAATTAGGTGTATTCAAAAGAGGTAATGGTAATACAGATAAATCTTAAGAACCTGCAGCATTAATAGCATATAATGCTCTTTAAGCCATAGCTTTACTTGAAAATGTACAAACACAATATCCTCTATTTTTATAAGTTTTAGCATATAATTAATATTGTAGATTTTCTTTTGGAGCTTCTACGTTTATTTATGGAATCCATAATTTTTTATAATCTTCTTTAATATTGGAGGGAACCTTTAGACACTTAATAGTTTTTTGATTTAGTAATCTAAAAAGTCTAAATTAATCTTATTTTTAATCTTTTTATTATTGATATTCAAATAAAGTCAACTCAAGATTTGGATCATAATACTCAGGAACTAAGATTTACTAAATAAATTCTTACAATTTTTATAAAGTTATTCAAATTGTTCAAAATTAGGATAGAATTCAATTTCTGTTTATCCTGTTTATACATTAAGGATTTCTAATTTACATGGTTCAGTTAAGGTATGAATGATATCTTCATAAAGTGGAAGATCAGGATTTTCAATTTCTAAAGGAACGACAGCATTTAAGACTCTTCCATATTATCCAACAGTATGTAATACATCTTAAAGTGAAAGAGTTTTATTAATGTTAGTAATTACAACTGTTCTATTGAATGGAGATTCTTCTCCAGTATTGTGAAGAGATTTGCATTCTTATAAAATTCCATTGAATTTGGTAAGATGTAATTATGATTTATATTATTCAGCTTAATTTTAAAAAGTGAGAGTAGCATAAGCATTCATATTAAGGGAGCAAGTGTGAAGTTGAACTTAAACTTATTATTAAGTTTGAGAGTAAACAAAATCCTAAATTTCTTTGATGGTAACATTAATAGGAATATTAATTAACAATAATTGATTCTCTGTTAGATTGTCGCAAGTGAGTTTAGGTTTGTATGATTACATGGCATCAACAGTAAATATATCATCCTCTTCAATTTCTTTTAAAGCAAACTTTTAATGCTTTAAGGATTCTGTTTCTCTAATTTATTAGAGTTAATCAAAAGTGGAAAAGATCCTATCAGTTTACTTAAATTCAGGATGATCTGGGGAAAGTATTTATATTTCTGAAGGCTCTTACTAATGAGAAATATAGTCTATTTAAATAGATGCTTGTTAATATTTCTCATAATTAGGGCCTAGAAGTTATTATATATTTGGTTTAGGAAGTTGTGATTTAAGCAAGTTAATTTGATGATTGTAGTCTAGAAGATCAACTATTGGCCACTTGGAGAAGTGATACACTCTCTTAAATTTAAGCATAAATTATTTGTGGATATATAACTCAAATATTAAACTTGAATAACTTGACAGACAAATCTGAACTAGCTGTGCAAAGGATTCCATTGTAATACTTTATTTTGTATATACGATCATTATGAACAGGAATCTCTGATGTCACTTTCCTTAAAACAGGATTAATGAATTAGAGATATCCTTATTCATCCCCCCCTACAATAAGTTCATCATTAATAAATTATAATGATTCTAATTCTGCTCTTTCTAATTTCTAAATATTATAACACTAAATTAATACAATAACATAAATAAATTAAAGGTTAATATCCCAGATGTTTATTTTACGATCATCTCCGCATGAATATATATATTAGTCAATTAAGATAGCATTTACACATCCAGAATGTTTTTTTTACTTATTTTCAATTTTCATATGGCTGAGCGACCAGAGAATCAATTAACCGCCTTCATCTCCTGAAACTATTAAGTTCTTTTTGCTAGCTAAAGTATATACACAATTTTCATGTCCATGTAATACTACAAGAGCATTCTTTTAAGAGGGATCCCATAAACGCAAAGTTCCATCTGTAGAACAAGTTATAAGATAATTGAATTTATCATTATATACAATTCTAACTACATAAGATTCATGTCCTTTTAAAGTGTTAACACATTCCCAAAGACTAGATTAAAATGCATTAGTTGATTAAGTTTGAATAAATTGAGAAAATATTTTAATGGTCTTATCATCAGAACAACTTGCAAATTTATTATCAGGAATTAGTGTAAGATCTTATACCCAATTAATATGATCTCTCAGAACTTGTATACATTAAAAAGTGTTCTAATTCCATATTTTAATAGTTTTATCTCTTGATGACGTTGCATAATCTCCATTATGAAGTTTAATCACACATCTCACTACATTTTCATGTCCATTTAGAGTAGTTAATAATTAAACAGATTCTTCTTATTAATGTTCACTGGCTTTACGAGTTTTGATGTCAAAAAGGTGTTCAGCATCATTCTTTAATTTTTCAACCTACAATTTGAGTTTTTCATTGAGAGCAAGCAACTTTGTTAATATCGTTTCTTCTACATAAGAAAGTTATATCTATTCATCAAAAAAGTTTATTGGATTCAAGTAGTAGTTTTTAAGTATTGGAATATGTTAAAAGTAATTATTTTCATTAATATTTATTAAAGTTTGGTAATTTTAGTTGAGTTCATCAATATTTATTTTTTCTATCAAATATTATTTAATATCATATTCTAATTGATTAAAAATTTGATGAACTTACTGTCTCATCTCTTAGATGTTTTTAAATACAATGTCAAACTTATCCTTCTATTTTTCAACTTTACAATCCGCCTTAATCTTAGCTTAGACTTCTTTAAATAACTAATAAATAGTAATCTCTTTGTGAGAAGAATCGTGACTAGACAGACATGACTGACACAATTTTAATTAATCACAACCAGCTATTTTATTTTATAAATAAATTTACATTTTAAACAAACTTTTATTATGTCCTTGCTATGTTGAGTACATTATAATTGTTCATTTTCTGTATCAGTGATGTCTAAATCTTTGAATGAATGCATTTAATTTTATTTAAAATCTATTTTATTATAATTATCATTTGTTTGCGGGTGTGACAAATGTCTTGGATATTCTCAATAAATCACATTCTTTTCTTGTTGTTTCTTAAATTATGTTAAAAAATGTATTTTCCATAATCAAATCTGTTAACTCTATAAACTCATCTTCTAAAAACATAGTCTTATAGTCTTTGTAATCCCTTTGAATAGATCTAAATTAATTATAATATATTTTACAAATCCTCCTATTTAAGTTCATCTCCTTTTTATTATTATTATTCAGGTTGATAAAGTGTAATTGGTTATTAATCTAATGCTCTTAAGATTTAATCAGTATGTGAATCAGTCAATATTTCTGTAATTATTTAACCTAATAATTATTAAAATGGATGAGCCATAGCATTATGTATTGGTGGTGGTGGTTACTTAAAAGAATTTACTAATTCAACATTCAAACTTGATTTTTTTTTTATTCTTAAAAATAAGGTTTCTTTATCAACTGTTATTGCTTATGAATTTTAACTAACCTATGAAGTATTAATTTGTTAGTTTTTATTTTCCCAACTTATAGTGCATTCACATTCTCCTTCATAAACAGATGGAGTTGATGCGGTTGTTAATGTTAATTTAAGTTCAATAAATGATTATGCTTCTAATTCACCTTAAATAGGTTCAATCAAAAATTCATCACCACAACACAATCCTGGTCTATTATTTGAAAGTGTAAATTATGAAACACCAAAATCAAATGTAAATTTACGATCATTTGATTAATTATATAAAATTATCATTCTATGTGCTGATTTTAAAGGTAATAATTCTCCAAAATCTATTTCTTCCAATGAAAAGAATACTTTTGAACCTATTGGAGATTAATGTGATCTTTATCTAGGAATTTCTATAGCTTATTTCTAAGTCTATTTTTTAGGTTAATTAGCATATCCAGTTCCTTAAATAGCTAATTTAACAGGTTAAATTACTTTAACCATATCAGATACTTCAACCAACAATTCAAAATTATATGATTTTTATTCTAATGGTCTAAATTGACAATATAAATATTGTTTCTCATTTGGTAATAGGGAACCTTGAGGATTCTGAATATCAAATACATTAAATTAAGAATCAATTATTTCACCATCTATATCTATTTCTTTTACTATTGTTTTATATTAAACTTTAGAACTTCCTACATTCTAAATTTCTATAGGATATTTAACTGGTTATAATAAACCAACTGGAGTATCAGGCAATTCAAAACTATTTTTTTTAACTGCTAATCTACCTTCTAATGGAGCCAATGTTGTTCCTTTTAAATTAAGCACTAATGGTTTGCCATTCAAAATTTATAAAACTACTCTTAAAAAATGACTTTCATTTGAAATTCCTTTTGATTTAAGTTCTTCATCTAAATTACAAGGAGTATATATCAATTCAATATCTCTAAAACATTTTGGTGGAATTACACCACCTTTAGGTTTAATTTAAAATATATTTTTTTCTAGAATTGCTTTTTCAAATGTATCTTCTTCTGAAGGTTCTCCTGGATCTGCCCATGGTTCTAATTCTATTTAATGATCTGAAGGTAATTTAAATTACCACTCTAAATCAGTTCCACCAATATTCTATATTGTTATTACTATTTTTCTTGATTTTACTTATGGTTTAGATGGTAAATATCCAAAATTCCAATCATAACTTCTTAATCTCTTTTATAACTATTATGCTTAATCAAATGTTAATTATTCTATTTTTAAAAACTTCTATTCATCTTCATTTAAATCTTTTCCTAATTCTGTATTTATTTAATTAATTTAAAAGTTTTCCCATAATGTTGCAACACTTATTGAATCATTTCTTACATCAGCAATTTTTAATAAAGGATAATTTCCTTTTGCTTTTATTTCTAATTTACATTTCTAGGATATTATTTTCTTATTTTAAAAATTAGGACCTTTAGGAGCTTTAGGATTTTTTTCTGTTGCAATAACATCTAAAACTAAGTCAAATTCACAAACTTCTATAGGATTGAACATTATTCCTATATCCAATTTTGAATTAGCTGCAATAATTCCATTCTATAAATCTAAAGTAAAAGATCTGTTTATAAGTGCTATCATTTTTTAATCAAATTTCTCTTTTTCCTTACTTTTTGGTCTTAAAACCAATTCAATATAAAATGTACAAGGTGAATTATTAATTAGTGTTGCATATTTTTTTGTATTGAAATTAACCTTAATTATATTAAAATCAATTTGATCAACATTTAAATGAAGATTTCCATCTGTTCCTTGTCCAAATATTTCAAATTAATATGACAATTCTATAGGTTTTCTTTATTCAAGTGGAAAATCTTAATTTCCAGAACCTGGAATATGATAACCAATAAGATTTTAATTATCTGCTAAAATTTCAGTAGCTGTCATAGGTACTTTAATTTTATATTTTTTATTTCTTTTATAAGGAATGAATTAACAATCTAAATGTAAAACTTCATTTGGTTTTATTTAACCAGAAGAAGGTTCAATATATAATTCATTTTAATTTTTTTCTGGAACATCAATTGAATAACTCATAGGTACTCTTGATTCATTATGAACAGTTATTTTTTATCTAGAATATACTCCAACAAAAGAAGGAGGAAAGAAAACCTTACCATCATTTTATAATTTGAGTGAAGGAGTAGAACAATATCCTATAGCCTAAAGAGTAATTTAATTAGAAGATTAATGATTCATATGACATATAAGAGTTTAATTATAAGCCTTATTTTCAATTGGAACAAATTCAACTAGTAACATTTAAGATGATTTTCCAAATACCAAACCTTAATTAGGATATACCCTAAAAGTCTTTGTTGGATCAGGACTAAAATTAAAATATATTGGAGTGTCTGATTTATTGATAAATTCTACTGTTTAATAGACAGATTCCTCAATTGTACATGGAGGAAAATACAATTTATTTGATGGTCGAAGTTCTATTATTGGAATATAAGGTTAAGAATTTATTCCAAAAGAATGCCCTACACATCCAATCTAACCACTAAATGTTGGTATCATTTCTTTAGAAGCAAAATCAACTGTATTTTTTTAAATTGTTACTCCTGTTTATGATAATTTCAAATTTGCATTTTATCCAAAAGATTCATTTAAGATTGAACCTTTACTATTTTTTACTTAATCTAATATTTTTTTAGTTAATTTTGGATTATATTTTATTGCAAAAAATTGAATATATTGAAAATAGTAATATGATGATTTTGTAGGTCTAAAACTAACCTAGAATCTGCATTTAGAATTTGCTTAAGCTGATTAAGTTTCAGGATATACTGTAAAAACAGGTACTTTTTCACCATTTATTGTTGGATGAGTTTAAATAGTCCAAAAAATTGTCAATTTACAATTTAATCTATTATGTAATTCTATATCTCTAGCACTACTTTATTGTTAACATTCAACATAGCTAAAATCTATAAAATCTTCAGAAAATTTAATTAATCTATTATCAGAAGATGGTGGAAGCATCAATTCTTTAAATAAAACTGTTTAGTTAGGATTTTCTTGCCATTCTCCTTAAAGATTACTTTAATTTTGTTAATTGATTTTCATCAAATAAGAATTTTCCATATATCTAAAATCTACTTCACTTAATTTTCCTTGTATCACTCTTCTTCTAAAATTATCTACATGTTATTAAAGTAATGGTATTGGTTTTATTAAAAGATCATAACAAGTACCAATTAAATCAACAAATTTAATTTGATTACTTGCTATACAATAAATTCTTTCATAGTAATTAATTGTATTTTTTGGAGTAAAAGAGATTATAATTCTATCAAAACTCTTGCTTTGTATTTATCCTCTTATCTTATTAAATGCAAAGATATTATTAAGATCTGTGTAAAACTAATAAGTAGTTGGAAGATCAGAATCATTATGAATTGTTAATAATTTAGTTGCTTAATTACCTATTTTAATTTCTCCAAAATTAATAGATTATTCACTTAAATAAACTGCATGTTCTAATGCTTATCCTACACATTCAAAAGTTAATTCATTTCCTCCTTAACATATTACTTTAAATCTAATAACAGAGACATTAAGTATTTTTGGTTAATAAGTGACCTTTATTAAAAAAGTACTTTTTTGAGGAATGGTTCCAGAATAATAATCTAAATTAAATGCATTATCTTTGAATTCATCATCGATTATTTTTTAAATTTGAAATTGAGCTGTAACTTCTGATTAGTTCTTGATTGTGATTTCTTTAGATACAGTCTTTCCAATTAGCAAGCTTTCAAAATTAAGTTTTTTTGTATTTAATTGTAAAAATGGATATTTACCTATGCCTGATACTTTTATCACTCTTGCCTATTCATATTAAATATGCAAAATTATAGATGCTACAACAACTTCAGCTTAAACTGGGGCATAAGTCAATGTAAAATTAATTCTTGCTCCAGGAGCTATTTATCCTCTAATTAATTAATGTTAAGCTTACCTATCAGGAGTTATCTTGAATTTTTAGAATTCGAAATGAAACTAGACAGGATACTCATTTGGATTTTCCATCATAAAAGATAAATTAGATGATAATGTCACTGCTGTAAATCCAATATCGAGGGCAAGAGGGATATTTGTCAATATCAACTGATGTTCTGCTTATTTTTTTTTCATTATTTTAACAATTATATATATTTAATTGTCTTTTTATTTTAATTAATTTCTAAAAATGTTTACTATAATTTTTTATTTAAGATTCAAGGGTCTCTGTTTATGTGATTTATACAATTGTAATTTATGAAATAAATTAATTTATATAAGAAATTAAAGATATAGTAATTTTTATTATACATGAGAGAGGATTGTTTAATTATCATCATCTTATATCTAATCTTATAGAATCCAGTTTAGATTGATTAACAAAATTAGAATTTTTATTTTTAGAGGGAAACAACTTCCAAAATCTAAGAGTTTCATCTCCACTTCCTGTAACAATATTTTCTCCATCTGGACTTAAAGATAAATATAAAACTCTAAAAGTATGACCATATAAAGTTGCAATCCTTTCTATTTTTGGCATTTTCCAAACAGCAACTTAATTAAGAGAATAGCTAGAATATATAAATAAAATAATACCCATGTGAAGTGACTAATTCATTAGTATTAGTAGACCATTTCATATTACAAATTTAACTACCAGTATCTACACTATTTTAGAGTTATCCATTAGATATATTCCAGAATTTTAAACATTTATCTGTGGTTCCACCTCCACTACAGAGAATGTTTGTTTGATGAGGAGACCATGCTAGAGCTTTAACTGCTGCGACATGTTCTTTAAATACATACATTGATTAATTTGGCATTTTTATTGATTGTATCATAACATTATTATCGTTACCTCCAGAAGCCAAAAACTATTCATTTGGACTCCATTATAATCCACAAACTTCTTATTTATGACTTTAAAATTATAATTCATAATCATTATTTGTTCTAATATCTTAGAACAATATATTTTTATCTCTACTTCCACTTGTTATGTTAAATCCATTCCAATCTAAACAACCTACTCTCAAATTATGATTTTCATAAGTTTTTAATATCTTTGCTTTAACAATATCATAAATTCTAACTGAACCTGTATCATCTCCTATAGCGATGATTTCACTTCTATCGCACCATTTAACACTACTAATACAAACAGGAGCTTCAATTTCTAATAATTATGTAGTTTCATTAGTTATAGCATTCCATGTATATACTGAATTTCCTAAACCAACTCCAATCTAATTGCTCATACTCCAATCTATAAGTTGATTATAAAAATCATCTTTCAATTTAGGAGCATCCAAAATCTTATAAGGTGTCTTTGCTATTTTTCTTACAGGAGAAGGACATTCATTCTCAAAAATATAAGGTTTATATTTTGATGGTTGTCTTTGATAGACAAATAAACTTGATTAAGATTTGTTTTCCATTAATTTCTATTTTAATAAACTATTGTATTTTGCTTAACAATTCTCTACTCTCAATTATTCATTAAGATCAAGTTCTTTTAATGATTCATTCTTCTAATCCTCTACCATATGTATTTGATAATCACTTAAATTGACTTTCTCTGGAACTAATCTGACATTCTTACATACTCATACCTATCAAAATGCTTACCCTTTGATGTCGATCGTTGTCTTAACATTAATATATTAACGGATATATTTTATATATTTTTAATTTGTTTATATATTTTAACACATATTTATTCATGTATAGGTTAGTTGTATTTTAATATTATTTTAACCCCCATCCTATAAATTATTTATTAACTTTTCATACCCTTTAACATTTTTTATTTTACACTGATCTCATTAATTTATTAAAATAAATTTCATTTGGTCATCTAAATTAAAAAATAGATACACACTATGTATGATTTATCAGAAGAGAAAATAAACTCAAGGAAATTAATTTTTCTTATGTATTCTTAAAGACACGAACCTAGAAATGCCTCATTAGCTGTCTAACAAGTAAAAATTATTAAAAAATAAATTCAACCTAATAAAAAAGATGGCAAACCTAGATATTTAACTCCAAAAAAATTAAGTCAATCATTTTAAGCTAGATTACAAGAGCTTCCAATAATATCTAAGAATCCAAAAAATTAATTTTATATTACTTAAATATTTACTCAAATCAAAAAAAAAGAAAAAAATCCATATTTATAGGATTGGAATTAAAAATTTGATTCTTTGGTATGTGGAACTTTAAGAACATTCAATTAAAGTAAAGAATAAAAATTATTCAATAAATCATTTAGTTTCGAAGAGTAATAAGAAATGATCTTATCATTTAAACAAAAACCTCCTCTCCAGTCATTAAAAATGAGAAAGTTAATATAAAATAAATAGAAAAAATTTGATAAAGAATTAGTTATTGATGATATTTCAAAGTATTTTCAAGATTGATAATGCCCTCTTGTGATTTAAAATAATCTTCCAAATTATTTTGATGTCATCTTAGCATTTTATGTTAAAGTATTTTTTTTGACTCTCACCACAAAATCCATTTAACCTTAAGATTTATTACTTCTTTAACTCTTGCTTCCTTGACTTACACTAATGCTACGAGATTATATTAAAGGAGTTTATTAATTTTTATCTTTTTCAAAAGAAAACTAATTTAGATTAGCATTAAGAATATCATCTTTATTTTAAATACTATTTAATTTCTTTACTTAAGATTAAGATTAATTTTCTATTGATTAATATTATTTAGTATCAATAGTTTATGATAATTATTCTAACTTGAATTAATAAACTTCAGATTATTTTAATTAAATATCCTACTCTATTTTTTCAACTTCAACTTAAAATTTAGATTTCTTAAGCAAATTTGTTTAATGTCTTAAAAAAATAGAATTATTAATTGAAATAGATTATTCGTCGAATGAATTTTATGTTTTAAAATCTTCAGACTTGTTAAGAGTAGAATAATTATTTTAATTTTAGAAATTATTGTATTAATCTTAATCTTCTATTTAGTTTTATTATTATTAACCCTAAGCAGATAGTCTATATCTTATTATTTATTATTTTTATTTAGCATTTTCTTCTCTTACTCTTAATAATTCATTCTTTAATTCTTCATTATTACTTTATAATTAAAATAAGTTATCAGTTTATTATTTCAATTATTAATTCACATCTTTTAGACTCGCACAGTAAATAAGAGATTTGAACTTAATTATTTTGTAATCATTTGATCTTTTGTTATAATCAGTTTTTAGTTTTTAATTTAAGTTAAGCTGTTCCTTTAATTTGATATTTAGTTGCTCAATGTTTTTGATTTATTAAGCATTTTCATTTTTGAGTGTTTTTGTTTATTCAAAAAGATTTTTATAAGATTTATCTAAATTAATCAGTTTTTAATTTGTTCTATCCCATTAACTTAAAGCATCTTCAAGTTTCATCTTAGAAACCATTTCTTTTAACATCATTTTATAATTGTTAATTTTAATGGCATTTCTTTCAACTAAAAACGATTTATCTTTATTCCCTAATTTTTCTTATTCATTAAATTTTATTTCAAGTAATCTATACTTTCTTTAACATTCTTCATACTTTACTCTTATATCAGCAATTTCATTAATAAATTCACCTATTCTTTGATTATCATCATTTATGACTCGATCTGAAAATAATTATTTAGTAACTAAATTATTGTTTTCAAAAACCTTGACTTTATATAAAGATAAAATATCAACTAATTCTTTTCTTTAAGAATCAAATTCATTTTAAAGTGCTTCGAGTTTATCTCTCTCGTTAATTAATTCTTATCTTTGATTGTCTATAGTTTCTTACAATTATTCAATTTTTTTATTATTCAATAATTCAGCTGCTGCAAATTCCTATAAATTTAATTTTATTTTATTCTCCTATTCATTCAATTCCATTGTAAGAGTATGCAATCTTTATTGACTGAAACTTAAACATTTTTCTAAATCTATTATTGTTTCTTCTTTTCCTTCTAAACTATTTTATAGTAGTTCCACTTGGGCCTTTTCTTTAATAAATAATTCATCTAAATGAATTTTTGCAATTTTCATTTATTATATATTTTAATTTAAAGCTAATATTTCATTCTATTAAATTTCTATTCTTTAAACTCCAAATGAATATTCTACTTACATTTTTTAAAACTTTTTAATTTCTTTATCATGTTCTTCTATTAATTCTCTATTTTCCTTTTACAATTATAAAATACTCGATTTATAACCTTTCTCTAATTGTTCAAACGAATCAATAGAAATTTTTAATTTTTAATTTTCTGTTTGTAAATCAAACTTTTATTATTTTAATATTTAATTCTCATTTGTTAATTTCAAATTCACATCTAAAAGATCTTAATAGTTCCTTTGATATTTTTCTAATTCTTGCAATCTAGAAATTATTTTAAAATTAAATTACTTGTGAATATTGTCCTCTTTAAATTTTGAAAATTGCATAGATAACTAATTAAATTAATATTCATAATTCATAGAATTGCTTTAATCATTAGCAGAATTTTTAGTTAATTTACTAATTTTGATTTCATTAATTTGAAGTTTATATTATTTTTCATCTAATTATCTTTTCAAATTTTCTATTGTCTATTTGAGATGAGAGATTTCATTTACTCTAATTTCTTTTTCTTCTATTAAAATTTCCAATTATTTTTAAGATTTCATTAAATCATTGCTAATTTTATCATATAATACTCTTATCTCTTTAAATTCCTCCACAATTTTAGTGTACTCTTAACCTAATTCTCTATATACAGATGTAATTTAATTGATCCGATATTCAAACTTAATTCTTAATGCAACTTCTTCTTCAAATGCAGTATTAGATTAATGAAAATCTATTTCTGCATTGTCTCTTTGTAATTTTAACACATAATTTTAATCAGTTGTATCTTATAACATATTCTATAATTTATTTATTTCCTCTTTGGCCTAATTTTCTATAACCTTAAATTAAGTTTCTCTTTAAACTAATGTTTGATTGAGCTCTTCAATTTTTTATTAACTTTCTTACTAAATTTAATTTATTGTAAAATAAAAATCCCCTTTTGCAACATATTCTAAAAGAATCCCAAAAACTTTCCAAATCGAAGCAGTTAATTATAAATTTTTAAGAATTTCATGAAGCATTTCATAAAATCCCACTGTATAGACAAACATACTTCTATAGAGTCTACCAACGTCTTCATCCTTAACTCCGGCACTCTACAATCAAAATTAGAGAGTCATTTACAACCTTTAAAGAATTTCTATCAAGTCCTAATTTGCTTAAACTGATTTATTTTTCATTTAAGCAAGCTTCCTTCAATATATCATTAATCCATCTTTCAATTCCATTTTATTCAACTATTGATATAGGAATAGATGCATCTTAATGTTATTTAAATTACCTGGATCCCAATCTTTATCTAGTATCAATGGTAGAAGCTTAAAATGATTTCCTAAATATGTCATTCATTAATTTATTATATAAAATTTAAAAGGCAATCAATTACTTTTCTTTAAATCATAATTTTATTAAACAGTTAATATTTTTGGCATAGCCTTTTTATTTAAGTAGATTAAACTCATATATATTGTTTAAATTCATTAAATAGAAATTTAAAGGTTTAATATGTTATTTGGATTTTATATAAACAAGTTTAATAAAGTTTTTAATTAATATTCTTTTAATTTTAATAATAATAATGCGTGTTTTCGTAATTGGAGTTGGAATGACGAAATTTATTAAACCAGGAAAAGATGATAATCCTGATTATCCTATTATGGCTGCTTAAGCAACAAGAAGAGCTCTTCATGATTCAAGTCTTACATTTAAAGATGTTAAGATGGCAGCTGTAGGATATGTTTATGGAGATTCAACATGTGGATAAAGAGCAGTATATGAAGTTGGTATGACTGGTATACCAATATATAATGTAAATAATAATTGTTCAACTGGATCATCAGCTTTACATTTAGCCCATCAATTTATTACTGGAGGTCTTTATGATTGTGCTCTTGCTTTAGGTTTTGAAAAGATGGAGAAAGGTATAAATGTTTATATTTGTAGGTTCTTTAACTTTGAAATTTCCAGATAGAACTTAACCAGTTGATAAATTAGTTAATTATTCTGAGGAATGGTCTTCAGAAAAAAGTAAAGGTCCATGGGCACCAAAAATTTTTGGAAATGCAGGAGTAGAACATATGTAAAAATATGGAACTAAAGCTGAACATTTTGCAAAAATCGCATTTAAGAATCATTTACATTCAACAAGAAATCCTTATAGTTAATTTAGGGATAAATATAGTTTAGAGGAAATAATAAAATCTCCAAAAATTCATGGTCCTTTAACAAAATTATAATGTTGTCCAACATCTGATGGTGCGGCTGCAGCTATACTTTGCAATGAAAAGTTTATGTTAGAACATAATTTATAAGATTAAGCAATAGAGATAATAGGATGTGCATTAACAACAGATAATGAATCTACATTTGTATAGAAATCATTAATGAATTTGGCTGGATATGATATGAGTAGAAGAGCAGCAGAATAAGTATATTAAAAGACAGGAGTAAATCCAAAAGAAATAGGAGTAGTTGAATTACATGATTGTTTTTCAGCAAATGAATTAATTACTTATGAAGCTCTAGGATTATGTGAAGTAGGAAAAGCAGGAGAATTTATAGATAAAGGAGATAATACATATGGAGGAAGAGTAGTAGTAAATGTAAAATAATTAATTATAAATTGAAAGCCTTCAGGTGGTTTAATTTCAAAGGGACATCCATTAGGAGCAACAGGATTAGCATAATGTGCAGAATTATGTTGGTAATTAAGAGGAATGGCTGAAGATAGATAAATAAAAAATCTGAACTATGCTTTATAACATAATATAGGATTAGGGGGAGCATGTGTTGTAATATTGTATAAGAAATACAATTAATCAAATGGAAAAGTTAGGGCAGATTAATCTGCTAATCCTGATGTATTAGAGAAAATAGAAGCGTAAAAATAATAGGAAAGACCTAGATTATGAAATATGTATTATTATAAAAAAAATATTATTAATAATATGAAATTTGATATCTTATTCGTCATTCTAATACTGACAGTGTCTACATATGCCTAAGATGATGAAGATTTCATAATCGATTCTAATAGTGCATATGATGAAACAGATGCTACAAGATATTGGTATTTCTGTGCTGCTAGTTACTGTCATCCTAATGTTATAATAGATTGGTCATGTACAACTCCATGTAGTAAAACACCTTATATGGATGATGTTTAAATATTTGTTAATTCTACAAATGAAAATGCAGGATTTTCAGGTTATGATCCTAAACATAATGAAATAATTATTGTTTTCAGAGGAACTCTTCCTTGGTCAATTAAAAATTGGCTTGAAGACATTAATTACATTAAAACTTCTTATCCATATTGCACAAATAATTGTCAAGTTCATAGGTTAACATATATAATTAATATTTAGAGGATTCTTTTATTCATATATGGGCATTCATGATTAAGTAATAAATGCAGCTAAAAGATTAACAACTAAATATCCTAATGCTAAATTAGTAGTGACTGGACATAGTTTAGGAGGAGCTCTTGCTACTCATGCTTTAGTTACTCTTACAGTTAATGGATTCAAAATAGATCATTTTTATACTTATGGATCACCAAGAGTTGGGGATTCTGCATTTTTCAATTTTGTCAAATCAATATATCCTGCTGCTAAATTTAGAGTGACACATGATCATGATCCTGTACCTCATTTACCTATGGAAGTTTAAGGATTTCATCATATTAATACAGAAGCTTATTATAAAGATTTTCTCATCTTTCATAAAGAGTATTATTTATAAAACTAATTATAGTGTTAAAATTTGTAATGATGAATACAAAGAAGATTCAAAATGTTCAAATCAAAATCTTGTTGATTTAAGTGCAGATGATCATTGCAATTATTTAGGATATAATTTAGCTATTGGAGTCCTTGTTTGCTAATGATTTTACATAATACAAAAATATTAATATATAGTTAATTTAATCAAAATTATTAATCACTTTATATATGCATTTATCTCCGTCTATTCAGCAAGCCATTCTATTCTACACTATTTAATAATGGAACTTATATGTATTTATTATCTTCCTCTACTACATAAAATAATTTTCCATCTTTATTTCGAAATAATTTCTTTTTAATATCGTCTGGTAAGGTTGATGAAGTTTTTAGTTTCAACCTTTTCTGTATCATTTATATTGGTTAACTTGCTTCTCCTGCCTATTTCGAAGAACCACAACCCATCTATTTTTCTAACCAATTTTACTCTTGATTAAATATAATATAACTTTCATAAAGTTGTTAAATGACATGTTTTTAATTTAATATACCCCATTTTACTATAAGTATCACTTTTTTGTTCTTCTTACTTTAAAAAATCTAAGAATATGTTCAAGATACTCAAGACTTAAACTTTAAATTAATAATTTTATACTAATTATAGTACTTCCTTGCATTTATATTTATTTCCAACTTATATAAGAGGAAATTTAATTAATTTATATAATTTAAAATATATTAATATTAGTGAGTTAATTCAAATTATTTTATTCTTTAAATTGAGAATCATAAGAATTTTTATCAGATTATAATTCCATATAATTTACATATTTCTAACAAAGATATATTAATAAAAATCTTCATAATTAAAAAGACTCATTTTTAAGAATGCTGAATTTAATTTTTTTATTATAATAAACATTTTACTAATAAAATTAAAGGTTACTTAAAAGAAATTTCGTTAATCTATATTTACACAATGTATACTATCATATTGAGACAGAAATGATAACCAATGGATTAAGTATTCAAGTATTAAAGTTAATTTTAACAATATATGTCTAAGTTTGCAATTTTTCACAAATTTGTCTTAAAGCTTGAATTAGTATACTTATTTATGAATAAGTTTGTTACGTAATCATAATTTTAATTAGTTCCTTATATAAAATCGTATCGACAAAGTATCTTGAATTTTTCCATCAGACATTTTGAAATAATTTTTGACCCTTGGCTAAATTTTTAAATTTAAACCAAATCTATTGAATCAAGATTTGCAGATTAATAAGACGAATTATTAATCATTTAAGTATCCATATATTTAAATGATGTAATTATTGTTGATTCATACAAAATCCTATTCTTAAATATGGGTAAAAGATTTTAAAAATAGATTTTCAATAGATTTTTAAGCAATTGATTCTAAAAAATTTTTATGATAGATTTAAAAACTTTTTAGTGGACAAAGAGTGGCAATACTATAAAGTAATATAATAATACTAGTTATTGATTTAATAAATAAATAATTGATTATTTTTATTAATTTTTAATAGCTAATACAATTAGAGTAATAATTAATAATATCCATTAGGAATTATTTATGAAATCAGTAAGAATGAGAATGAACCAGCCAAATTTTATAAAAATGTAAAATGTGTTGTTTGTGCTTAACTTATTGAAGATAAAGTTTGTATGGCTTTGGTAACTATTTCATTTATTATAATGCTGAAAATTACACTAAATCTATCGAATTTCATAAGCAAAATCTTCAATATTTTGATCAAGAAGATCTGTTTATAGGATTAATCTAAATAATATTATAAATTTTTAAGATTCAATTAAATATTCTTCATTTACTTTATTATGGACTTAAAAGAGAGATGAGGCTGATTCTCAATGTATTTGATATTGTTAATAAGGATTAGTTTATTCGAAATTTAAATAATATTAATTAGCTTATAAAAATTTCCACTATTTAGTATTAAATTAATAGTAAAGAATTTGTATAAATTAGCTAGAAGATTAAAAAATCATAACCTATTATTAGATTAAATATTAAATTTAATTAAAATATCAGAATGTTTACAAAGATTTACTGAAAATTAGACAGAAAATTTATGTTCCAGATTAGTATTTTAAACCTCATATATTTAGTTTTTCAATTTTATAAAATTGATCTCCTTTTTTTGTCTCTAAAATTAAGATCTTTTAAAATCTAAAACCTTACTCCTTAATATAATATTATGATGATGAACAACATAAAAAATTTTAAAGAATTAAATTATTTATTTTATTATTAATAAATGAATTAAGCTTCAAATAAAATTTCAGCTGAAGATTGGCATCATAATTAAAACAATATTGTAATACCAAAAGCTAAAATGAATGAATTAGTTCTTAATTTTTTTATTGTTGAGGGTTATAGAGATGCAGCAATAGAATTTTCTAAAGAAGCTGGAATTTAATGTAATATTTAAATATTTATAATTAAAGTATCTAACAAAGAACTTGATAAAATGATTGAGAGAATTGAAATTAAAAAAAATATATTAAATGGGGAAATTGATTCTGCTTTAGAAAAAGTATCTATGAGCAATAATAAATAAATTCTTTTTAAATTAAAAATGCAAAAACTAATAGAACTAATAAAAAATAATGAATTGGATTAGGCTATTTCATATGCCTAAAATTAAATAATTGAATTCTTAAAAGATTAAGTATAAATTATAATTTAAGTAGCCTCATCTAATTGATGAAACAGAAAAAGCTATGTCTTTATTAGCTTACAAAGACCTCGGAAAATGTCCTTTAAGTCATTTGACTCAAAATTCTCAAAGAATTAAGGTAGCAAGCGAAGTCAATTAACAATTGTTTTAAGACTCTTAAGGAAATGAATAAGCAAAATTAACAATACTAATGAAAATCTTATAATGGGCTTAAGAAATATTGAATTCTAAACTTGAATATCCTTGTCTAATAGATATATCTAAAGGGTAATTCTCAAAAGAATAATGACTTAATATTAAGAAATATATTTTTTTATTTTTTAATATCTTCTATTTCTCATAATTAAGGAAATCTAAGTTTGAATAAACTTATGGCCACATTAGAAATTTCTTTGGCTCTATCATTCAACCAATCCATTTGATCTTATGTTTATGCAACTTCTGCGAACTTTCTTGCAAATCTAATTTATGTAAATGATTCAATTTCATTAAATTTAGCCTAATTAGCAATATGAATTACCAACTCTTCATAATAATTATAAATATCTTAAGCTGAATAGTTATTTGCAAGAACATGATCGAATCTCTTTATTGGACTGACATATTTTCTTATGATTTCTTCAAACTTCATTTATTTATTAAAAAAATAATCTAATTTGGTTAAATTAATTATGAAACTCAAACCTTCAAATTAAATAAAACTATAGATAATATTAGTAAAATACTATAAATTTATCTAATCTATATGCCCAACATCAATTTAAAATATTTTTGTAGATTTTTTATATCATATAAGATAAATAAGTCATAACATTTGACCCTTGTCTTAATAACTTTATTAAACAACCCAAAATAAATTTTTAGTTCTTAAATTTTTTGATCATTATTTTGGTGAGTTCAAAAAGAAAGCATATCATTTATTAGAAATAATTAAATAGGCTTCATTATTTTTAATTGTATTCCACACAATAATTTGTTAATTATTTAAGTTTTCTCAATAATTTTTATTAAATTTCATCTTTTTTGTACAACATTTTTATCAATTTTATATCACATAATTATAGAATTTTCTTTTAATAAATGTAAAAATTCCATAATTTGATCATCATACTCTTTAAAGCAACTGTGAATATGGCAATTTAAAAATTAAAAATATAACGTTATATAATATTTTTATAAAAGTCAAATAAAGTAATTTTTTTCATTTTTATTTATTGACTTTATAGTCTTATTGTTTTTTATTGATAACAAGCTCTTCATTATCATTAAATCAAGAAAAGAGCAGCATTTGTAAATTTTTTTTTATCTTGTAAAATATTCTATTATTATATTAATAGAAGATGAGAGAAAAAAAAGATTGATTATATTAATTAAATAAAAATAATAAATTAAGTGAATTAAAATGTAATAAGTCAAAGGAACTCTTCAATTTTTGTTAAGACTAATTTAGTAAATTGATTATTTTAATTAAATAACTAAAAAATTGATTAGGCCTATTATTATAAAATAGATATTTACATCAATTAAAATATTTACCCCAGTCATATCATATGGTGATATTTTTAAAACTTATTTCATTAATTAAGTTGGCTCATTTCCTTGATACATTTCGAATATATCAACAGTAATTTTTTCAGTTTAATCTAAAGTTTTAACATATTATAATAAATTTAGTTCTAATTATTAACTATCTAAGCTATTTTCAAAAAGTTGTAATATTTTTTTATTAAATTAAAATAGAGCTCGAATAATTTCATAGATTTCTAAGCGATTAATGTATTCCAATTCCATTAACAATGCTGTGTATTTTTTAAATAAATCAGTCAAAAGAGGTCTTAAAAGGGCTTATTTCATAAAAAAAAAACCTTTTAGAGGATGTTTATTTTAATTAAACCATTCTAACAATTCCTCTTCTGCTTAATCAATAAGAATCAATGCTGTAGAAATTTAACCTAATCTTACAAAACAATCAGATAGTTATAAAAAAAGTTATGGAAATAAGTAGTGACATGTAGATTAATAATTTTTGCCTAAAATTTTATATCCAATCATGGCTTTTTCAGCAGATTATATGCTCCAACTTAATAAAGTTGTTTAAGTTATGCCTTTAGTTGTACTTTCGTATATGCCAATAACATAATTTAAAACATTAATTTATTAAGTCATTTTAGTGTTTTCATCTTCACTTAGTTCATTTATAATTATTAATTAACTCATTTTTTCTTTTAAACTATTCCTTTAATTTACATATGTATATAGCTAAATTATAATATTTAAAAATTACTTATCTTTCTGAATTTTTATAAACTTAATTTAAAATCAAAGGAAAATATTCTGATTTTGAATAACATAAGTATAATTATGATAAAACTTTAAAGAGATTGTTTAATGTTGTAGTTTCTGATATATCAAATAAAAGCTTAAATATTTCATTTATTTTTGGATATTTTTAATTTTCATTTTAAAGATTAGTAATAATATCTATGTAATAAATTAAATTTTCTTGGATGAATTAAGTATCAATAAGGTAAAAATATTGATCATCTGTTTCTTCAGAATGGATTTCAATTAATTTAACATCTACAATTGATGATAAAAAATTCACATTATTTTCAATAACCTATGATTATTAAAATCTAGTCTTACATAACTTGATTAATTGGTTTACTTTAATACAAAATTAGATTAAATTTTTATAGAATACAAATAATCTAAAATATTTAAAATAAGAGGTAAAGCTAATTCATAATCTTGCATATTGATATAAAATCTAACTAAAATATTTTTAATAATCGCTGAATAAGCAGTATTCTGTTTAAATTCTATTTTAATAAATCTTAAAATAAAGATTAATAATTACTTTTCAATTTCTTCTAAATTAATATTTCCTTAAGTTGTATGTAAATATAAAAGATATAATTAATAAATGCTTTTTAATTTATCATAATAAGAAGGTAACAATTTAAAATTCTTAAATTAATCTTCTAACATATCGATATTAAATTAAATATCTAGATGAAAGAACTAATTGTAAATTACATATTATAAATTTAATAAATTATCTGAAGTGAGATTTCTAAAATCATTTTTTCTTTTAAATAGTCTATCAAAAGGTTCTAAATGAAACAATTTTTCTTCGTTTACTTTTATTTACATTAATAATAAATCATCCTTAAAGGAAGGATGAGCATAATCAAAAAGACAAACGTTATATTCTATTAATTTATAAGTTTATAAAATTATGATTTCTGCTAAATCCTTACGATCGAGAGCGATATAATATTAAATAATTGCTAAGACAATTATAGATGGTTTTAATTATTCATTATATTTATCTATTAAAAATTTTAATTCATCTTCTTCATTTTATTCTGTTTCAACAAAGTTCCTTACAAAAAAATAAGAGCTTAAAATTTTATTAACTTGGTTTGGTTTTGGATCAGATTTGAGTTCCTTAATATCAAAAGCTTTCATTCTAATCTATGAAACTTTAACTTTTTTAGCATCTGTTTCAGATTAACAAGATGCTTATTTTAAAGCCATTTCCCCTAACAATAATAAATTTGAATCTTCTGCCATTATATTTTCAAAGTGTTTTTTCGAAAAAGTAAAAAATAGAGATAAAATATAAAACAATCTAAATTATAATAATCCTTTAGAATGAAACCAAGAATCTGATTCAATTGAGACTTCATTATGGAGATGTTGTAATCTTTTTATCAAACTATTATTTACAAATTCGCTATTAAGATTCTTAATAATAATTTATTTAGGATCTAATTATTTATGAAGTGGCACATAATTATCTATATGAAGTAATTAATGAATGGTTCTTAATTCTAATAAAAGATATGGTAAAGTTTACTCTTTTTAGTTTAATAACCTAACCAATATTTATCTATTTTCTAATGATTATTCTAAAACACTATAAGATATTAATTATTTCCACATTAATTAGAAATTATCAAATATTTCAAGTTTTGATGGAATAAAAAATGATTATTCTATCCATTTATTCATACTTATAACAATGTATTTTCCAATTTCACACTCTTTATTAAATGTTATATAATCTTTAGGTATTTCATATCTCTAAATGATTTTTAATTAAGCAGAGAAATATTCATACACTGGTGAATTAATTTTTTCTTATAAAAAGTCTATATAATTATTATGAAATGTTTCTTTTCCTCCATCAAACCATACTATTAATTGTAAATATTTATAATATAATAATTGCAAACAGTAATTAGGAGAATCATCAAATTCTTTTTAGATTTCAAAGTTCTCTTATTAAGCAATTTTTAATGTTGCATCTAAAGTGGGAGATTATTAATTAAAATTAAATTAATTTGGTGTAAGATCATCTGGTTCTTCAATAACTTGTATTATTTTTGTTTAAGATTAAATTATCCTTGTTTAAGTATTTTAAATATCCTCTAATATTTAAGCTGAATAACCAAAATCCTAATTAAAATAAAGATATAATGAATGTAAAGCTTAAAATTATAAACAATAGCGTTATAATTCTTTTTTTACTTTAATAATTATTTTTATATGAGTAGGATTTTTTCTAATGTCTTAAATTAATTTTAATCTGTCTTTTGATTATAAATCTATTTAAGAATTAGATCTTGTTAATTTTCTTCTTAACATAATTTTCTATTCTGTATTAGTTAACTATTCTAATTTTACATTAAGTGATAATTATTTTATTAAATCATCTAAACTTTCAACTGATCTAGTCAATGCATGATAGAGCATTTCCAGATCTTATATGAAATTGAATTTCATTTATAATAAAGTTCCAAATTTGATATAAATTATTAATAAAACATTAAAAGTGAAAGATATATCAGAATGACTAGTCAAAATTTTGTATTAATGTGTAACAAAATAATGATAAAAACCTTATTCAATTGAAGTAGCAGATGTAAACTAATTATAACTCAATTATTATTCTATTATTTTTATTTCTTCTAAAGCATCCTTAAATTATTTCATTCTAAAATTTAAATTAATTTAATGTATTGAGAGAGTTAAAAAATCTTTAAAATCATCCGTTTTATTTTTCTCTTTAATCTTTATCTCATCCTCAATATCAATTTCAGCAAAACCAGATGTTAGAGGTATTCTATTGAGTAAATCATCTATTTATACATCTTCATATATCATTTATTAAAGTATTAATTTTAAAGGATGAGATATGTTGATTTTTTGAAATCCAGTTATAGCATCAGGCATTGGTTTTAATAAAATCATTTCAATTATAACCTATGCCAAATTAATTAAGTCATCGTCATCATTATGATTAGATCTGAATAATATATATGTTCTTTGATGTAAAATAAAACTACTTAAGTTTATATCTCCACATTTCTAATGTTTAATAATTCTTAAACAAGCATGTAAAAATTCATATATCTCATCTAATTTATATTAAATACCATGAACTTATCTATATTTAATTACTTATTTTAAAGTTATCTAAGAATATATATTATATTTTATAACACAATATCCTTTTATATAGAAATCATCAACTTAATCAACTAAATTACTTAATCGAATATTTAATTCTCCATTTAAGTAAATTACACCATAACTCTCATAATCATCCCTTTAATATTTAAATTATTATTCATGTCTTATTTATAAGAATTAAATTAAAAATTTTTTACCCAACTTATCTTTACTAATCCAAGTTGTATTATTTAATTATCGTATCAACTTAAAATGTTCTATTGGAAACAATTCTTCTTCAAAATATTACATAGAAAATTATTATAACTTTTAGTATTAATGATCAAATATAAATGTATCCCTAAAACTATCCACAATAAATGTAAAAACATCAGATTTCTTTTTATTAATGTAATAGTCTATAATATTGAATTGTCTAGTTGAAAGGGGTATTTCATATTTATCTTTCATACTTTGAATATTAAAATAAAATACTTATATTATAATGATAGATATCCTTTAATTAAAGTATCTAGTCCTAGATATTAAATCTTTTATGGATCTCCTAAAGATTTTGAAAGTTTATCTTTTAAATCTGTTTCCCCTTTTATTTTTTCTATAAGTTTTGCTTTAGAGAGATAATCTAAAGCAATTTTTAAAGAAGGTTCTTTTTAACATTATCTTCTATATTAACTAAACCAAACTCCTTTTATTTTTAATAATAAAACCTTTCTACTATATAACCAAGTATGTTTATTTATATAGCTTTTTTATTTTATTTTTAAGAGACTTAATTCTTCAATATCTTCTTTTATATTTACATGAGTTGTATTTTTTTTAGAATTCTAAAGTAATTTAAATTCTTTTCTAAATTTGTTTTTAGCTTTTTCTTTATATAATTCTTAGATTGCATGTTGATTCTTTTTAAATATTTTTAATTTTCTAAAATCAAGATTTCTAAAATATAATGTTTTTCTTTTCATATACACATATCTACAAGCAATTCTTAGATCAGACCAAATTAATTTATGGTTGTTTAATAGAATTTTTTAATATAAAAATTCTTAAGCTGAATATAACTTTTTCTTGTCTTATCTTTTCCATTTTTTTATTTCGAAAATTTAATTGTTTTTTCTTCGCTAAAAATATTTTGAAATTGTTTATTATTACATAACTTAATCAAAAAGTGAACTTAATTATCTATTTACATTTTATTTTTATTCTTTTTTATTTTCTTTATCCTCTTTACATATTTTCTACTTTGAGTATTTTTCTTCAAATGCAATACTTAGATTTTTTTTAGATTCTTAAATTTTTTGAAAAGATCCTAGAGGTATTTTTTAAAGAGATTCTAAAGGAATTTTTGTAGAAGATCCTTAAACTGTTCTTCTTTTTTAATTATTTTCTAAATATTTTGTTGATTTTATTTAATTATTATTATCAATAACTTTTGTAGATCTACATTAATTATTATCTATAGCTTTATTTGATTTTAATTTATCCTTTTTTGATAATTCACAAAATTTCTCCATATAATTAAGATCAAAATGATCTAGCAGTTCATCTTCCGAACTTATGGTTTCAAAATCTCCTTTAATTTGAATATTTGATGAGCCGAAAACTTTAAATAAAGGAAATTTCTTTAAATTCTCTTGGCTTTTCATCTGAGCCTTAGCCTAAGTTTTTTAAAATTATTCAATAGTACTTTTAATTAAATATTTTTATCTTTTTAAAAACAAACCTAATTCAAAAGGAATCTATCCAAAAATTCCATTTATAATAAAATTCATCATGAAATTACTAATTAGAAATGTTAAATAAATTAATATTAATTCATTTCCATACTTTAAACTATAATCAATAATCATTTAACCTGTATTAGTTAGAATGCAAACATAATTAATAAGTTCTAAAATACTATTCCAAACTCCTAAAGTTGAATTATTTTAAGGCCAAGGTCTCTAAAGATAATAAATAAATTTAGCTTTATCTGCTTGCATTTGAGCTATATTTTAAACCCAAAGTAAAAAGAAACTAAAAGGAAATGTATAACCAAAAATAGATAATAAAGTATTTTGTAAAAATATTTCCATATAATCTTCTAAAGTACCATATCTTTCTTAACTTTTAGCATAAGATTATCTATTTGATTATTCCTCTATATATTTATTAATATCAATATTATCAAAAGTATATTTAAAAATTGGAATCTTCTTAACATAATAAAGTAATTTCATAATTTTGAATGTCTTGAATACAAAAACCCAAATAATCATTGTTGCAAAATGATATTAAACATGATCTGAACAATTTGTTTCTTTACAATATAAATCAAAAGGTCCATTTAAGAATGCAATTACAATTAAAGGTCCTACATAAGAAACAAAATATAAAATGTATTTTTTCACAATAAAACTTTCTTCATAATCCTTAACAGATTTTTAATTTTCAAAATCTGTTAAATGAATTGCAATTATATCATAAACTTTATCTAAACATTAAATAATAACAATATTTATAGAAGCTGTGACAAGAATTTCAAAAAATCCACTTTCTAATGATTTATTATTTTAAAATTATGCCTTTAAAGTAGTTGTAAGTATGTATAGACCAATCATTATTGCTGCATATAATCCAATAATAAATAATAATGTAGAAGTTGCAAAGAATGTTCTTGTAAATAGTTCTAATTAATTAATTCCTATCGAATTCATATAATCATTTTCTATAGATCGTTTATAACTTCCAATAAAATTGCTTCTTTATTTAGAGATTTCTTCTTTTCCTGATTAACCAAATTAAATATTAAAAATCAACTGTTTCTTTTACCATAGTACAACAAATAAATTTGTCCATTAGATTTATAGAAATGCAAATATTATTCTTAATAAATAATAAAGATCACTTTCACTATCTTATATAACCCATTAAATTAAATTGCATGCCAAAGCAATAAAAGCTATCTTCAGTAACATTTAAGTATAATAAGTTGTGTAGTAAAAATAGAGACCTATTTTTTCACCATAGTATTCACAAATTTAATTAATAGGAGTACTCCAAGGTTTAGTTATATTGAATGCCCATTCAAATTCTAAATGATACATTTTCTTTCTATAAAAATCTTCTTCTAAAATATCTTATTATTAAATAGTCTAATGTCCAAATAATTCAAAATGATCATTTACACAAAATAAAGATGATACAATCTTTTTACTTATTAAATCATTCATCTAAAATAATGAATTTATAGATTATTCTACTAATTTTAAACGTTCTGAAGAAGAAAACAATGATATTTTTTTTTCTTCATTAATTTAATATTTACACCAACACATCTTATGTTAATATTTCATTGTTGTAGAACAAGTTTTAGTTGGTTTTGTGAAAATAACATATGAATCTAATCTTTCAAAATGTATTAAATCCCAAAAATTAAATAGTACCTTTCCATCTGTATTAGCTACTTTTAAGGCTTCTTCAAATATTCTAAAATATTTTTATGCTAATCTTTCTTTTTTAAATAGTTTTATTAATTTAGTTGTTATTTTATCAGTATTAACAAGAAATCTTGAATATTCTTAAATAACCTAAAATACATTCTCTTATATTTTTTTAATTTCTTATTAATGAAACCAATTTTATTTATCCTTGATGTTTTATTTGGTTAATTTTTTTACTTATTCATTTTTACTATTTCTGATTATGTATAATTCGTAAGGAGTTAATTATTTATTTATTAAAGCTGCTATATCACTATTAATTGCATTCTTTATTCTAATACTTCTTAATTCTTTTTCAAGATGAACCAGATACTAATAATATGCAAACCATTATACATCCGTAGGATGTTCATCATCATCTTAAATATCCATTTTACCATATTAAAATAATTAATTGCTTATTCTACTTTAATTTACTTCCCTAGCAACTCTTTTAAAATTTATATCTTAAATTAAATGAATTATCTTAGGTCTTAAATAAAGAAACATATCACTTAAATCATCATAATCATCTGGTTTCCATAATCTATTATTTAATCTTAAAGGTCTAAAACTTGTATCCACTGGTTCTAAAGAAAATAAATCAGAAAAACAAAAATTTAACTTTTTTTTCATTTTTTATTTTTCAGCCATCGTTTTAAGATTTTCTTCAGTAGCATATAATTTACAAAATATATATTTTCCATCCTCTGAAATTGAATTGTATACATTATATCCAGTTAATATTAATTAAACAACTATAATATTTCTCATTAAAGTAAGAAAGTCTGCTGTATCTTATTGAGTTCGAGACCATTTTCCATTTGAAAAAGTTAAAAAACCACCATTTTTCATTTTTCTTGGTGTAATCCTTTTTAAAATATTATAATCCACATCCAATAGTTCATTTAATTTTTATCTAATATTAGCTATTTATTCAGATTTATTCAATAACTCTTTAAAATTTGAAGTTAATTTATTCATTTTATCAAATCTCTATTGATTAGTATTTTAATTATCTGTTTATTTTTTTTGAATAGTCTCATATATTGGTTCATTATTTTCACTAATTTATTAATGAATGTTATCTAATAAATATAAATCTTAATGAGTAGCTTTTAATTATGAGTTTTAAGTAAATGCAAATCTTACCTTTAAATTTTTGTTTGGATCAAGATTTGTCAAAACTCCTTCTATTGCTTTAAAAAATATTTTGTTTTCAATATTATTTCTATCTAATTTCAAAATTCTTTCAATGAATAACATTGATTCTAATGCTGTCATTGTATCATATGAATCACATTATTTAAAATCAGGATTAGGAAATCTAAATTTAATATAAAAGTGAATACCTTAATATAGCATCTGGTAACATCTAATCATTAAAACTATCAATATTTTCACTCCATTTCTAACTTAATTTTATTTCATCTTTATGAGTTAACTATCTCCCAAGAAGCATCTAAACATAAATTTCATATTTTTATAGAAATTTGGCAATAACTCTGAATTCCTTAACTTACTTAGTATCAATAGTTTTATCTCTCTCTCTTTTAGATCGAACAAAATTTTCAAAATTATCGATACTTTACACCTTACTTTGATTAGAAAGTATTTCACTTGAAGGCGACAAAGAAAAATAACTCATATATTTAATTCACAAATTTAAATATAAATGTTGCATTATTTAGCTTTATTATTTTAAGCGATGAAATGATTTTATTATCACAAAATATGAATAGCTTTTATTTTAAAAGGATTTCATTGAAAAAGTTATAATTCAATTACAATAATATTATTTAATAAGATAATTGATGAGAATAAAAACGGAATTATCAAAATCATGACTCTATGTTACTGATTTAAAATTTAACATTTCTATATATATTATCAACCATTTCTCTAAAGACATTTAACAAACATTCCTTTTCAGTAATTGTTATATTTGCATTCTCAATTTCATCTGCCATCAAATCAATATCTTCTAACATTTTCTTTATATTTCTCATAAAATAAATTGAGCTTGGAAATAATTATTTCTTTATCTACATCTTATTCATCATTTCTAACAGATTTACTAATTAATTTCTATTCTTTTTAGATTTAATCTAAAATTTCATCTTAACTTTTCTCTTTTTTTTCTTTAAGTATTAATCTCATCATATCCTTTCATAATTATTTAATCAGAAAAATTTATATTGATGTAAAAACAATGTCATATTTACAATCAAATAAATTTATCCAATAATCCCAATTTGTTTAAATAAATTTAAAAGATCCTATTATAATTTAGATATATTACCTCATAAAATACGATTGTATCAATTGTTGATTAAAAATAGTAATGTTTCCAAAAGAGAGCATGAGCTAAATAAATAAATCTAAAAAAGAATTGTAAAATACTGAAAATAAACATTGCAATATTTTTACTAGAATATTTAATGTCTAAGTTACAATATTGATATCCTAAAATATTCTAATTTTATAAAAGAATTAACTAGGACAGAAAGCCTTCGAATCCCATCATTATATTTAGAATTTATAAATTGATAAATCATTAGTTAAAACTTAATCCCTAATTTGCTTTTGTAGCTTACCACTACTGAAAAAAATCCATTTAAGGCATTCAAAATTTACCAATTACTAAATACATATTCATCATCTCAATAATCAAAAGTCTACGAAAATTGTGAATATTTGACACCAACTTGAGGTTCCTATTATTAAATAATTTTTTATTAATCATTTAAAGGTTAAGTCTCCACAATGTTTCTTATGTCTTTATACATCTATTTATTTTACATATATTCAGACCCTAAATCATATAAATATTAAATGATTGTGTAAACTGAAATACCTTCATTTATAAGTGATTTTAAAATTTCAGTTTATATATTACTTTCCCCCTTCAATTTCTATAAAATTTATTAATATCATATATTGAGCTCTATTTTAGGCATTTAATTAATCCAAAACATTAAGATTTTGAATAATTGAAAAAACTATTAATAATGAGCATAATATCCTTTGCCAAGGGAATGAATTGTACAATTCATATTTTTATAGAGATGATAAAATCAATTTTGATTAATAATCTGTAATGAGAGATTTTTGTTCACATTTGTACTTATCCTAATTTATAATTAATATAGAATTAACAAATAATCACATTTATATATATCTATTTAAAAATTTCCTGTGAAAATCACTTCTAACAGCGTCATTAATAAATCTTTGTTTTTCTTTTACTTCAAGTCTTGATTAGTTTTTGAAAATAGTATCTTCATACCATCTAAAATGAATGGTTATAAAAATAATACTTTTTTTTTAAAGAATAATCTTCACTAATTAATAAAGGATTTCCTTTAATAATTTCTTCTTCCCTATTTTTATCTAAATACTCTTGTTTTTCTAAAAACTTATATAGAAATATTAATTTACTTTCTTTTTTTCTTCAATTTCTCTTTGTTCTTTAATTTTTTGATATTCTCTCATTAAAAGTTCATCATCATCTTCTTCATCACTTGATGAAGATGATTTCTCTTCAATTTTTAAATCTTATTACTATATAATATGTTTTTCTGGTTTTTATGAATTTTCTTCTTCATCAGAAGATTTAATGAATTCTTTATCATCAGCATCTTGTTCATATACTTCTTTTTCTTCTAATTTAGTTTTTTTTAATATCATAGGTTCTTAAACATCTTTATTTTAATCTAATTAATAATTTAAAAAAGTTTCTACTTTTTTAAGTAGCTTCTATAGCTAATGAAGTTTCTGAAACACCTAAAGCTTTTAATTCTCTTTATCTCCTCCCTTCTTCCTCTCTTTTTATTAAATCCATTTTAAAATCCTTTGATTCCAATTCCTCTTATGTTCCCTATCCAGGTCTTCTCATTTTCAATATTAAATATGCAGGTAAATCTTTAGAATGATATGATCTTGAATGGACTAACATTTTATTTCCACCTTATTCACTTCCACCTATTGCTGGTCTATATGTAGGTCTATGGGCTGTTGTCATTAAAAAAAAATATAATTAAAATAATAAACTATAATTCATCTTCTTTTTCTTTTTACAATTTTTTTCATACTTCCCTTTAGTTTTGAAACTTAAGGTTTTTTTATCTTTTTTGTACCTTTATTTAAAACTTTATTAATAGTTTCAAATTCTTAAAAATCATCTAATCTTGTAACATTTGCTTTTCTCTCAGCTATTCTTTCTCTTCTTTTCTCATCCCTAGTTGTTGGTAATCTTGTCATATGATCTTCTTCATATTTCCTTTTTTCTATTTATTTTTCATCTTCAGCTCTTCCATAATATAATTATTATAAATCTCTTTCTGTCATTTCTTTTGGCTTATCTGTCTAAATTTAATATTCATTATTAATATACCTCTTAATCATCCAAAATACTTTTTATTAATTTTGCTTTTTGTTATATTTTTTTTTGTTCTTCTCTTCTCTCTTACTTTTATTTATTTAAATCACTCTTTGAAAGAGTTGCTGCAAGCTTAGGTGGTACATATTTTTAATTTGGATTACTACTTTTATCATTAGTTTCATCTTTATGAAGATTCTCTATTCTAGGCTTTAATGCTAATTTCTCAACTTAATCCATCACTTATTCCTCTTCATTAGTTTGGTTTTCTTGATATTTTGATAATTTATCAATGGTATATTATAATTTTTTTTAAGCTTAAATTATTTTCTGTAATAAAATTTTATCTTCAATCAACTAATCAACTGGAAACTCATCCAAATTTCCATAATTCAATTTATGTAATATGTACATATTTAAATGAATCAAATATTTAGTCATTGTTGCATTTTTGGCTCTTAAATATTAAGCAATGTTATTTTTATTTTCATTTATACATGTAATAGCATGTAGATTATCTATATATAACAGTTGATCATTTATCGTGGTTATCAAATCAGAATAGACAGGAAAATCTTCCTTAAAGTAGGTTAAACCACCACTCATTATATAAATTAATTTATGAAAATGAATTAAAATATAAAACTATATACTATGATCATTCTAAATTAAATTGAACCTTTCTTAGAGTGCTATCAGCTTAATTTTATTAATTCCTAAATCTACTATACTTCATTTCTTATTTAAGAATACTTTTAGCTGATTTTTCATCTGGATACCCACCCTTTTAACTATCTTGCATAAATGAATCTTCATCTCTAGGTGAAGATATATTTTTTAGATTAATTTATTGCTCAGTAACTGATTATAGTTTTTTAAGTCTATTAGAATCAAAAGATCTTAAAGAATTCTTAGCTTCGAATGCAACAATAGGAGAATCATTTTATCTTTTTTTACCTAAGGTGCAGGTTGATTTAAAAATTTGTTCATCTTTGTCAACTTGCCTTAAAAATTAAATTTCTTTCATTGATTAAGATTGTTCCGATTTTTTACTTTACTGAGACCTTAATTCTGGAAATGCAGGAGTTCCACATTCTTCTGTTTTTTTATAGCTATGTATTACTTATTAAACACTATTATAAAATGAATAAAAACTTGATACTCTTATAATTTAGCAGATTATTAATTAGAATCTTAAAGGATTACGACTTCTGAGACATCCTCATCTTAGACAATTTTATTACAGCATTATGCATTACCCATATTATAAAATAATTTTGTAATATAAAATGATGAAAAATTCAATCATCATCAAATAACCGGTTTCCTCCTCTTCCTCTTGTAGGTCTTCTGCCTCCTCTATCACTACCTCTTTTAGTTTTTCTATCATCTTATGATCTATCTCTAATTTATGATCCATCAATTTTCTTTCTAAATTAAGTACTATTTTGTTATTCTTTTCTAATAAATCCAAATCAGGAAATACTTCTCTTTATCTTTAACAGCATTAACTAATTTAAGTTTTTCTTCTTCGAATTCTCTAGACATAGCCTTAGGATTTGGATCCTCATAAGCCCATTTACACATGATACATTCTTATTAATCTAAAGCTTATGAATCCATAGCTTCTTTAGCAAATTCTGCTTGACATCTATGTTTATATCTAAATTAAATAATTAATAAAAATACCTAATAAATGAAACACCTTTAGCAGGAATAACATTTAAATCATCAATATCTCCTAATGGACTAAAATGTCTCCATAATGTATCATACATTAACGCCAAAGCTTGAGTACTTGTATCTGCTTTTGGCATTTTATAATGAGTAATATAAATAGCTCTAGTATCACTTGTAAAACAGCCTATTCTAAAATAAAATTAGTTATATTATATATTACCCTTTCATATCTTCTCTATGATTAGCAAATCTAGTTCTACCAAATGCATCTTTACTATTATCAATTTATTCACATTCATCCATTGTAGGAATTCTGTGATAATATCTACAATTAACACCTTCAGCACAACATCCTCTTGCAAAGAACAAACAAAAATATGTACTAAATTTTTCATATAAATCTGCTTTTGTATATCCACTATCTATATCTGGATGCATTCTTGTTAAAGCTGGTTCTTTCTCTTTATATTTATTTCCATCACTCAAAAATCTATCAAACCAAGTATTATATTCCTCATCACCTTATTTATAACCAAACTTTGTTGCCAATGATTCTTCCACTTATTTTCTTGCTGGTCTTAACATTACTTTCTATCTTTTCTAAAATAATTATTCTCTTTATCTTGCTATATATTATTTAGGTAAAAATTTAAAAAAGTTCCTCTCTTAATAGTCATATAATCTATGCTCAAACTATCTTCTATAATCAGACAACTTCTATACTATATCTAATGGTAAATCCCAAACACTTTCCTTTGTTACTGGATTATAATAATAATTCTTTTTCCATGTATTATCATATAATACTTACCAAGGATAAATTATCTTTTATATCTCATCTGCATTTACAAGTTATCCACCTTTATTTATTTATTATTCTATTGGCTATTTCTGTAAATTTTAGAGTTCTTCCTCTTTTTTTTTATTTAGTTTCTCTTCTATCTACTTTTCTAATTCCTTTTAATTCTCTTCTGCTTCCTTTACTTTCTATTGATACAATTGATAAGCCTCAATTTTCTTTTAATTTTCCTCCTCTTATTGAATCTCTTTTGAATTTGGTGCTAAATGTGCTATCTATTAAATTTTTTGAAAATCTATTCCTATTGGTCTAAAAGGATTCTTCTCTGGCTTTGCTATATCAAATTTCAAATTATCTGAATCTGATTCATATTAATCTCCTTCTGAATATGAATATTAATCAACATTTTCTTCCTCTTCTTATTACTATACTTTTTATTAATCTTCTTAATCAGCCATTAATTTATTAATATTATAAATATTTTATTATTTTCTATTTTTTTATTCCAAATTTACCATTCCCATTTCATCTTTAATTCATTTTCAATTTTAAAAAAAACCACAAATTACAGTTATCTCAATTCTATAATAAACTATAATTTATTTTTAATTTTCAAATTTCAAAGATTCTCCTTAAATATCCAATAATTCTCTTTGATTAATTATAATTAAACTATTATTAGTAAAATTATTTTAAATAAAGTATACTAATTAAATCTATTTAATTTTCACTAAAATTTTAGTTAGATTCTTTAAAATTTAGGTCAGTCCTTCTTTATTATTCATTAATTTTAAACTGAATTATGATATAACATCCAAAAACCCCATAATATTCTAGCTCTAACTAAAATTAAGAAATGAAATCCAAACAAAACATTTATTCACTAAAAGTTGAAAAATCAAGAAATAGTTTAATCGAACAGCCTTAAGATATTTCAATGACATTAATTAAATAAAAACCTAGTTAAAATGAATTATCTGCTTTCGATACTTCTATTAGATAAAAAATTTCCCCAAATGAAACTAAAATTTTACTGAACAATGACCAGTCAAATTTAATTGCCAATAATACAGAAGATGCCTAATTAAATGTTTAATTATAAGGATGTCTTTTCTGCAATGAAATTGATAATGTAATTCCTATCTGTAGATGTTCACAAGCACATCTAAAATGTGCTAACAATTTTTTAAAATCAGGACCCATATTAGAATAATTAAAATGTCAAAAATGCCATGATTTTCGATAAGTCAATAGCCAAGTATCTTTTGATTTTAACCTTTGGAAATCAAGTAAATGGCAATTACTTATTGAAATCATTTTTCTATTGCTTATCTTCAGTATAATTGGAGTTTTGATATTCTTTACTACTATTTTAGTATAAGATTCTAGTGCTAACGATAGAATTATAATTTCATGTTTAGTTTTTTCATACACTATTAGTTTCATAGTATTACTTTGTATAATTTCAAAAATAGTAGGACATTTTAAGAAAATAAGATTTACTATAAAATAATACGATCCTTTGTACTGTAAGATTAATCAAACTTATATAAATTTAATGTAAGAATAATGATATGAAACTATGTATATATTATATTATAATGAAAAAGATTTATATCTATATGTTTTTTATAGTTATTGAGATAAATATCCAGATTTTATAAACATAACTCTATAATAGATTGACAATTTAGAATAAGAATTTCATTAATATTTTTAATGCAAAAATATTTTTATATTCTAGTTATTTTTGCCACGTGCAGTAATGCTCTCACATTTNTTTATTTTTAATTTTCAAATTTCAAAGATTCTCCTTAAATATCCAATAATTCTCTTTGATTAATTATAATTAAACTATTATTAGTAAAATTATTTTAAATAAAGTATACTAATTAAATCTATTTAATTTTCACTAAAATTTTAGTTAGATTCTTTAAAATTTAGGTCAGTCCTTCTTTATTATTCATTAATTTTAAACTGAATTATGATATAACATCCAAAAACCCCATAATATTCTAGCTCTAACTAAAATTAAGAAATGAAATCCAAACAAAACATTTATTCACTAAAAGTTGAAAAATCAAGAAATAGTTTAATCGAACAGCCTTAAGATATTTCAATGACATTAATTAAATAAAAACCTAGTTAAAATGAATTATCTGCTTTCGATACTTCTATTAGATAAAAAATTTCCCCAAATGAAACTAAAATTTTACTGAACAATGACCAGTCAAATTTAATTGCCAATAATACAGAAGATGCCTAATTAAATGTTTAATTATAAGGATGTCTTTTCTGCAATGAAATTGATAATGTAATTCCTATCTGTAGATGTTCACAAGCACATCTAAAATGTGCTAACAATTTTTTAAAATCAGGACCCATATTAGAATAATTAAAATGTCAAAAATGCCATGATTTTCGATAAGTCAATAGCCAAGTATCTTTTGATTTTAACCTTTGGAAATCAAGTAAATGGCAATTACTTATTGAAATCATTTTTCTATTGCTTATCTTCAGTATAATTGGAGTTTTGATATTCTTTACTACTATTTTAGTATAAGATTCTAGTGCTAACGATAGAATTATAATTTCATGTTTAGTTTTTTCATACACTATTAGTTTCATAGTATTACTTTGTATAATTTCAAAAATAGTAGGACATTTTAAGAAAATAAGATTTACTATAAAATAATACGATCCTTTGTACTGTAAGATTAATCAAACTTATATAAATTTAATGTAAGAATAATGATATGAAACTATGTATATATTATATTATAATGAAAAAGATTTATATCTATATGTTTTTTATAGTTATTGAGATAAATATCCAGATTTTATAAACATAACTCTATAATAGATTGACAATTTAGAATAAGAATTTCATTAATATTTTTAATGCAAAAATATTTTTATATTCTAGTTATTTTTGCCACGTGCAGTAATGCTCTCACATTTTATCTCACAGAAGGAAAGCAAAGATGTTTTTTAGATGAATATACTGCAAACACTGTTGTTATTGGAGCCCATTAATTGTTAGATAAAGTTTAACCTAATGGAGGAGGTGTTGAATTAAATGTTCTTGATCCAGATAATTAAGTTGTTTTGACAAAAATGACTAATAGTGATGAAGGCAAGTTTACATTCACAACTAAAAAACAAGGACGATATTAAGTTTGTTTGAAAATGTCAAATACCAAAGGATGGTTTGGAGATAAAAAATAACCATTATATTTCTTAAGAATTAAATAAGGGGAAAATCAAGAATTTACATCAGCTGCAAAAGAAAGTCAAGTATTTATTAAATTATTATTCTAAGATTACAGGATTGAAACAAAAAATAAAATAACTACAAAAACAAGAGGATGATTTTATAAAATTATAATTAATGAATAGAGAAAACGAAGATAAATTAAGTATAGAAAATATTAAAATTAATGATAATGTGTTCAATGCAACTTTAATTCAAATATTTGTTATAATTGGAGCAGGAGTATTTTAAATTTACTCTTTAAGAAGATTTTTTGCATAAAAAATATATTATTGATTGTATTTATAAAATTATTCAATACATCTTTAGTACTTAATTTCCATATGTTCCTAATTAGCTTCTTTAATTTAAATATGGATTCTAATTATAACCTGGAATAGGATTCAAAAGGGGATTATGAACTTGAGGATCAATTTAATTATTCTCAGCGCTTCTAAACTAAAATTCTATATATTTTAAATACTCCATTGCTCATAACTTATGAACCATTCTAATTTTTAGTGCTTTATTCTCTTTCATATATTTATTTTTATAATGAATCTCTCATCATTTATTTATTATAAAGTTAGCTTTATTTTTTTTACTGAGCTTCCATCTCCTCTTTATATTATACATTTTCAATTCCTCTATTAATCATATTTTCAATTTATGACTGTTTTTCGGTACCAATTTTTTCAGCAAAGTTTTTTTACATTCTTTCTTAATTTTCTGCTACTTATCTATAATACTAAGAATAATTTTAATAAATACTTCTCTATATTTATTTTGTTTTTCTTGTATTCTATTTTCTTCATCCCTTTAATTTATTTATTCTTTAACTTTTTCTTATTCTTGCATCTCTTTTTGTTACATAAGTTTTCTCATTTTATCATCCATAGAAGCTTAGGCAATTTATTTCATTTAAAATTATTAATGCATCTTCTATTGCCTTTACATTTCCTAATATTATTAAGCTTAAGAAACAAGGTTGTATTCATCTTAAATTTATTTTTATTTAATGATATTTTGATTTTATTTTTTTTAGTTAATGCTTTGTTCATAGGCTTCACTTAATTCCCTTTACTTAAACTTTTAGATTTATTTACGCTAGAGTTCATCATACTCTAATGCTTTTGCTTATTCTTGAAGCATTTATTATTCTTATTCAATTGCTCTTCTTTTTTAATCCATTTGCTATTGTTATCGATATTATTGTTATTCTTCGAGAGTATTTCTAAAAGAGAAATAAATAGTAATAAATACTTAAGTAACTGCTTCTAATATTACATTAAATTTAATATTAAAAAATATTTATAATACTCATCTAAAATATTGATATATAAATAGTAAATATAAAAAAGAAATGTTGTAATATGAAATAATCAGATTTAGGTTGTTATGATTATAAATTTATTTATTCATTGAATTGAAATTATTCTTTAAAAATGGGAAGTAAATGTTGTCGAGACGATAATATACAATAGAAAGGTTTGAGTACAGAAATTTCATGTAGATGAAATGGAAACAGCTTAGAATCCAGATGTAACTATACCACCAGGTCCCGAATAAAAAGCTTCATTATCCTAATAAGGAAGCAAGAAATCTTAAGTTGAAGAATTGTAAGCTAAAATAGAGAGTAAATAATTGGTATATGCGTTGGAGAGTGAAATACATTAAGAACAAGAATAAAAGCCAGCAGCCTCTTTGATTTAAGAATAATAATCAAAGGTTTCAGAGATTGTATAATCTTAAAAAATGACTAACGAATAGAGTAATCAATCATTTATAGAAATAGTTAAAAATGAAGTTTAGAGTAAAAGTTAAACAGGTAATTGTGCTGGATCAGTGGCAAAAAAAATAAAATTAGGCGTTGATACTTTTGTTAAATTAAAAGAAGGCTCAATTGGGTCACATTATAATTTTGGAAAAGTTTTAGGGCAAGGAGCTTTTGGTAAAGTTTGGAAAGTAACTCATAAAACAACTGGTCTTATTCGTGCAATCAAATAAATTAAAAAGAATTCTATAATCAAAGAAGAAGAATCAAGATTATTTTCAGAAATGAATATTTTAAAGAACTTAGATCATCCACATATAGTAAAATTATTTGAATTGTTTTAAGATGAAAATAATTATTATTTAGTGACTGAGTAATACTTTAACTTTAATTTATTTTAGATATTTATCAGGAGGAGAATTATTTGATAGGATTAAAAAAATGTCATCATTTAGTGAAAGCATAGCTGCAGATTACATTAGATAAATTCTTTTAGCAACTGTACATTGTCATGAATAAAAAATTGTACATAGAGATTTAAAACCAGAAAATATTATATTTATAAGTGAAGATCCACAATCTTAACTTAAAGTTATAGATTTTGGAACATCAAGAAAGTTTGACAATTAAAAAGTTATGAGTAAAAGATTAGGAACAGTATTTTATTTAAAATTTATATAAGCCTTATTATATAGCACCTGAGGTTTTAGGTCATTCTTATACTGAAAAATGTGATATTTGGTCTTGTGGTGTTATTCTATATATTTTATTATGTGGTTATCCACCATTTGTTGGAAAAACTGAAAATCAAATTTTAGAAAGAGTCAAAATGGGTAAATTCTCATTTGATCGTAAAAATATATACAATAGCTTTTTATAGCTGAGGATTGGGATTCTATTTCTAAAGAAGCCAAAGAATTTATAACTAAATTATTGAGAATGGATCCTAATAAAAGATTATCAGCCAAATAAGCTTTAGAAGATCCTTGGTTAGTTAAATATGCTCCTTCAACTTAAGTTAATAGAAAAGTCTTAGATAATATTCGTTAATTTTAAGTAATTATTATTTCTAATTAATCATTAGGCATAAACCGTATTAAAATAAGCGTTGATGTCTTATATGATAACATAAATGTCTACATAAAAAGAAATTTAAGAATTGTAAAAAGAATTTCAAAGATTAGATATAAATAATGATGGATTTTTATCAAAAGAAGAATTTCTTAAAGGCTATATATAGATTTAAAATGATCTTAAATTAGCTGAAGAAGAAGTTGAAAAAATTTTAGAAATGATTGATATTAATCGATCAGGAAAGATAGATTTTTCTGAATTTTGTATGGCAGCTATGAATTAAGAAAAATTACTATCAGTTTAGAGAGTTGAGTAAGCTTTTAAAATATTTGATTAAGTATTTATATCCTTATTTATTTAGAATGGGGATGGCTTTATTTCTAAAAAAGAATTAGAAGCTATTATGGGTGATTTAGGTGATGATGTTTGGAATTAAATCTTAAGTGATTGTGATAATAATGGAGATGGATAGATATCATATGAAGAATTTGTAAAAATGCTTAAGAATAAAAAACTTTGATTTTTATATAATTTTAAATTCAATAAACCTATTCTCTGCTGGAAAATGAATAAGATAAAGATAATTTACTATAATAAATCAATGAAATTTAAAACAATTTTAAATAAAATATAGATATTCTATTACTTCAAAGAACTGAAAGATATTTATAATATTTCCTTTATATTAAGAGTATATAAATATAATACTTATAGATAATTGAACTAATTTTAAATTAAATTGTTTAATATAACTGAAAAAAATTAACAATTTTATAATTCATATAATATTTAATCAGAGGGACTAAAGTAAATCTTGAAATAAGGCTTAATTAAGTTTTCGTCTAAAATATATATATTATTTACTTTTTAGTTATACCAAAGTTTACAAAATCAAATTTGATAACATTCTCACTAATTTTAATCTCCATTTAATCTTCAATTAATCTAGGTTTGCTTTATACCTTTTTTTCATTGTTTCTTAATGAATAATTTTAAAGTGACTACCAAGTTCCATTTGCTGATTCTCTTACACCTCCTCCATCATGAATAAACCATCTAATTTAACAATATATTTTACTCATTATTTTTATACACTATTTATGCCTATCTTCTTGAGACAGTATTAATATTAACTAGGACATCACATTCTTATGATCTTCCAATTTTAAATACAAATTCTTAATTATAATTAGCAATGAATATATGTGATTAAATTTAATTAATAGAAGGACTATTAAATGCAAATTTTAAAAAGGGTCTATCATATTAATTTAGTTTATGAGAAACTTTTCGTCTTAAATCAATTGTTCTAAATTCATTTACTTAATTATTAAACAATTCACTTTCTTCTGAAGAAAGACCATGAATTTTAGTACCTTTTATTATATGTTCTTTTGCAAGGGTATAATAAAAACTATTCTAATCTTTTATTCTTTTTATTTTTGTTTATGTAGGTTTTGTTTTTATTTCCATAACATGGAAATATGTATCAGCTCCAATTAAATATGTATTATGCAATTACATTAACTTTGAATTGTCTTTTTTTATTTTTATAAAAGTTCCTGCCTTTGTTGCATTATCAGTTATATAAAATTAAGGCTTTTCTCTAAGATATATAATAATATCAATACTTAATAAATGAAAATATATGTTTTTTAACCGAAAAGGGTAACTTAATTGCATATTTTTTTGATTTAAATAAAGAAAAGAATAAAAGAACGGATTTTGTTAGAAGATTTGAATAAGAAAATCCTTTTTCAGTCAATAATTTACAATGAAGTTTTTCAACGTTTTTATCTCCATGTGGTAAATCTTGGAATATAATAAAATAATTATTACATATATCACAATTTTCTGATTATTCATCTTATTGTTTTTTTCTACCTATTGTTATTTCCTTTTTGTATTCATTACCAAGGATTCTAATTAAAATTAAAAATACCTATCATATTAAAGAATATATTCAGTATCTATTTGACTTGAATGTTGTTTGAAGACACTTATGCGAATGTGTGGTTCATTTTCATTTAATTAGTCACTTTATTATATTTACTACTTTATTGGTTATTCTATAATCATCTATTATTCTTATTGAGTATTCTATTCCCTATTACTTTATGTTTAAATAATTTATGATTGATTTTGGTTCAGTGGATGTTAAATCTAAGATGTAATAATATATAACTTACATTATCATCTTCTATGACAATACAATTCTGTGATGAATTTCCAATTGTTGGCTAATAATAAAATGAGTTCATTTATTAAGGATAATTATTGAAATTATAAGGATTCATCATAGGAACTCCAAGTTATTGAATGTAAGGTAGATAGTAATCTAAAAATATTTCAATAATTTACAAAATTAGAAAGGCTTAGGATAAAGTTGAAAACTCATTCTCAAATATGTATATTTGAATAAAATATTTATTTTTATAATTACTTGTATATATTCACTTATAAAAAATCCTTTTCTTTTTATTTTAAATTAATAATCAAATTTTAATTTTTTCATTTTTTATCATTTTTGAAAAAATGATGCTACAAACTAAATTACCTTATAGATACTATTCAGAATGCTAATATTAATAATTATTCATTTGAAATTAGATGAAATTTATTCATTAATTTAAATAAATTACTTCAATGAAATAATAAATTAATTAAATAAACTTCTTGATTAATCTAATATTCTTAATTCTTAATATAAAGAAACAATTATAATTAAACTACCTAATAAAACTATCAAAATTTAATGTTAATTGAGAAAAGTATCAAGTTTAAGAAAGATTAACAACTTTTTAATAAGAACAGTATGAATTACTTCATGAATGAAGTGGAAGACAAAGTTTTTAATGGAATATCTATTAAACAATATAATAAGAAAATTTTTGAGAAAATTTAGATAAAGTAAAGATAAATAAATCTAAAAAAAGTTAAAAATTAGAAACTTTCAATTTAATAAAATCTTAAATTCACTTTAAAATAAAGTATAAAATTATTGAATTAATATAATATCTATTACTTAATCGCAAAACAAAGATTTACTATTTTATAATTATGAATGAATTAAAATATTCTATTTTGCGAGATTTGATATTTTGCTAATGAAGTATTTTATTAAATTTTACATATTATATTAGGAGTTATTTATACTCATTTGATAATTACTTTGCTTCATCATTAGATATCGATTGAAAAATGAAAAAAAATATTTGCCATTATTCTAATTCAAAAGTTTATTAATATTGATTGCTTTTTTAGAAGAATTATACAACATAAAAATGAATGTATATTTTAATTTTTTGATCAATAAAGTTTGACTTTTATGGTAGAAGGAAGTTTTTAAGGAAATTTTAAGTCTTAATCTAATTTTTTAATTGACTTTTTGCAATCTCATTTAATTAAATTTATGATTTAAGCTTACTTTTAAAAATTAGTGATAAAATTGAAATTCAAGAAATAAACTTCATCAAGAGAGAATATTTTTTAATAATTAATTTTCACACTATATAAAAGATATTAGAGTAGTGGGTGAAAATAATGGCGTTTTTGTAACAAATGAAAAAGGATCTTATCTTTAAGCCATAAAAGGATAAATAAGAGTTGTTGTTTGGAAATAAAATATTATGAAAATAAATCTATTATATTAATTATATCTTATATAGTTGTGTAAATACTATCAAAACAATTTACGACAAACAGGACATTGCTATTTAATTAATATCCATTGTTAAAAACAATGATTATGGAAATGATGCCTAGATTAATATATAAATATACATATTACTACATGGTAATTAGATAATTTGATCATTTTCAGAATAATCACACATGCAAATATTGCATTGTGAGATAGAAGGTTCAATATTGTGATGATAATGAAATAAGCTCATTTTTTTAATTTTATTCTAAGATAATAGAATAAATGAAATTACTTTAGTTTGAATTTTATTGATAATTTTACAAGTGGACTTAAATAAAAATAGGAATAATATAATTGGCATATATAAGGCCATAGAAATAACAGCTAGCCCAAATCCAATAATGAGAAATGCTGAAAATAAGTACCCAATAAGTAAAAGTACAAAGGTTACATTGTTTAAATCTAAAATATAGAAATGGTTATATTACTATCATCACAATCATTAGAATCTGATTAGAAATAGGCTACATTTCCTCCTGTAAATATCAAATAGAAAATAAATTAGTTATAAAGTTTCATTACTCTAGTATATTTATTTAAGGCTTCAGCTTAATGGATAATTTCATATGAAGTGAATGGAGGTTCAGCTATCAATTCTTGCTATGATATTTCACGAGTTGATAATTTCATTTTTATAAGGGTTTTAATTTATGCTCTTCTTTTGGATTTTATTTATATATAATTACCTATTTCTTTCTTACATGCCACTAAGATTCATTGTTTCATTCGAAGTTTTAGTTAACATATCTGCCATAACTAACAAAAATATATCTTTTGAATTCATTTGTAATGAATATAGTACTGCTAAATACCTACATTATGATTAGTAAATACCGAATGGAATTAAAAAATTCATACATCCCTACTATTGTTAACCAAACAACTAAAGGATTGACTTCACACTTTTAATCTCTCTATTATAAACTATAAAAACAAGCAAGATATTTTCCAAAACTAAAAACGAGATAAAAACCTAATTTAGAATAACAAAATATATACCAATTTATTTGTATGATTATTTGAATTAAATTCTAAAATGATCTTTGAGTAATTTAAATTTTTTCTCATCTTCATCCTTAGTAACATATTTGATTTAATTCTCGGAACTTTCTTCAATTTATCGATTCATAAATAAATATAATAATTGAAAATTATTTTGAAATAATCAATTCAGATAATTATAATTTTACACATAAAAATATATATATATATAATTAATAATATAAATGAAAGGTTTGAATTATAGATTTCCTCATTCTAGATAAGATTCAGGATAAGCAAATAGGGTTGATAAAAGTTTGATTAATCAAGGAAACTAAGGAGCTTAAAATATACATAATAATAGGTATAGGATGTTATATAAAATAACTAAATAGATGGAATGAACATAATGATCATTCTCCTTCTCCATTAATGCATGCTATGTAGAAGATTTCAGTTTAGTCTAGTTAATCTACATCTGCTAATCATTCAAAAAAATCATCTATCTCTAAACCTAAATAAACTCAATAGATGTCATTTCTAAATTATTTAATACTTAAAAAAGAAGATGAAGAACAAGAGAAACAACCAGTTTAAGTATAATAGATTTAACATAAATAATAATAATAATAATCATCTTTCATTTAAAATAACTACTTTCCTAATGAAGTTATTGTATAGAGAAATATGTTCAATTTTTTATATGTTATTGGGATAGGTGGGTTTGGTAAAGTATGGAGAGTTGAACATAAAAAGAATGGTTAAACTTATGCTATGAAAGAAATGTCTAAAGCTTTGTATTAATAATTATTCATAAAAAAGGATTATTGCTAAAAAAAGTGTAAATTCTGTTATGAATGAAAGAAGTATATTAAGTAATCTAAAACATCCGTAATTATTTTTATTCTAATTTAAAGTTTTCTTGTTAATATTTATTTTGCTTTTTAAGACAGAGAAAACTTATTTTTAGTATTAGATTATATGTAAGGAGGAGATTTAAGATATCATATTGGAAGAATGCGTAGATTTAGTGAGGATTAAACAAGTAAGTTTTTATTGTACAACAAAGAGGATTTTTTATGGCATGCATTTTTTTAGGGTTAGAACATATGCATTCTAAAAACATTATTCATAGAGATATTAAACCAGAAAATTTAGTTTTGGATAAAAATGGTAATAATGCTATCAAATAATAGGATATATTAGAATTACTGATTTAGGTATTGCTAGAGTTTTGAGACCTGATAATGCTTAAGATACTAGTGGAACTCCTGGATACATGGCTCCTGAAGTAATGTGTAGATAAAATCATTCATATGTTGTTGATTATTTTGCTTTAGGAGTTATTGGTTATGAATTTATGCTTGGGAAAGTATTCATGATATACTAAAATAGAGACCTTATACAGGAAGATCTCGTAAAGAAATAAGAGATTAAATATTGGCTAAATAAGTTTAAATAAAAAGATCAGAAATTCCTGATAATTGGTCTTTAGAATCTGCTGATTTTATAAATCGAGTAAAGATTTAATATTATTTATTAATTAGTTAATATAAAGAAAACCTGCAAATAGATTAGGTTTTAATGGACCTTAAGAATTGAGATAACATTCTTGGTTTAAGAATTTTCCTTGGTAAAAACTCTATAATAAGGAGTTGAAGGCACCTTTTATACCTCATGTAATTTGGAAATTTAAATATAATATAGTAAACAGAGGATAATTTTGATGCTCGTTAAATATCTATTGAAGATGAAGAAAATAATGAATTGATATAATAAAATGCAATAATGTTAAGAAGAAATTCAATATAAGGTATTATAAATTATAATATCATTAGCATTATTTAATGGATATGAGATAGATAATTTCACATAAGCAAGCGAACCTTCAAAATAATAACTCAACAATAGTAATTATTGATTCATTCTAATTTATTTTATTTAATAATAAATATAATTGAAGGAAAGTGTAATAATAATAATATTTTCTCTCTTTTAATTAAGATGAAATCTAATATATTTAATTTAGATAAATAAATATATTGATTAATGATTAATATTTGTATTAATAATTATTAATATACATATATTACTACTATGATATATATTATCAAGCTTTTTATTTTTGCTCTAAATGTCTTTTTTTTTATGAATCTTTATCCATAGGTAACTAAAGAATAAAAGATAAAAATACTTTCAATAATTCTTTGAGTGTAGGATCATTGAGATCGTGTGCAGACTTGAATTTAGTTTCATCTAATTTTAATCCTGAAATTTAGATAGTGCTATTAGCAAGAACAGCAACAGTAATAGTGAATTATGCAACAATACTATTTGGACTTATCAAAATAGGATAAGGATTTAATAATTCATGTTTAGCACATTCTTAAACAGCTAATTTAGCTGTAATTTCATCTTCGAAAGCTCTTAATGAGAAACATAAAGATGGATATTTTTCATAAACTTCTTGCATAAATGTTCTACCATGTTTAGTTTTTAATTAATATTATCTATCTAATGCTCTTTTATAGACAGTAGTTCTTAAATCAGACTAAATGAATATATAAATATTGATATTTACCTCTTTAGTCTTTCCATCACCTGTTGTAATATAAACATCTAAAACAAAAACATCATTAACTTAGATTTCTTCTTCATCAACTCTTTGTTCTTATGTTTCTCTATTAATGATAACCTTATTTCCATCAATAAAGTGTCTTTTAACTTCATGACTTAAAACTCCTTCTAATGGAGTACATTTATGATCATCTGCAATTTATTAAATAAGCTTAGTTAAAGCTGTATTAGTAGTGCCTGGCTTAATTGATCTATAAAGAGCTTAAACTGATTAATATGCAGCCAATATAACATCAGCCTTCTAACCTTCGACTTAATCTTCTCCTACTACTACTGTGTGTGCAGCTATTGCAATATATCCATCTATATGTACGCCCAATTCACTATTTATTTATTATTAAAATTACATCTTAGCTACATCACCCTTTACTAAATTACTGGTTTCACTCTTCAATGGAGAATAATGACCGCATATTTAATTCACAGAAATTGTTGTTGGAAATGCCAACCCTTTTTCTATATTTTTCTTATTGTAAACTTTTTATAGTTCTCCACTTATCTCTGAATCTCCAAAAGCACAAATTTAAGCTATATCACCATTTACTTATAATTTAGCAATCACTTTTTCAAGAACAACT